GGTCTTGGGAATAGATGAGGATGTCGTCCAGATATACGATAACGCATACATCCAGCATATCAGCAAACACGCTATTGACAAAGCGTTGGAATGCGGCCGGAGCGTTAGTGAGACCTTCCGGCATCACCAACCATTCATAAGAGCCATAGCGCGTTCGGAAAGCAGTCTTCCATTCGTCTCCTTCCGCTACCCGGACAAGGTGATAAGCGGATTGGAGGTCGATTTTGGTATATACTTTAGCGCGGCTCGGAGAGTCTAGAAGGTCGGTAATGAGGGGTAACGGATATCAGTCTTTCTTGGTAATCTGGTTAAGTCCACGGAAATCTACACAGAGGCGAAGGGAGCCATCCTTTTTCTTGACGAACAGGACGGGAGCTCCGTGAGGAGAGGATGAGGAACGGAGGAGTCCGGAGGAAATGTTTTCATCAAGAAACTTCCGGAGGGCTGCGAGCTCAACTGCAGATAGAGAATAAATGGTTCCGAGGGGCGGACTAGTTCCTTCCTCTAACTCGATTTTGAGATCGTAGGGACGATGAGGAGGAAGTTGGCTAGCTTTGCCTTTATCGAACACATCCAAAAATTCATGATATTCCGGAGGAATTCCGGATAGGTCCGGAGGATCAGACGAAAGGGTAGCGGACCGGAGGTCTACACCGGTCGGACGAAGGTAGATGCTGAACTGTTCCGATCCTTCCAATTTGCAGGCCCAGCAAAAGGCAACTGCATTTATCAAGGAAATATTGGGGATGGTTTTATCAGCGGAGGTCCCGGATGTAGTCGGAGGAGGTAAATCTTCCATCGGAGGAGGGGTATCCGGAGACGGAAGCGATGTCGGAGGTGTCGAAGGCATTCCATGAGAAGTCGTTCGGAAATCGATGCTGCCCGAAACCCAGTCAATCAACGGATTGTGTAGGGTGAGCCAGCTATATCCTAGAACGATAAAACAAGAAGAATCCAACGGAGTAACGTAAAACGTATCGGAGGTGACTACACCGGACGGAAAACGAATGGGCAAATCTATAGCTTCGGAAATCATATTATTACAAGTACCATCAAACAAACGGAGAGAAAGCGGAGGTATCAGATATGTAGGGATTTTATTTTTTCGGACGAAATCAGAGTCTATAAAACAATGTGAGGAACCACAATCTATTAGAGAAGGAAACGAGGAAATATCAGGAAAAGTAGGAAGAGAAATGTATGGACATAGAGAGTTCGGATCGGAAAGAGAAACAGCGTTGAGACGTAGCTCCGTTGCACAGGTAGAGTCAACGCAACCCTCATCCCGTGCGGAGTCAGGAGGGTTGCGGACTATTTTTTTGCTTCATCCGAAGCCTCCGGTTTGTCTTCCGGAGTGACTACTGCAGCACGGCCTTTGGCAGCGCGCGAAGTAGACTTGGTGCATTCCCAAGCCGAATGGCCGGGTCCGCCGCAGAATAGACAGAGTTTATTATCCATCCGTCTTTTACATTCTTCGGACGTGAGCTTTCCGTCCTTTCCTAACTTGGAGGTAAGGTCCGGAGCTTTAGAGGCAGAGGAGGATGCGGAAGTAGCAGGTTTGTCGGATTTGAATCTCGCGGATCCGGACGGGTTGGAATTCGTCCGGTCCGAAGTGGGTTGCTTAAGTGGATTGGAGGTGGTGGGTTTGGTTTCACGGGCAACTTCTCCCTTCCGTTCCCAGTATCGTGCGTCGATAGTCTGGGCAAGGGTCTTGTATTCGGAAAGGGTAGAAGGCTTACCCATGCGACTGATTTCATCTTTGATACGAGCCGGAAGTCCGTTATAGAATTGGCGTCTTAGGGCACCGTCACCCCAGCCACGGACTTGTGAAGCAAGACGCTGAAACTCAACAACATATTTATTAATGTGTTGTCCGTCACGCATGTGAAGTTGTTCGAGTTGTTGTTCCGCGTCACCAGATGGATCGTGAGGTCCGAAATTGGTTTGTAATTCTAACATGAACGCGGAGTAATCATCCATCCAATCCGGACGATCATCGTCCTCGTCGGATAGGAGGTCCAGTTCGAACCACTCGAGTGCCATACCCTTAAGGTAGGATTGGGCAAAGTTGACTTTAGCCCGTCCGGTACAGAAAGACTTGGGTTTGCTTTGGAAATGAAGCTCGCATTGGACGAAGAATGCACGAAGCTTCCGAGGCTCAGTGCCATCGAAAGTATCGGGTTCGCGGATCTTGACTTTGGAATCTTCGGACGAGATGGGACGACGGTTGTTGCGTGCAAGATTGTCAATGGCTTCGGAAAGCCGGAGCATGATGCGGTCTTGTGGGTTTAGTCCGTCATTTTCGTCGTCATCGTCCGGATCATCATCCGGATTACCTCCGAAATCATTAGGAGGGTCTTCATCATCGGGTCCTTCATCATCCGGAGGTCCTCCAGCGGCAGTACGCGTAGGCGTAGGAGTCACTGGATGCGGACGATTCAAGAGTTGAGAAATACTTTGAGCAGGAACGCTTGAGACACGGCGCTGCGAGAAACTGGTGAAGGCGTTAACTATGGAGGTTGGATCGCGTTGGCTGGATGAGAGTCCGACTGCATGCAGAGCGGCTTGGTTTACTTTAGTAGGAGCCATGATATGAGTAAGTGTACTTGGAAAGGTGTGAGTTCGAATATACTGTTAAGGTCGTACTCTTGTAGGATCGGATCCGAAGGACTTCGGCCTCAGCTCGTACGCTGTGCCCCTTTCCCAAGTACTGTCCCTTATTTCAGAGACTAACGATAACGCGTCTGAAGGTCCGGACGGGTCTCGTAGTTATATCCGGATGACTTCCGGATATCGGAAACACGTATAAGACTAATCCGGACGGATCCGGACTAGAAACAGACAGAGTATAGACTATCCGAAGATAGAGGCGGAGACGTAGACTATCGGAATCGATCCGAAGTCTCAGAGATCGACAAGAGTTGATTAGACTCAAGTCCGGAGGACAGAAAGAGGACAAACTAAGATGATATTCGAACTGAGGTACTACAGGAAATATACACGGGTTTATATACTAAGAGGATAACGGAAGGATCAATAAGCAAAGGTCCGAGGCTATGTACGAAGCATATGCAAAGCTTATCAAACGCGAGTCGGAAATGAAGCATAGGATAACGGATCAGTAATCATACCGGTAATAAGTATAACCGAGACACCGGGAAGAGGAAATACCGAATAGGCTGTGTTTAACGTTATATGAACAGGAAATGAATTAAGAAGCTTATCGGATATCGGACCGGACGCGGATCTATGCATCGGACCGGACCGGATCTAAGGGTCCGAAGTCCGGAAGAGAAGCGTGAATATATGGGATATGACACCCTATTACTAATATGAAAGGACAACTAGGACAGCAAGAGACCTACTAAAATGGATGCTGAGTGGCTGGACACCAAAGGATTTGAGTAGGAACGGCAAGAGGCCTACCAAACTGAATACTGAGTAACTGGACACCGAAGATTTGAGTAGGTAAGCAAGGTACCACCAGGAACAAGGTACTGCTGGGAGCAAGGTACTACAGGGTACTACTGGAAGCAAAATATTGCCGGGGAGCAAGGTATATATAGGTACAGTGCGCTGAATATGGATGGATGAGCGCTAAACATGGATGGCACAGCCCAAATATGTACTGGATGGATGATGCATAACTGTCAGATCCCTGATGCATTAATGATGCATCACACAATGAGCAAGCTTGATGCATCACAAAACTAGGCTACTTAGCCTGTTTTGATGCATTAAAATGACAGTATTGCCTGAGGCCAGTCGCCAATGAGGCGAACATGAATGTGACCTCTAACGACAGGCCAGGGATACCTGCAAGACTATCAGCGACACATTTCAATGTGATCATTGTTTGCCAGACAATGCGGACAGATGGGACAGACAGGACAGATGGGACAGGCCAGACAGGACAGACAGGACAGACAGGACAGAACTATCAAACTCTCAGGTTCCCTCGAAATATTAGAGGTTTAGGAATTCCCGAACTGAACTAGTCTTCTTGGGGGAATTCCCACTATAGAAATATTAGAGGTTTGGGAATCCCCGAACTGAACTAGTCTTCTTCTTGGGAAATATTAGAGGTTTGGGAATTTCCAAGCTGAACTAGTTCTCTTGCTGGGAATTCGCACTATAGAAATATTAGAGGTTTGGGAATTCCTGAACTGAACCAGTATTCCCACTATACAAATATTAGAGGTTTGGGAATTTGATAGAGTGAGGATCCAACAGAGGATTGATCAGACATTTTGATAGATTAGCTGTATTTTGATATTGATAATGATATGGTTTTTGCGCACGACAGGGCTCATAACCTCTTGTTGAGAGATATACGAGCAGAAGCAAGACACAACTAATATTGTTGCACAATAGGAGGTGAGCAATGAGCGCAAATTTATTCGGCACATTCCATAGTGTACTCATTCTGTTCTAAAGTCAGATAGTCCGAATCTCTACTACTCGTCAATGTATAGATCATGTCGCAGGTATGTTCTTTGATTGTCCAGTCATACCTGCTATAACAACAAAGTATCTGTGTAACATGGGGGAAAGTGACTGAATGGGCTCCAAGTCTACTAGTGAGATGCTAGGGTGACAAGTGGGGTCTTCTCTCAAATGAGAGATCAAGGGTGTGGGTCAAGACAGCTACGCTAGAGACTTAGTTGAGAGGAAGTTCTAGGTCAAAACCTAGTAGATTAAAGTGAGGAATACAAGCACTATCCACAGTGCTTATATAGTATCAGAAAGGTGCACAGACCAGGCCAAGAGAGGTAAGTAAGCTGGATATACACAGCAGTACCTAAAGCATTCATGCAAGGCATGTTGATGACATCAAAAATAACAAAGATGAGTGATAGCAGAAATAGATTGATGCGGACAGCCTGCTTAGTGACAAGATAACAAGAATAAGGTAGTACAGACAGCCTGCTTAGTTACAGAAGGGAAAATGAATATAGGGGACTTAATGTCATTGTAACAATCAGTCCATGAGTGAGAGTCTAAGAAGGCACTCTTCCTTGCTAAGACTATTTCCAGGCAGTGATATAGGACTTTCATCTAGAAATGCATCATAAACCTTGTCTATGGCTTCTGAAGCACCACTGAGGTTTAGGATGTGGGAGATGGCAGAACGGAGCACAATGAACATAGGGTTGGGAGGCGGAATACCAGTTTGAGAGTGATCCTTGAATTGGACTTCTGTGAAATCCTCCAAATCAGAAGGGATACTGCGAAACCAGTGTATTTTATATTTGTCCAAGACATCCTTTCAAGGGCATCAGTATCTGAAATTTAATGACAAAAAAACCAACCATACCGTAGAGTCTAAGCAGCACATATAGCAATCAGAAGCATAGCGCAATGTCTGCTCAAGCAACATTCCATTTGATGGGTCATCAATCATCCTAGACATGTCATCTATAATGCTCAAAGGAAGGTTAGTAAAGTGCTTTATGATGTCAATTGTTCCTGCAATGCGCTACAGAACAATCAGCTGGACAGGCACAATAACATGACAGCTGAAGAACATACATTGCCTTCTGGATGCTCTTGAACAATGGATCTTGGGAGGATGTGGGCACCATTGAGCTGTGCTTCACGATGAGTACGGGGATGTGGTGCATTGAAGGTATTCAAAGCTCCAGTGACTGCACATTTATCACCTTCTCGTCTGGTGAGCTAATAACCTTTAAATGAACATTTTGTCAAGAACAAGGTAAGATGTTGCAACACACCAGATCCAGAAAGTGAGAATTTTGTGATGCTGCAGGCACAGTGTCAACAATGACTTTGGAAGCATGGGATTGGGGGGTGGGAGTAGAGAACTCTGATTGTGGAGAGTAGCTGGGTCTGAAGGTCTTTTTGACTTTGCTATCATGAGCAGCAGTTTATGAACAAAGCAAATGACATACAAGGCCAGAGAAGGAAGAAGAACCAATCATGTGCCAACTTTGTCAACTCAGAGGCAGAGGAGTTTGATGCCTCTCCCTTTTGATAGGCCACTAAGATGGCAGCTGCTGCATAGTGTACACCAGTTGACAAACCAGCTTGCTCTGAACCATCAATCATTGCATCCAATAACCTATATGTGCTGACCCCATATGGATAGATTGAAGTCATCGTTGATCGTACTTCCTGGAGAATGGCTTTTGCATGATGCTTTAACTTGTCATTTGTTTCTGGAGCAGTGTCACTCATTATGGTGAGAAGATCTGTTTTGAATGTGTAGTCATTTAAAAGGGTAGGGGTGCTCTCGTTGGAGGTGAGAGACATGTTGCAATTGAAAGATAGAGCTGTGTGCTTGGTAGTCGGTAGTCGAGTTCCCTGAAACCCCTTTAGTGGAGAGGGTTGTAATGACGAGGTAGTAGCGCCAGAGTTATTAGTCAGCCAATTAAAATCGTTCAGACTACTATCGCTCAACAACGGTTCGGTCAACTGCTAAGATGACCGACGCATCCTCGACGGCTTACCCGACGAATATGACAAACTTAACAGATTTACAATTGCGACAAACTATAACGCAGCTCTCAAATGCAGCTAATAATCCTACAAACCAGTTCCAGCACTATGTATCACCCGCACCTCAACAATCAACATCCAAAGGTTGATTTCATTAACTCATACATTCCTCACTGAACAAACTCGTTTCAGCTTACCTTAAAAATGTTCACACTTGGTCAACAACAAATCCGAACAAGACTAGCACCCGTGCTCGTCATCGCACTGCAAAGACTAGTGCTGCACAACCAGTTCTGACACAACAAATCGTCGCTACTCCAGTATACCAACCACCTCCTCAACCGGTAGCACCTGTACAAGTCCCTCCTCCTCTCCCACCAAACCCACCCCGTCATCCACTTCCTGTCGTCTCACAAGCTCTCCACTCCACTTATCCATCCCGCCTACGCACAGGAACAACCCTCCTCGTCCAACCCGTACTCACCCAGCCTTCTGCAGCAGCCGGAAACACAAGAGCCTCCACCCGTCGTGGAGGTATGATCAACTACGCAGAACCAGGCTCAGGAGACGAGTTCCCGGATGCTGGTGCTATCGAATCCGATGACTCTGATTTTGTCGGTAATGGAGGTGTGAGGACAACTTTGAGGACCCGGAGAATGGGAACTGGCATGTCCGTGTTTCACTCAGGTAGTGGTATGTCCACGCCCCAGCCACAACCACAACGGCGCCCTACACCCATGCAGAACGACAAGGGAGAGCTGGATCAGAGCTATTTAGGTTTGATTCCTCCAAGCCGCTTTATAAAAGCCAAACCTGTCGCTCCAACTGCACATGAATATCCGTGCGTACCACTGCTGCTACTACTATAGTATCCTCATTGTACACACACATACTCCAGTGCGCCCGACTTACTTGAAGTACAAGCACAAACACGCGCCTCTCTGGTCCCTATCCGTGTCGAATTCGAAACAGATACCCTTCGAATACGGGACTGCTTCGTCTGGAACTTGAACGAGACCCTCATAAAACCCGAATCATTCGCCAAGGTATTCTGCGCGGACCTCGACCTCCCCACCGTCCCATGGGCAGAAACAGTCGCAAATCAAATTCGTGCTCAGATTGAAGACCACGAAGGCGTCGCTTCCATGGATATAGGCGTAGACAATGCTATCGACTTATCGTTGGATCCACATGTTGCAGTTGAAGCGGGCGAAGAGGTTCCCGAGTGTCGTGTTATTTTAAGCGTGCGCTTGTTCTCCTGGTGATGATGTTGAATTTAGTTACCTCATTGACGTTTACAGATCGACGTGCAGATAGCGACGTATCATTTACTCGATCATATAGAGTGGGACTTGCTTTCGCCTCTGACGCCTGAAGCATTTGCCTCGCAGCTCTGTACCGAGCTGGGGTTGTCGGGAGAGGCGCTGCCGCTCATAGCCCATGCGATCCATGAAGAACTCATCAAGCACAAGAAAGACGCTATCGAATGGGGCGTTATCGGCGGCGACAAAGAAACCGAAGGCATGAAAGATAAAACTGGGCTAGGCCTAGGCTGGGGCCGTACAAAAGGCCCGAAAGTCCTTCAAAGCGTATGGCGCGAATGGACAGAAGCCGAAGAATTCCGAACACGGTTCGAGGTGCTCACAGCAGAAGAAGTAGAGAGACGAGAAATCGAAAAAGAAAGAGCTAGCAGGTACGTGTCTTGCTCTTCACGTGCTATCTACGCAATCATACTAACCTGGGCAGGCGGTTACGTCGCGAGACATCGAAATTCCAGACTACCAGAACTAGACGACGTTAATCTATTCAGACTATTCTGGGGTCTGGATTCTGGATTACACGATCAAGTCATAATCGTAATCACATGAAAAATTACTATACTCCATTCATAATCGCAATCGTCATATGCATTGATGTCGACGCCATCCTTGTCCTTATCGCTTTTTAAAATTACATCCGACAGGCGGTCGCTGTTTTCTGAATCCCCGATTCAGTTCTATCCAGTCATTTTATTGACACGGAGTCGTATTGTGGGCATGCATGATAAGACCACGCACCAAGATCTACAAGGAGATCTGATGGAATCTTCTTCATTTCAAGCTACTGGCTCCACGAGTGTGGTGTTGGTGCTGCGTATGGGGTGCTGGAAGCAAGTACTGCACGCGGCACATATACATAATGCTTGCCTTCTGGACGTTTTCCAGGGTGCAGTGTTCTACGCCTTGCCTTTCATGAGTTAGACGACTGCCTGTTCCGTGCGCTGTGCCCATTCCCAGAGAACCCCGCATTAATATTGAACGGATAGCTATGATACGGCCGGCCCGTGCATGACCGTATTCCCGTCCCATCCCATCCCACAAGTCTCCTACCTCGAAACCGGTTGCATCTGAATCGACATCATGAATCAAAAATCGAAAACATGACGTGACACGGCTATTTCATATCGATGGGCAGAATCTATCATGGACACCCGTGCTAGGGCCATACCCAAAAATTCGGGATCTACGCATACGTGTATATGAGGATACCTACCCGCCCACTGGCACTAATTAGTATTAGCATACTTATATTAAAAGCCCTTTTGGAAAGAGTCGGATGGACAGGGAATTTGGGACGTTGCGGGTACGCATGGTACCGATGTTAATCATGATGGCATAGAAAACGGTGCGGGCGCTGCCGCGGTGAGGCTCGACTCGACCCCGGGCTCAGAACTCGGATTCAAGTGACCATACTTGAGTTAACTTGTGCCCAGACACATTCTGGACCTAGATCTACGCCTGATCGGACTTCAAACCTACGCCCACCGATAAAAGTTTGGGGTAGATAAGGGCCTGGCAGGGGCAGGGAGAACTTGAAGTTTGAACTTAGGTTAAGGGAGATGCCGCTTCACCCCATGGCACCGCAATGAGCCTGAGCTGGAATCTTCTGAGATCTTTACACAGGTTTTTTTCGGCGGTGCAAATTGAAAGTTTTGACCTACTAGGTTTCGGCGAAGCACGTCCGGTCACTCGCATTTCCTACATAGGCTTTGGTCTTGTGGCATTAGTACTTGGCCAAAGGCAGGGTTGTGTTTATTATGACTCAGGCTCCACGAACATGTGTTAATTAGAAAATTTCGAGTTTGCGGCGCCCATGTGCACATGGCGTTCGTCAGCTTCCGGACTGTGCTGTGACAGGATAACATTCACATTAACCTTGCACCCCTACTGTCGGCTCCGAAATCACAAAAGCGTTCGGAGAAGCATAAAAAAACGAGGACCGGGACAAGACAAGTCAGCATGGATTAGTGAATAGCTAACAAGCAGTCTCCCACATGTAGTAGGACGAGATCGTTCCTTCCAGCACGCACGAGCATTTCAATGATGACCAGCAGGTACATTTCGAATTCTACTTATGATGATCATGACATCACGCATTGCGACGGACAACTCCCTCGGAATATGGGTATCATGAATGTATGTTCGTCGTCTAAACAACGAACATGAAGGAAATAAGACCAGCATGATGAAGCGCTTCATACCACAGAACGTGGTGTTTGACTTCCAGAGGCGTAACACAATGTAGCGTGTGGCTTTTGTTGTTCGGTGGGTCATAGTACATCCCGAGATGCATTGTGACGTTGCCGGTTCTCCTTGAAGGCCTCCAAGACATTTCATTTTCGTTTCTCTCTCCGCATAAACGAGGAGTCGAGAGATCCCTCCCGAACGTTCCCGTTTGTCTTTGTGTGGTCGGTTCTCCATTGATAACTCCGAGACGGCTTCATTTTCCTCTTGGCGCGGACAGGGGCCAGGGGAAGCTTTCGGTACGTGGGTATCCTTCCTGGACGTTCCCGTTACCGTTCGTGTGGTCGTCAATGTGGCACTGTAGATGTGTCTCCATCTCCATCAAGGGCTCCGAGACGCTTCATTTCCCTCATCGCGCGGATCATGACATGACGAGAAGCCGTCGCAGTTGCTGGCACTGTGGCCTTATGAAATCTGTGGAGTGCGCATGACGGTGGGGCTGTGAGCATGACTGTAACCATAGATTTTACAGTGTTGTTGGAAACAGTAGCAGCCTACATAGCTTGTCCGACGCTCGCATAGTACGGTCGAGATTTTAGGCATCTGGATGCTCGGAACTTCAGAAGCGGGCCATTGCCAAATACTAAACAGGCCAAAGTTTGCAATAACATTTCTCCGGACGGTAGGACGCATCCTCGTTAACGTGATTCTGGTTCTTGTTCTAGTTCATCAATATTAATGTCAAATTCCTCCTTCAAAGTAGATCACGACTTGCTCACATGTTCACAAATCCGTTGTCTCCTACCAACGCCCTCTCGTCAACAACCCAATGGAACAGAACAGAACAGAACACAGCATACAGCATACAGCATACAGCACGCAAAACATGACTCACAGCACATGACTTACTCTCACTGTCACCCCGAGTCTGACGTTCTGATACATGAAGCGGATAAGGTGTGAAAGGAAGCGCGTGTGGGCTAAGCGGAACGCGTAAACTCCCAGACGCGTAGATTCTAAGTATGTCGGTGTGGAAAGTTGAGGCATACGAGGAGAGCCTTCCGGCAATGAGGAGAAACTTTTGCCACGTGAGGGAGCCTTTCGGGAGTCGGACATCCCGTATTTTCCCAGAATCGGTGGTGTCATCATTAATGTTGCGCTGTAGAACTGGTTTGAGGGGTGCAAGTTCATTTCCGTTTGTGGGGATAATGAGTGTCATACCGTACGGTACTATGAAATACAATCTGGATGCTCGGATGATGGGCTAGTAGCACATTATGCTCTTTGCGTGGATATCTCTACTGGGAGGAATTTGAGCAAGGGCGGATGAGGGGATAGTCCCAGATTTTCCCACATGCGTGGTTGTCAACGTTGTCGATGAAACCTGTATTTGAGTTTGAGTTGAGTGTACGTCTCCTTTGAGAGGGGCGTTCGGCATGTGGGGGGAGCCTTTGAGCATGTGGAGAATTGTAGATGCCGTATTTCCGCACAGCCTAGGATCATGAAGGTCTTTACTAGGCGAGTGAGCTTTACGTAGGTGGGTTGTCGTCAACGTTGACTGAACCGGAGTTTGGAATCTCCGAACACTTTGAGGGATCCGAGATGCCATTCGTTCATTTCGCTCTGCGCGGGGATAGAATCTAGACCCTCGAAGCCTGGGAATGATGCGCCGTGTTCTTTGGATGAATGCCGAGAGGGGGGGGGGGAGCCGTGGAGTTGTTGTCAATGTTACCAGAGTTGTGAGATTATCGTCGGCCTACATTGAAGGGACCGAGATATGGTTCTAGCACATTGTTCGCTGTTTGCGCGGTAAATAATCGGGAACTTTGCTGGGATGAATTTGAGATGTTGTGCAGGTGGATCGTGTCAATACGACAACGATACAAGCAAGAAGGAAACGAACTGAAGGCGCGTGATCTCGGCAAAGGGAAGGGGGGTATGCTTATAGGGCACGTGGCAAAGCGATAAAGGGTCGGCGGATGAACGAGGGGGGAGGTTGGGGTTGATGCGGTGTAGTCGGGGAGGGACATGGTATTCAATTTTCTTAGAATATCGGGGTAAGATAACGATAAGGCGGGGTATTATTATTATATAATAAAAAGTTTATAATTTATTTTATTTTACCGTTTCCACGTTGGACCCCTTGCACGTTGAATACACGCCTCTCTCTACCCCGGACTCCGAGCGACCCCCCATATTACATACTCTAGCGCCTACTTATACTCTGCCTCATTTTTTCATTCCTTCTTCATCCTAACCACAATGGAGACTCAACTACCGCCACCTCCATCCAACGATAAAGTCGCTCCTCGTCCCTACAAATGTCCTTATCCTCTATGCGGTCGTGCTTTCAGTAGACTAGAACACCAGGTAAACCTATCATCCCTTTTTTTATTATTATTCTCTACAGACAACGTGCTGATCTCATATGATCGACATCTTATAGACTCGTCACATTCGCACTCATACAGGCGAAAAACCCTTTGTCTGCACTTTTCCATCTTGCGAGAAACGTTTCTCTCGCTCAGACGAACTCACAAGACATTCACGCATTCACAACAACGATAATTCTTTGTCTGGTGCTTCAAATACCAAAGGTAAACAAAAGGCAAAACAAGATATCTCAATCATAGATGATCACACCGGCCCAGGCATCAACCTACATTCCTTACCTCGCTCAGACCCTCAAGGAACTTCTATCAGAGTAAAGAAGAAGGCCAGAAGTAGAGCAAATAGTGACGATGAGGTTCTTCCATTTCTCTCCTTCATCCAATAAAAATAACCCTCTGATTCTAGGGTGAATCATATGCCCGTCCAACTTCACTGGCCTCTTATGAGCCTTCTCACCCAAGACGCTCACAAACTCATGTCCCAGTTTCATCAAACCCTTCCGCTTTTTCAACTCTATCCAGTCTAGCAATGGATGAGCTTTACGCACTCGAACGAGAAGAGGCTCTCCGTCGCGCAGAATACGAGGCTCGGCATGCAGAGGCCCTTCGCCGTGCAGAGTATGAAGCCCGGAATGCCGAGGCAATCTACTTCCGCGGACGTACATCAAAAAGCGCTTCCAATTCTCCCGTCCACTCAACAATATCTTTAAAGGGCCCAGCAGCTGATGGCTATTTCGGTGTTTCAAGCACCCGTGATTGGAACGAAGACGAAGACATCAGATCTTCAGACAAATTTATGCGAGCAAAAAGAAGAATGAGCGGCCCTGCCTGGCAAATGACTCCTATGTCACAAGACCCCCGCTCTGTCCCTGCACTTCAATCATACCCCGAAGCCCCCAAACCCCGCACCCTGAACTCAACCCTTCATCCCCCAGCTTATCGGCATCTCGTAACACACGAAGATTCTCCCTCTCCTTTGAGTTCCGATTCCGACACTCACGCCGCACAACATCCACAATCACGTCCCACATATCCCGGCCCTGCAGAGTTCTCCCCACCTTCCGGCATCAAAGCTGCAGAATTCACCTTCACACCAAGTACAAGCCCATTTCTTGGCCCACTTCGCACCCTCAATCTTCATTCAACCAACCCATCAAGGGCCCCGTCACCCATCTCGCTACCCCCTGTGGATGTGCCTATCAGCCCTATAGACGAACCTATCCGCCAACGTTCCCGTCGTTCCAGCATCGTCAGCAGTCCCCCAACCCGCGGTGCTTTTTTCCCAGCTTCCCGAAAACAAGGCTCAGGTTCATTCGAGCCGATTCCACATGTAAAAACATACCCCGGTCAACTCTCTCTTGCTGCCCAAGCCCAAGCTTCTGAGCGAGCCTTACATAACCTCCCGACGCCCCAACTTTCAAGTGGGCCGAGTAGTAGTGGAAGCAGCCCTGGGAGTTCTACATATCCGTTGGTGGGGGGCGGGATGTACAGCTCTAAACCAGTGTTTGAGAGCAGTACGATGACTACCAGTCCGAGCGGTTCAAGACCCAATTCGCCCCCCCACCCCCACACGAACCACCACCTCGCATATTCTGTCCGGATGGCATTCGGAATGACGCCCATCAACGCTAGCCACCCACCCCGAAATACGAGCTGGCCGAATTCACATCATTTGGGTATGAATGGGGGTATGGGTATGGGGTTGGGTCTGAAAAGCAAGGCTCGAAGCACGACGAATGTGTTTGTGTCGAGTTCGGTTCCTACTTCGAGGAGCAATTCACCGCCCATTACTCTACCGCCTTTGAATTTAGGTGCGAGTGAGAGTGCGGGTGATAGGGAGAAGGGAGGAGAGGGGGATGGGGATGGGCTTCCGATGGATATGGATGAGGATGAGAGCAGTAGTGAAGATGAAGGGACGTTTATGAGCACGGGTAGTGATAAGAGGAAGGTGGAGCTTCCGGGTTTCAAGGAGTTCGAGGCTGCTACGAGGTCCGGGAGGTGATGTGCTTCCTCCCTTATTGCTTTTGGTTTTTTTTTTTGGTTGGTTTGCTCTTTTTTTTTTGGTTCGTGCTCGTCGCGTTGGTTGATTCCCCTCTGCAAACAATCTATTCACACCCACTGCTCCAACATCAATCCACTTCTTAATACCTTATTTCCTGCTTGTTCTCATCATTCCCCTCTCTTTTCATTCATGTTTTCAAAACTCCACATAGAAAAGACCCTTGCGAGGGTGTTATACATAGATGCGTACATAGGCTAGGATCAGGTTATCTTGACGTGTAGGAAGTATCTTAGCTAGTGTTTTCGAGTAATTTTCTTTCCTCCCTTTTATTTCTGTCGCTCTTTGGTTCCGATTCCTTTAGAGTAAACCTCTCCCCCCCCTCTCTCGGTGCCGTTGCTATCTATCTATCTATCTATCGAGTACGCACGTGCGTAATGCACTGTTATATAGTAGTTGTATCATTCCCTCGTCGATATCGTGTATGTAGCATTGTATGCTTTCTGCTCGCGCTCGTTATTCATCGCGATCGACAGCTGTTCTCGAACTTTACAGCCTGGGTTAAGCGCTTATAAGCATATTTAAGTTTAGTACAAGCTGCTTATCGTATCCACGGAACCAGTACCACCACATCATCGACATCACGCTGACCTCCAACGCCCCGTCCGCCCCGCAACACCCGAGATCTCATAATTTTAATATTGATGGTTCTTCGATTCTCGACGCGATTGAATTTGATGAAACGACGAGACCACGCACAGGAACAGGAACACGAACACGCATCATGCACATGCGTCGTACCTTGAACAAGTTTGGTCCGACGGAATCGTTGACTTCACGATCTATCCATCTTGCAAGGAAGGATGCGTTGAGGAAGTTTTATGAGTGTGGGTTTTCGTATTCCAGGTATGTGTATGTGTCGTCATGCTTCGATGTGTGAATGTCCTGTGTACGCGGTGCAGGTGCTGCGCGTGTCCTTCGTGTGTATGTATCACATTTATCATCGCGCGCATCACATTAATATCATAATATCCATTATCGTAACTTGAGTTTAAGCATTGCATCATGCATGCCCACCCTACTGCTCATCACATATTCATAATAGCATCTAACGCCTACCCCTCACAGGAAACTAACAGCCCACAAATCATGCGTCAACTACCTCGCCTTCTCAAGGCACGATGGCAGATGGCTCGCAAGCGCTGGAGACGATTGTCGCGTGTTGCTTTGGGATTTCAGTCAGGAGGATGTGGTATGTCCAGGGCATGCTTTTGCCGGGCCTATGGTGAGTTTTTTTTTGTCCATCGTTTGGTCATCGGTGCTTATGGCTGGATAGGGAAATGTACTGGCGCTTGATTTCTCTGCTACGAATCAGTATTTGTATAGGTAAGGATTCGTATCATGTCGTGTGTTGTGTTACAGTGTTGATCAGCTGTTATAGTGGAGGAGCAGATGATGTTATTTTGAAGTACGATGTTTCGACGTTGCGGGAGGTTGGTAGTACTAGTATTGGTGAGAGGGGTTGGTCGTCTTCCGTTGAACGGTACGGAGATCACGATGTAAGCACCCACTCACTTTTTATGAGACTCGGAATGACGTCAAGGAGCATAGGATAGCGTCCGAGCGCTTACATGCCATCCATACGAAGACGAGATATTTATCAGCGCTAGGCACGTTTTATTCCAACTCGCCCGTATCCGAGTCTAAATCGGCATCTCACAGCGAAGACGGAAAACTCGTATTGCATGACAGCCGTGCTGGAGGCAGAATGAGCGCGGCGCAGGGGACGCTTCAACATACGGCTGCATTCACAGGCGTGCAACATCACCCTGTTATGGAGCATGTTTTTGCGACGTGCGACGTGCATGGGCATGTTTGTCTCCGGGATACGAGGATGACGTTTGGGCCGTTGTCGAGACGGTCGAATGATGGGATCGTGAGAGTGGTATGTTTGTCTCTGGTACTGCTGCTATAGATTGATTCATGAGACGAGTGATAGTATAACACGAAGTTGTCGAGAAAGTCGGCGGGTTATCTTAGTAATCCAGAGAGCAGCAGTTTGACTTTTGATCGCGATGGTGGGTTTTGGACCACAAGTTGTGTCGTGCTGCTTCATACTCTCCCTAGGAAGCAAATTAGCCGTGACGTTCCTTGTAAGCTTTTCCCCTCCAGTTTCAGGTTTTTCTTAGCATGCTCTAGCACTATTTCCCAACGATATATGACATGTCAGATCCACATCCCCTGGCTATATGCACAGGTCGTAACACTCCCGATGGAACCCCTATCTCTCCACCCCAACGATCATACACCAATTCATGTACGATGAAAGTATGTCACTTCGTTTCTTCGCGTCAAGATTGCACCTCAGCTCACTGCGTCTAGTCAGGCGCTTTCGGTGGTCCTGGCATGGATGAAGACAATATGTACGGTGCTGGGTCTGATGATTTCAGGGCTTATGTATGGAGGATTCCTCCTTTGATGACTTTGCAAGGGCTTAGACAGGAGATCACCCCTCATGACTGGTATGCCCGCGAGTGGCCGGATACTGTAGGTGAGTGTGCACAGTCATATATCCGGACGGGATGCCTGACGTGCAAGTACTAGCGTTTGCGGAAGGCAAGTGGGAGAGCAGATACGTGCCTTATGAAATATCGATGCCATTAGCGAGACTGAATGGTAATCATCCTCAGTTTAGGGGTTTTATTGCTGACAGTCAATTGAAGGGCATAAATCAATCGTAAATTCTGTCGCGATTCATCCGTCCTTGCTACATATCGCGACTTCGGGCGTCGAACGACAAATCATACTTCATAGCCCTACGCCTTCGTCGCCTGCTGTTCAAAATCTCCTTCCTACTCCACCGGCTGTGAGGATGCTTCAACCACAAGATCTAGCAGCGCAAAGAATGTTTCTACGAGCACTTTTTGGGCCACATCCGACACTGCATGAAGATGTTGAGGATGATGAAGGGGAGAATGAGACGATCTCACTTTTTGATCAGTAAGTCCCAATATTGTCTCGGCACGGCCTTTTTCTGATACTTGACATGGATAGTATTTTGAGAGCAGAGGGTGAAGCAGATGTGTTTACAATAAGACGTTGGGGAGAAGATTCAGCAGAAGATTCAGAAGATGAAGATGAGACGATAATCGATGACTTTGATACCTCTCTTTCTGATAGCTCCCTATAATTCGGTTCAAGCGATGATGGCAGTGCACTATGGATAAGCGCCTTATTCTACCACAGCTTATTTCCATTCCGCGATGAAGAAGCTAATAAAGCTGTTCCGGCGCTTTGTGTAGACACGTGTGGCGTACTGTGTTCCCTATCTGGTTCATCGTCCCTCTAACCCTACCGCCATCGTGAATATCGATTTTTGCGTATAATGCCTGTGTACGACGTTAGTATTGCACTTTTAGGCTCCGATGTGAGTTTCAGGACCGCTTTGTTGACGCTTTGACAGTTGATTGCCAGTACAGCTCGAAAGACGCGTCCGCCAACACGCTGGCGCCAAAGAATCAGCTTGGGCGAAAGCTGGTGTCAAACCTGGTTTTCAAATATGGAGGGTAGAGAACTTTGCGATCGTTGATTGTAGCGACTGGGTGGAACACGAGAAGAAATATGGGACTTTCTATGACGGCGATTCGTATATTGTTTTGCATGTGAGTGGCGACGATTGGGATTGGGACATGAGAGGTTCTAACTCTCCATACAGACGTACCAGCCTGATGGCAAGAAGGACACCCCGCTCCGATACGATCTGCATTTTTGGCAAGGAGAAGATACGATTCTGGATCAAGCTGCCACAGCTGCATTCAAGGCTGCTGAGCTCGAGGAACGTACGTCATCCTATCATACACTCCGAGCATGAATGGATGCTTAGAGCACCCATCAGACCTCGGAGGCAACGTGACGCAATACCGCGAGATCCAAAACCACGAATCCCCTCGATACTTATCCTACTTCCCCCACTTCATGATCTTGCATGGGGGCGTATCGACGGGATTCCATAGCGTGCTCACCATGTTGCCTGAAGATGCAAAGAAGATGTACACGATGGTCACGACGCGTGGTAAGGTGCTCAAAACACGGTCAGAGGACGGGAAACAGCTTATAGTGCGTGAAATACCTCTCGAGGGGTTGGTTATGCGCCAGGCGATTGTCTACGTACTCGACAAAGGTCCACTCTATTGGCAATTTAACACCAAGAAGAGTACCGCTTGGGCGAGGTACAAAGCAGCTGAATATATGATGTACTTGGGACAATGGAGGGTTCCTCAGGCTAAATTTCAAGTGTTTGGTGAGTGCGTTAATCGGCTGAGCTGTGGTTCCGTGCGTATTAATGATAACTGTGCAGATGAGGGGACTCCGGACCAAGCAGAGTTCCTTGAAGCAGCGGGAGTCACTTCTCCTGTATTGGACGTACCGCTAGAGACTCCGGTCGATCCCCCGGCATTATACCGACTGAACGGAGACGTCGATGGCTGGCAGGTCGTCGCTGTCGCTGTACAGAAAACTTCACTTCAGTCTGATGGTGTTTATATCTTGGACGACCATGCATTCCCGGCGGTCTACACTTGGCTAGGGAAGAACGTACCAGAGCCCCGACGAAGACTCGCACTACAGTATGCTCAAAATTACTTGAATGATAAACGTACCAAGGAGGGAGAGCATGTGCAAGTGGCAACTACGTTGGTGAAGGTTAACGAAGAAGCAGAGCCAGCTTCATTTTGGGAGGTATTGGATACGAAAACCGAGGGAGTGCCCTGATTGGATTTGTGACAATGGGACAATGGGACAGTGTGCATATATGTAGCTATGTAGTATTACAGGTGTCGATGTGTCCAAGAATTCATAACAGGATTCGTGTGGCCTGTGTACTTCATACGTCGTAAGCGATTCTTGCGCTCGTCCAACAGTAGGGGTAATTCCGTTGGTACCAGTTGCGTACACTCCTCCTTTCAGAAATACGAGGAATGGTCGCGTATGATCCTCCAATCTGATAAATGTAATAAGAGAATGTGGAGAATAACTCAGGCAAGACACATACCACCACATTATGAGATTCATCGAAGAAATCAGCGGAATACCTGAGTGAAGTACGTTGGTCAGCTAGTTATACGAGAACTTATCGTGCTTACCCCGGATACAGCGTCGATGCTACAAAGCCATCGTACCCGCCAAAGATGGTGGAAGTCCACTCCCACACCCCTCCATTATGTCCCTTCCCACCGTGCTTGCTTCTGCCGGTAGTAGCCCTAATATGAAATGATTAGTAGTCTAATCATTCACGGGAGAGTATACGTACGGGACGGGATGCCAGTTCCTAAATCCAACGTTGGCGCCCTCTTCATACCCAGAGGAGAATTTGTCAAGGAAGAGTCTCAATTCTGGTTCAGTCGGGATGCGTCCGCCCTTGACACTCGCATACACTGAAAGATTCTCGTAGCAAGTAAGGATTGGCCAGTCCCAGGCGATCTTGATGGGAACTGGACCATATAGTGTTCGCACCTGCAGTGTGTTGAGATTAAACGCGGAAGCTAGGATAAGTGCGCCTTACACAGGTTTCTCCATTGCGATCCTCCCAACTCGCGGGGAACTTGACTCTGCCTTGTCCGACACCCTTGTAACACTCGTAAAAGTCTCCATTCGTCACGGGCCGCCACTCAATACGGAATGCTTTGACTTCGACCTGTCTAGTTGGGCTTTCATTGTCCCACCCAAAGATATGACCAGCGACATCGCAGCGTTTCGCAGGATCGGTGTCTTCTGCTTCAATGTCGTTAATGCCAAGCGTGACAGTTGAAGGACCTATTTCAACGGTTGCTACAGCAGGTTTGGGTGCTCTTTGCCATTGCGCTGCAAGAAACTCCCAGTGGGGAGGAGAAAAGTCGGGTGGAGGAATCGTTCCCGTCCCTGCGCACTGAACTAGCATGTACAAGAGCGTCTTGAGGCAACCTCAGCATATCAAACCAACTTCCAAATAGGCAACGTTACCTCGATATGCAAACCTTCATGCTCGAACGTCATGAACAGGACGCGAGCCACCTTCCTAGTCAAGGAGATCTTGCCCTCAGCAATATCGCTATAAACCTTCCTAAGGCGCTCCCTGACACGATTCCTGAAGGCCAGAATACTACGGAGTGATGGCCAATCGTCATCCTTTGTGGGAACAACTGAATGAGGCTAGGGATAGGATTAGGCTAGACGAATGAACGAAAATAATAAGGCGAACATGGTTGCATTGTGTTGGGTCGTCAACATTGGGGTCAATGCCTCTCTACAATCAGATTTAGCTGTACCCATTCTCAGGTATATGATTACTTTGTACCTCGAAAATGTACTGCAGATGAGATATGAGCCGCTGATTACCTGTTTCGAATTTGAACTGACCTTGAATTCCTGAGGTTCGGTATGAGGTTCGTCAAGAAGACGAGATAAGTGGATGTCAAGAAAGGTTGGAATGTGACCGAGATAGAACAGACAGATGTGCCTCAAATCAATCGGCTTCTGGAATAGCATTGCAGGAGGTATCATCCGCAGCGTGACGAAGTCCCAAGCAGTCCACATGTCGCTCCAGTCTTCTATCGAGGGTATACCGAACTTAGTGGTATGGTCAGGCACCACCGATGGCGAGTCTAGTAAAGGAAATGCGAATGGCGGACGTTCTAAAAGCCAAAGTGAATAACGTCCCGTGTTATCCATCCACCGCTGGATGGGCCGCACTTTGCCTTCAGTGAACAGCGTGTATATGTCAGCTTCCGAATACTAGGCTCGCTGCTCGTGAGTTATTCCCCACCTCATTCGAGGTGTGCAACGTACTTTGTGCGATATTTCCATATTGACAAGTTCGCCTTCCAAAAATTGAATCGGCCTGGGCGCCATCGGGGGGTTAATGTCATGCGTACGAGTGCACCTATAGTACGCTTCATGACAACCTAATCCAACAGGCTACCTGGATTGGTCTTTACTCGCACTGACAAGAGGTACTTACGTTTGGATTCGTTGTAGGTGTTCACATATTCCCAATTTTGTTCCGCGAACATAGACTCGTCTCCGAGTGCCCTCCCAGCGGTCTTCAACCCATTCAAAATAAAATCTCGAGTATAACCTTGAGGGTCGTTGTATGCAAGTTCAATCTCTTTGCGACCATTATCATGGTCCAAGCCAAGAAGAAGGGTATCCCTGCCGGGCTCCAATGGCAACGCTCGCAGAAACTTGGCGTCTTCTCCACGTTTGAAGTTGCCTAACGAGGAGCCGAGGAAGAGCAAATGTAAGGGGGTCTGGATATTTCCTGGTGTAGACGGAGATGTTATCTCAGTGTCAGACGAATCAGGGAAAGAAGATCCTGTCGAGGCCAGGGAGAAGTCCCGGCAAGTGCTGTCGAGCTTGTAAGACCCCAACGAGAGTGGCAAAGCGTCGTCTGTAATGCTAGGTTGTTGAAGACCACCTTCTTCTATGAATTTGACTCCATCATCGTATGTTCCAAGCATGCCTTGCGCCTTTATCTTGCCGACAAGCATAGAACCAACTGCAGATTCGTGAAGTTCCATCAAAGTGCGCTTGAGCTCACGTTCTTCAAGATCAAGCGCGTAGTACGTGATGGGTACAGCAGGCGGGACGACAGGGACGAGATTGGTGAGCGCATGTAGAATGTGGGAAGTCTTGCGCAATGCGCTATAGTAAAAAAATTGTCAGCAGTTGTTCCAACGCTGAGAGTGTTGATGACATATTCAAAGTGTCATGTGCACTAAGGCCGAGTCATTACTATGACCGCAGCGGGCAGGCGGAAGGAGGCAGCAGAAAAAAGTAAAGAGTCAAAACTCACCCAGCCCCAAGCTCAAGTACGACCTCTTCCAAAACAATACCTCCAGTATGCTGGTGCATGACATCCACAATTTGGCCAGCATGGTCTTGGAGAATTTGCTCCTCCGCACCGAACAGATAATATTCTGGTGCTTTGGTAGTGATATTGTCGTATAGCCTTAAGCCGCGCTCGTCGTATAGAATCAGGGTGGGCAAGGTCTTCTCATTCGTGGCAGTCATTAATCCTCTGATAGCCTGCGACTGGATGTCACTGGCAGCATCGGAGGACTTGTCATGGAGTCGAACATCGACAATCTGAAGAGTGTTCATGGTGTTGTGCTGTGGGCAACAGATGTGGAAAGTGACCGTTGGGGATCTGGAGGACTAGGATTCCATGGGACATTCCCTTTATAAGTCGTAGGCCCATGATGTATACAGGGATTCGAGTGAGTTGCGTTGGTTATATAATAATTGTCTTAGAGACCAAATCAAAGACGTGGTAGCAGCTTGCAAGACATCGCCTTTCTCAACTGGCCACTAGACTGTATGAGTATGCATGAGAAAAGCTCGTGAATCAATGGAGTGATAAAAGACGGTAAACTGTGCACCTGTGCGCTTCATTGGGACCATTTCGATTACACCTGGTTCAAGTTCGACGATGATGGATACGTATTGAATGGAGTAGCCATACCTACCATACATACCAGCTTCTTCATAATTTGACTTGTCAAATAGCTGAGCTACTGATCCGCAACTTGGGTAGCATGCCGCACTGTGGCAAACACCAACGTGCCAGATAGACAGGCGACGACATGTAGGGTCCTATTAATTAGTTCGGAGGGCCAGCGTTTATGCCTCAACTAGATTCATGCACATGTTACACGATGGTACACGGGCGTATTACTTATTTCCATGTTTTGAAATCATTACTGGTACACTGCAAATGGAAGGTGTGAGGCACAGAATAGTACATAGAGCAGTGACGCACCTCAGCTAAAGGTTTGAAAGGGGGCCTTGACTTCCATCGTATCACGATGGCAGACTCGGCCAACAGCCAACTTCGGTCAACCACTGGTTCGGACACTTTGCAATATCTCACTCAACTCTGCTTCAAATGATATTCTGTCCAACCGCATATCATCGTACACCGTGAACTTGAATAATTGAAATTGGTCGAGAAATGATTTTTAGGTGTGACAGAGCCAAAGTCTGCTTGTCACCAAGCCGAATCTGCCGTAGCGGAGTTTCAGGTTTGCCGAACCACTCACCATTAGCAGATTTGTGCTCATAGGGTCATGCCATACCCTAACTTCAAGCAAAACGCTTCAGGCTTCCAGCGCGAGTCGCGGATTCAAGAAGCCCTTATTGGAGTTCAAGGAGGAATGTATAAGAGCTCTAGGGCCGCAGCAAAGGCTCACCAGGCTCACCAGGTGAGATCGGGGATAATGTGCTTCGATGAACTCACATCTTTTGTTTAGGTTTCTTTCCAAACTCTACATGATCGTGCAACCGGGCACCACCAATCAATTCAAAGTGCTGCCAGGAAGCGCCGACTGTTAAGCCCGTCACAGGAAGCTGGATTACTGATTGGTGCCGCCTCAACTCAAGTTTTACCACTCTTCTCCATGCTCGTGCTTTACAAAGGAGTAAGTAGGTAGTAGGTGGTGTGTAAGATGATAGATCCCATGTCTTACACGCCACCTACTTGCACCTTTGCAGCACCTTCTTTTGTACCACACTGTCTCAGTCATCCTACCCCTCATAAATTTACACCAGTTCATAATGCACATTCAATAAAACCTTTTTAATTGTTTAGCTTTTAGTTAGAGTCATGAACGCTACGAAGCCTGTGCACTTGAAGGCGATGCCGAGCGGAGCTTGTGTCGGGCGGATGTGACATTGTGTGACTGTCTGAAGTTCCAGAGGCAAAAATATTTTTTACGGGCCCAACGGCAGAATCGCCGATGTTCAGCTGCGTCGGAAAATTTCAACTATATGTATAGATATGACAATGCATGGGTGTCACTGGGAAACATCATTTCCCCTGCAGTAGTTTGATATTCTGCCGGATTCTGCCATCTGCCAGGCAGAATTACCACTAGTTCTGCCAAACTGGCAACACCAACGGGCTTACCTCTCCGCAACATACTTAATAAAGTGATATATACCGAGTCACCCAATTCTATTTCAAGCTTCTTTCTCGAGGCGGGCCGCGAGCTGGGATAGCATCTCTTGTGAGCGTGGATTGCGTGGAAATGACCGCCCATCACCATTCCTGCATGGATCCACTCGTTGAGTTTGCCAAAGAAAGGTGGTGCATAAAAACGACTCACACAGAGCCCCCAATGAGAAGCAGATAAAGCCACCCTCGCGGCTTGCTCCATCCGAAAACTTGCGCCCAGTTTCTTCGCCATCCGACGTCGTACATGCGCACGAACCTATGTGCATCACGGACCACTCTACGTTGATTGTATGATAGCTCTTCTTCCATTGGAGGTTCAGACAACTTCATGGACACCGGTAACGGAGGAATATATCTCAATAACAAGAATGGTGACAGAGCTTCAACAGTGGTCTGGTTAGTGCTACTTTGCGATTAGCGCACGGAATGATAAGCCTAAAGGTCATGAGTTTGACTTACGTGATGAGGTAGACATGGTATACCAAGAAGGAACCAACAACCAGAGTGAAAATCACGCCAGCAGCGGCGAGTAACAATTCATGAACGGGAGTAGACTCGTCCTGCCAGTGGACAGTCATATATGAGTTGTCAATTCAGTAAGCGCGTCCAAAACTCCTTACCGGCACCAGAAGTGGGTTATCGAAAGACCACCAGACTGCAGATATAGATATAGTAGCGACGTATGCGGAGAAGGCAGTGATGCAAGTCAAGAAGTGAACGAATGCTGGGTATGTTCTATGTCCCTGCAAGTGAGACTTTATAAAGGCATACCGCAGATTTACTCTATCACTTACGATACATTTAGCTCCGAGCCAAGGACAGTGATGATCTAGGATGGTAAGCCTGTAGCGTATTTGCCTGAAGTGTATAGACTCACCCATCTTCAAAACACAGCGGCCACATACGCTGCAATGGTGCGCACGCTCCGGTTTAGGTACCCAACATTTCCGACAAAACTTGTCAGGACTACAGTCGTCGTCAGTATTCTCCATGGTCATCAAAGCTTCTGTGAGGCCCATATCTTCAGTTTGATGGATAGGATCGTGGTCGGAAGCGTCCATGTATACTGGACCGGGATCACGAACTACGCAAACCATCAGGGAGGCGAAGGCGAGGAATTCGAGGGTAAAAGTGATCAAAAAATGAACAACGAAGGCGGTGGGCTTGTTCAATGTGAGAAGATAGTGGTTTACGAGTACAATGAGCAATGAAGGATAGGGAGCTACCATGAGGAAAAGTAGCACTGGGGATGTTTTGAGTGTGTCAATGAAGGAAACCATGGAGTGCGAGGACGTACAACATAGCGGTAGGTAATGATACCAAGTTCTCCGGACCTCTGAATCAAAATCGTCGTGTTTGAGGGAAGTGTCTTGTCCAGAGGTATCTACCTCGAAGGAGAGTAAAGGCTGAGGCCGTGACATGTGAAACGAATGGCTGGAAATTATCCACGGACTTTCGTCGTAGTACCGTGCCTGGCTTCAGACACAGTAGCTAAGGGTATTTAACAATGCAAAAAAGTGGTAGTCCCAGATATATGATAACACGAAGAGCGGAGGCGGTTCAACAAGCAGTGGCACGGCGGCCTGCCAGGGCACTGTTCGTCACCTACTACGTATGGTACTTTCGTCGCTACTAACCGCATTAATATGATATGCGGCAGTACGTGAGTCGTGACTACTGAAGCTTGAAGCTCAAGTACTGGTTACAAGACTAAATACTTCAAGGACGTTCGTGCGCAAGGCACCAGACATGACCCATTCCTACGAACTTGCCAAAGATCCAAATGGCCTCCAAAGGTAGCGAGAGTCACTTGTGCCAAGCTTGGGAACTGGCTGCAATGTCGTATCATGATTTCAAATACATGACCTCCTCGTATGCGGCTGCGTATTTCGGTCACACCTACGCGTAGTTCGTGTACAATTTGAATAAGTCTATGTCCATTGGTCCTACTAATCAAAAATGGACAAGCAAAAATCAAATTTTATGAACAAGATTAGGTCTAGCTATGAATGGCTCAGTACCAGCATAAGTGGATGCGGCAACATGTTTGGGACGTACTGTGGAAGTCCAACCAATTCCCCATGGATGTTGATGTACCAAGGTTCTGTACAATGATATAAATCTTGCCTCAAAGCAACCTTAAAGGGTATTCAGTTGACGCTGCCACATTTGAGCGTTACGGATAAACTCGTAGATGGTTGATTAAATTTTAATCAAAGGGTTCGTCATGCAAGCGCTGTCACCTTGAACTGCCGATCTCGAAATTTAAACGTTAGAGGTTTTCGCATTGTATCCCCATGGTGCTAATCCACATAAATCAACAGAACGTCGGCGATTCATCAAACTAAACTCACTCATCGTAAGGACCAAAATTTCTCTTCGTGCGTCTGGAAAGCCTCTGCACACTCGGCGAGGGTCAAATATCACAATGGACGTGCGTGCCCACTGGTGGCAAAGAGAAGCCAAGTACAACCAGTGTCGACAAAGCCGGGAGCCGCGCGGCCGCCCAAGAGCTTGATAGTATCGGTACCGTTTAATACCCCAGTACTTCGCGATCGCCGAGAGTAGGAAAAAAACATCAGGTTGCTACGCAATCTACCTGAGGCAGTGAGACGGGAGAGGCGGCGGAACACGAAGCAGTACCAAAAATAGCTTTGAATGGGCGCAAAAGGCACATGAGGGAGTAACGAGTCCTGACGTTGGCTGTCATGGAGTAAACGGAGGAAGCCTATTATACAGCCTATTCCAAGCCACGTCAGTACACTGATATGGAAGAACAGTCATGATGTATCAGACTCACTTTCTCACCTATCACAACACACTTTACCGTTCTTGCACGAATGCAAGCTCCACGATTGTCTCCGTTTCCGGGCGAAGCAACTCTCTAACTTGGCCATAGAGCGAAGTGTTTCCCTCATGTCGTGCACGGCTCTCTCGATTGTTCACGTAATTGACAATGGTTGTTGGGGGTGATAGGAGAACCCTAGGCAGATGTGTTCGTTTCCTCATCATTATGCTAATGTACGGTGACCACTGTGTCGGTGTATCCAGACTGCGATGTATCAGAGGCTTCCTTCCAGATCTAGAAAGTGATGAGGCTTACTATTCAATCACTTCACATATAATGCAGACTACTGGAGGTGACCAGACGTTGTAGGTGCATTCCCAAAACGAACGGCATGCAGCACACGAAGGCAAGCTCGTTCTTCAGGAAGATGCAGAAGAAGGTCGAATAAACATCAGAGGAGAATCCAGCTTCCGATAAGGCTATAGAACCAGTCGCCCATGAGCAAGATGGATCTCGGTTGAAACTCAGCCTGAGATACAAGAGAGTTTGTGCCATGTGCCCCAATGTCCTTAGGACACTCTGAGGCCGCAAGTTATCATAACCATTCTATCGTACACTAGATGAACATCAATACAAGTAGTAGCGGTCATCTGACCTTACAGACGATCCATCTTCCTACTGCCCCTTCCTTCGGCCGAAGGTGTCTCGGCATCGCCCATCCATCCACTCCTGCAAAGAAAGACCTGATCCAGACGTCTGCTCGGTTGAAAGCAGTAAGCATTTGGCCATCCAAGTCTGAGTCTCTTCTGAAGCTGATAGCTCCCTGTATGCACTGCGCAGCACCGCCCACGCCTTATCCCTTGCTTTGCTTCTCAGCCGTTCCACCAGCGCGTGCACCGCATCTTGTGATAGACGGACCAGCTCGTCATTTGTCTCGTCAGATAATTTGGAAACAGAAAGGAACTGCCTGTATGCATCGTGCCGTGAAAGTGCTTCGACCTTGATGTGGTTAAGGGTGCGGAGGCTTGTTGCTAAATTTGATATCCATGAATATGCTTCTGATGTCCTATCGAGCACATTGGGCGAGAGGCACGAAAGATGTTCAAAGTAGGTCTTTTGTGATGGATATCCTGCGATTAAGTGGTGAAGAAGCAATATCAGCACCGAGCTGATTGGAGGCTGGATTGATGCAGAGGTGTAGAGTTCGGGCAGGAGGTGAGAGAGAATAGAGGATGTCTGGATTGGGGAGTCGAATAGCGAGGAGAGGCAAAGAGAGGTTTCGTACACTGTAGGATATATAAACAATAAAAAAATTAATGCAAGATCAAGTTGGCATACCTTCGATTGCAAAGGCATCCCTCCGCTTGGACGCGAAGATTCCTTCTCTAAGCTTTCCTGTGGAGTAAAGTTTGGAATAGATTCTTGGTCAAGAAGGAACGCGAGACTCACGAAACAAAATTAAGATGTTCTCCTGCCCATCCTTCGTCTGCTTCTCTGTCCAGAACTTGTGTAGCTGTGATCTTCATGATGCCTCATCCCGGATGCCATCAAGCACAGTGCACACCCACCTTCTCACCCACGAACACTCTGTACTGTTCTTGCACCTTGAAATCCTTCAAGCTAGCACCTAATAAAGATAAGCTCTAAGAATGAGTCAAGGGATGTGGTCTCACGCATCCCCGCCTTGCTCGAGTCCGCTACTCCGGCTAACTGATGCAATATGTTCCATTTGGATGTGAGGCGTGGGTTTTGGATCCCTGACTTGAAGAGAAGTGTTCACTCTTCCATGAGCATGTGGTTTCCCCCGCGGGCGGCCCCTGGCACCTCCACGGGCTGTTCTCATGTTGGTTGGTTGTCGGTAGACTGTAGTAGTACACGTAAAGTTAGGTTAGTGGGAGAAAAGTCTAATAAATATTAATGTTGGTTTGTTTGGATCGAAGCTTTTGGTAAATAAACTGTCAGTAAAAAGCTTAGCTAAAGGCGACTAGGTCACGCATTACTCAGCTAATGCTTGCACTACTGTCAGTGAGAGCCTGCATTCAATCATTGCGCCGCGTCCTGTTGGTTCGTCGGTCGGCCAGCCTATAAAAGCGACTCAGGCCACTTCATTCCTTGCTTTGCATCCGAGTACCGGGTATACTTCAGACTCGGCACAATCCCCATTATCTGCTCCTTCACAACGTCTAAGTATAAGACCCGTAACCCGTGCCAGTGAGTCCTATAGCTCTTTCGTGTTTTTTGGAGTAAATATACACTCTGGGTATAGCTTTTAAATTTATCGCAGAGTCTCACACCGTGCCACTGATCAGCTGGGTGACTGACCCGCTCTCAAACACAGTCATACTACTCCGCATACTATGAGCAGCGACGACGGAGTAGACGCGTCTGGGTCGTTTTCCGCCTCCGTTGACGCGAGTGAGCAGTCCTTGAAACTTCGAGGCGTTCGCTAACTGCGGTGTCGTCCAGAGGCCAACATAATCAGAGATGGTGATAATTCTTCACTCATCGAACCTTGCAGCAGGCATCCCGTCACCTCACTTTCACTTTTTCTGCCAGCAGAAATCCTAGCCCTGATTTTACAGCCAAGATGGAAGCGGTGCGAGGATAGAGAAGTCTGGAAAGAGATAGTGGATGTCTTGCTCAACTGCAGTCTTGTATCAAGAGCCTGGTACGAGGCTGCAAGAGCAGTTCTGTACCAGGATATTCGACTGTCTCGAGTCAACTCCCTCCGCCTACTTCTTTGCACCGTGCGCGAGAGGTTCGGCGGCTATTGCCCTGCTCATGCTCTGCAATTCATGTATTTTTCGCCCCATCGGCGTAACAAAAAGCAGCCCAAGGAGTATGCGACACTCGCTGGGGAGATTGTTGCGTGCTGCCCGGAACTCAGGTACCTTTCAGGAGATTGTGGCTCCCTGTACTTCACCAGCAACATGCCTCTCCCCGAATACCCATATTTGAGGGAACTCAAAGTATCTGGGCAGGACCTCTACCTCATTGCCCCTCTTTTATCCCGTCTATGCAATCTCGAGTCCTTTGAGATGCTTCAGAGTCACAATGGGGACGATCTCCTGGAATACTTTTCGCCACCTCACTTCAAGCTTTTGACTTTATCGATATCTCAAACAGAGTTGTCTCCTGGCCTGTGTAAATGGCTCGAACCAAGTTTAAAGAGCATAAAATGCTTGGAGGTGCAGGAAATAGGGATGAGCCTGTCCCACTTGGCCAAGGTCATTGGAGGTCTTTTAAAGGAAGTCCACGTCAAAATTATGGTCGATTCTATAGCGGACAGCGACTCTGAGACTATCTCAGCGTTATTTTGGTTCGCGGGCTTGCGAAAACTTCGCATTGACGGATCGAAAATCGACAAAGAACGTTTGCTTGATCTACGATTGTCATTGGAGACATTCACATTCTCTGAGGACATATTAAGCATGCGTACTGTGCTGGCGCTGCTACGTATGAATTGGCAACCCTCCTTACGATCGCTGGACGTTTATCGCATGCCAATGAGCATTTACTTCTCCGAGCAGTGGATAGCTACGGCTGCAGAATATAGGGATGAGCTACACAGCACATGCGCTGCTCGCGGTATCCAGTTGAACTGGCTCCCTCAGAAGAATGATACCGGTATGTAACTAAGGACGATTTAAACAACTTGACCTAATATCAACCTTCGAATCCTGTTTACATTACAGTGTCACCACTTCCCTTCATTGATTCTGAATCTGAATTTCACCACCAGGATTGCCATCCGATACAGCGCTATACAGAGTTCACATTATATTAAGCTTACATGCCTCTTCTATCTGAATATATTTTTCAAAGAGCTCAGGCTGCAAAATATTCGAACCCGCCAGTGCAGTGCAACAATTTATTCATACCGACGAACTCTCAAAAATACTCCAACAACTCGCGGACGAAGCAACATTTCCCTCGCAATCTCGACCTGAGTATCTGGTCCATCCCGCATCTCAAACACGAATTTCTTCACGAGATCCGAAAAAACCGCCTATATTGCAGTGGGTCATGTTCAACTGGCTGACTCATGACTCCGAACTAGGTATTGCACCATCAACGTTGCAACCATGATACCAGAGCGAAAGCAGAAACATGACTCACTGTCGCGACGTGCCGCCCAGGCTGCTGGCTCAATTTTCAACCAACACGCAGGTCCAAGCTCCATTCTAAGGCGCGCAGGTGAATCGTGTGGTTGAATTCTGGTGGCACAACGAGGACCTGTTTATACTCACGTCGTTCACGATACAAATTATGTTTTCGCAGCAATCTGCATCTGTTTTGCAAGTTGATGCCAGCGTGCCACATGCACTGACAGACATAGATACTGTAAGCAACAACAGCGGTGAGCAAGGAGAAACGCTGTACGAGGTGATATGTGATATTCTGGGGATCTCGAATGATGTCTCTGACTCGAGGATGGGGGAGACGACGATTCGCTTCTATTACCCTTCGTATACTTGTGAGCACGATTTTGATTGATCTGGCAGAATTGTTATTGCTATCAAATGATAGAAATTTCAGTAGAACCTGCAGGAGCGTGTTCAATTGATTAGGACCATTGTATAGTCTATTTTATGTGAGTTCTGCAAAATAAATTACTAATTTAAACTGTTACCTTACAAGATTCTACAACTGCCGGTAGTAAAGCAAAACTCATCTTGCACTCTAACCGCCTGAGCATGATACACAGCTATACAAAGTCCACATCATGAATAATGTCCCCTTGAATAAAGATCTCAGGCCGCAAAATGTCTGAACCCGCCAGTGCAGTCCAACCAGTCATTCATACCGACGAACTCTCAAAGGCACTCCAATACTGTCCTCTCCAACAACCCGTGGGCGAGGCAAAATTCCCCTCGCAATCTCGACCTGAGTATCTGGTCCATCCCGCATTTCATACACAAAGTTCTTCACCAAGACCGATAAAACCGCCTATATCGCAGTGAGTTATGTCCAACTGGCTGATTCGTATCACTCACCTTGAATTCTGCAAGCGCAAAATCTTTTCCAAGACACGTCCTCGGGCCGTCGACGAATGTCAGTAGATGCCTATGACCTTGGACTTCCTTGGCCTTCCCACTGATACCATCCTCGGTGAGCCAACGGTCAGGCTTGAATTCTTTTGCGTGAGGTCCCCAGATGGCCAAAGAGCGATTGATTGCCTCGATTGGGATGACGAACAAGGATCCCTTCGCTACAGATATACTGTCCGTCATTTTCCCGGACCCCGTACACACGGGTTCACTCAAGGGAATCACGTCATCTACGCGTGCCTGTAGATCTACTTTCAGAGTCTCTATGGACAGACAGATAAGTGTACTCACAACACGACTGAACTCCACTACCGGAGGATGGAGTCGTAGAATTTCGTGGACAACCGCATCCAAGTATGGAAGGTTGGCCTTTAATTGGTCATATGTCGGATCAGCACCAAATGTAAGCAGTTCCTCTCTGAGTCTGGTTTGAACATCGGGGTGTCGCGACAACTCGATCAACGCCCACTGATTACTACGTGAATAGCGTGCATAGAGGTTATTGAACAGTGAACTTACCGTAAGACTGACTACCAGCGAAGAGTCAGCTAGTATAATGGCAGCGAACAAGATATCAACTCACTCGACGTCGTTTCGTAACCCGCGAGAAGTAAGACTTTCATCTGTAGGATATCAGCTTGCAAATATTGGCTGTGATAAATTGTCTCCACACACCTGAGCCAATACTTCGTCCTCGGACATACGGAGCTCGGCATCCTGATTTTCAGCTTTGACTGTGATCGTTGCGTCAGTCAAGGAACCACGACGAATCTCTTGGAGAGCGTACTCAGCAGTCCGATGATGGATTTTTCTTCTTCTGCCTGTTTCTCCCGGCGACTGCGAACCAACAAGTCATTGGATATTTCACCCATAGTGGCGTTGAGTTTCTTTATCAGCTTTACCCGGCTATTAGGAATCTTGGTAACGATAGGAAACGCCGAAGCGAGCAGGAAAAGAACTTTGTTGACTGCTGAGGCCTTTGGTTTGTTTCCGAAAGTATCAAAGACTTCCGTAACGCTGGCATGCTTTCCGTCGAGTGAGCCAAAATCATGGGAGAAACCAGCAATGCCAATCGTATCCAAACTGCTACTGTGTCATTTTTGAAGCTTGCATGAAAAATATCCATTCCTTACGAAATATGATTCATCCTTGAAGTCGTTCTGATGAGAAGTGCGAGGTGTGTATGCTCAAAAGCTACGCACCAGTTTTGAACTTCAATGACAGCATTCCCATCTTTGCTCGATTGTAGATCGGTATCCCACGCACTCTTTACCTGTAGAGTTTGAATATCAGATGTATTAATTTTCTTAAATTACAAATCCTTACTTTATATGCTGAATCATAAAATACTGATGTGAGTTTTCGAATAGCTGCATTACTAAACGCCGGAGTAAGGGCCTTCCGCTGCCTAATTCGTAATATTTTAGTTGATCAGTTCTGGCGCGAGGACAAGATATAGACACCACCTCCTGTGACTTTCCCCCTGAGACCATAGTACCCCCCTGCCAACCTGCCAAGAGATATGCAATAGACGATATGAGAAGAGGACATTAACATACCAGGTTCTCTATCAATGTCAGAGAAAGGGGCGTCTGTACATAGGTCCATGATTCTCGAGCATAAAAATGTGCGATGGCTCTTGGGTCACTTAGCACGATCCTGGTCTGTCCGAGGACTGACGGAATCATGTACGCTACCCCATATTCCTGAGCCCAATGTTCATACATTGTAGCACTGTCTTTAGATGAGACGAGGTCGTTCGAAACACCATATACGAAGCTGGTACGAGGTGGACCACGGAGTTGAGTGGTCCTGAATCGCCAGCGAAGTACCCTTATTACTTTGACGAAAGCCCACAGTGCTGCAAATGAGCAAGCGACATTGAATGCGCCAACCGAACGGACGGTTGACCAGAGGCTTGATGGAGAGTCAGGTATAGCGATAGAGGCCTTCATTGTAGTGATTTAAATTCAAGGTTTCATCAGATCCGAGTTTATAGCCAATTCTGCGGTGGCGGCATGTCTGAAGCTTTGACGAAACTCACCGGCGCCCATGACTCGCGTCAGCTTGATAGTCTAGATATAACAGGGCCGCAGTTCTGAAGTACCAAGTTAGAGTCACACTGCGTACTTGCCCGGGTACTTGAAACTGACTAAGCATCGGAGGTGTAATTACTGCGACAACTGTCACTGCGTCAGGGTCACGCGGTGCTCCGGATCTATCGATTGGCAGGAGGGTTCGCACCGTGACAAGGCGATGGGTATTTTTGAGTGGGTAGAAGAAAAACCCACGGACAACGGTAAACAAATGATCAACAAGGTATTTACCCATCAATTTCGACCATGACCATAGAGCCGCCCTTAGATACACCAGACAATGTTTCCCACCAAAAAATCATACAAGTTTCCCTGCGAACAGGTCCTCCGACAAGGGAAGAGTTGCTCGCGTACTATCCAGCGAAGTTCACATGGCACCAGCTCAAGACCTTCGTGAATTCTGGGTACTTGTATTTCACCGCCAGTATCAACAAGACAGGCGACGCTGACTCTGCAACGTTACAAAAGGGATCTCGGGCTACTAAAGCGTGACAAGGCGCTGCAAGAAAGATATGATGCGTGGTCTCCAGATATTGTAAAAGAGCACGGTTCAATGGGTGGGTAATGTAGAGTCAGCATGTAGAGTTCGCTCAACAGTCTGAAGAGAACTACCTTATCAACCATCGTCTCCAATGGGGAAAGCCGGATACCCTTTCGCTCTTACCCTCAGCACTCGATGGCGATACCAGACTCAAGGACGTATCCATCTCACCATCCAAATCTAATCAGCCCCTCCTAGACACACCCGAATATTTTAAAGCTGATATCCCGTTCGACTCGGAGTTCATCAGTATCATTCAGAACTCCTGGCCTTACTCCGTCCCTATCGAGATCGAACATACGCTCATCTGGTCGCGAGTACCTATCTTCCATCCAGATCTCATCCCACCAGCAGTCGATACACAGATTCAACAAGATGGCCTGCGTGGGTTTACAGGCAACGACGAGCTTCCACCCTCACCGTCCACCCTACCAGAATGTTTGCCTGCCCTAGCGGAGTGGGGAATCACAATGGACAAATTAGTTCGCAGCCCCAGGGGCAGTCCAGAGATCGAAGAGATGGTGAGGAACGCTGGAAGAGAAATAGACGGTTTTGTGAAACGAAGGTGGGTGGAGAGGGAATGGGAGACTGCATGGTTTGTCAACCCCCCAGTGAGTGAACGAGCCTTTGGCTACGCTGCATCAGACGCTGAGCATTTTCAGAGGCTACAAAGCGTTCGTGGACTAGCACATATACATGTATTCGCGAAGAAGAAGGAATACTTATAGATTAGACCAACATTAGACATAGAATACAGTTTCATGATTTGTTGTCTTTGCGAACGAGTTTCATTTGATCCACCACTATCTTCACAACATCACGCCATTCCGTCATAGCACCGAGTCCTTCGAAAAAGAGCCAGTTTATCTACAATAGCAAGAAATAAAAGCCGGGATCACATACCAACGTCCCCACACGCAAGATTTTTTCCGATTGGCCCGACAACTTGGTAGCCCACGACATCCCGGACGACGTGTAAATGTTCTGCCGTGAGCGGATGCTCGTACATGAGCGTATTCATCGCCGGGAATACGTAAGTCGGTGTCGTAGGTGCCAGCGCACGAAGCAGAGAGGTCTAAGCAAGAGGTTTGCCATCAAGCACGATATGAATACACTGGGAAACATACCGCGAGATTGTCGCAGAGTCCGTGTGCAATCTTTGAGAGCGTATTCGCCGAGCAGGGAGCGACAAGAACAATATCAGCCCACCTCCTCAACTCGATATGCAGGATCGGATCTCCAATCTTGTATGACCCCTGTCATGAACGTTAAGACGGCCAAGCTTTTCTGAAAAGCGCGTGTATTCACCGACCACTCGTCCTCATCGGTCCAAACGCGGGCGCCTGCATTGACGACATCTGCAGGGTCATAAAATGCGAGCGACTCTTTGGTCGCGACCACTTCTACTCTGACATTTTGGTACTACGTTGCACACAACATGAGCAAGAGCAGGATTCCAAGAACGGGGACAGACTTGAAGAAGCGCTGAGACGATGAGAGGAGCTTTGATAGATGCTACGCTGCCAGTTGTTATGAGCAACACATGGACATGATCTGGGAGGCGCTCTGTTTCAGCAATAAATTGGCGAGCCACCATGGGTGAATAGTAAACGCAAGTTGAGGGTGAAATTATTTATTATTACAAATAATCTTGCAAGCTGTTATTTATTTATTATATCAGTAACTTATAATTAATCCTCTCCAGTCGACCGCGTGAAGTTTGAACAGATCATGAAGCTGAAGAGCGGTAAACTTTCACTTGCCAAAACCCGTCGACAGGATCCCATAGCTTCTTCGCCACATTTACCAGCCGAAATCCTGTTTCACATCTTGATTTTACAACCGCTAGTGACACAATGGACTTGCCCTAACGCCTGCAGAGAGATGATGAATGTCTTGCTCAGGTGCTGTCGTGTAGCAAAAGCCTGGTGTGAGGTCGCGAGGGAAATTCTTTATCGGTGTATCCCACTGACTCAGGCCAAATCTCTTCGCCTGCTTCTGCGCACGGTGTTCAGCGAACGCTTTGATGGCATTTGCCCTGCTCGTGCCCTCCAGTTCAGCCCTCGTTTTCCAACTCCCAGGCCTGACGACATGCAGCTGAGGGAATTTGCAGAACTCGCTGGAACGATTGTTGTGCGCTGCCCAAATCTGATCTACCTGACAGGAGATCATAACTCCCTGCGCTTCACCAGCACAAGGCTTCCCCCCAAGTACCCATTTTTGACGGGGCTCAAAGTATCTGGGCAGGACTTACAACTCCTGGCCCCTCTCCTAGTTCAGCTATCCAATCTCGAGTTCTTCGAGATGCACCAGAGCTATGGTGATGGCGATGCCCTCGGACATTCCTTTTCGCCGCCTACCTTCAAGCTTTCGAACATATCGATATCTCAGACAGCGTTATCTCCCAGCCTGTGCAAATGGCTATTCTCATCCAGTTCTCAAACCATCGAGTCCTTGGAGGTGCAGGAAGTAGGCGCAAGCTTGTATCATTTGATCGAGGTCATTGGAGACTTTGTGAAGAAGCTCCACATCAAACAGATGTTTGATATGATAGTAAGGAGCGACTTGGATGCTATCGAAGCACTGTCTGGGTTGCCGAGACTGCGAAGCCTTCGCATCGACGGACGGGGTTTCAAAACAGAACCTTTGCTCAATTTACAATCATCATTAGAGGCATTCGCGTTCTCCAACGCTGTCGCGTGTAATGTCCAGGCCCGGCTGGAGTCGGGTTGGCAGCCCTCCTTACGGTCGCTAGATATGTACTGTGGGCCCGGGTTATTGACCTTGTTGCCTTGGATTCCGACCACGACTGAACAGAAGGAGGTTCGTGAGCTGGCGATGGCTTGTGCCGTCCGCGGTATCAAGTTAAACACGATATTTATATTCTAGGCCTCAGTGATCACCAGCATGTAGATCTCTGAGAAATTCCTTACGCATTAACGGCGTGTGTCTGCATGCGGCTCCAAGCTTTTATCTCGGGACTTGCATACATTTTAACTTCGGGCGAAAGAACGCTGGCCTTGATGTCGGTGTTTATTGCCTTCCATACCATGTCAGTACGATGTGCAGTTACCTGTCTCAATACCATAGTGTGATTACTTTGCAGCATCCTGGACGGTTGTATTGACAATCGATTTTTGTGAAGCGCGGGATGTTACTAAGTAGCTCGAACTTGAACTTGGGGTCTGAACCCACTCGCAAACGAGAAGTGAACGTATTCTATCATGTTGGGAATCGGCTCGATGGAAGGTAGTGCTTTGTATTCCAAGTATTTAGTACAAAGTTCCTGTGTTATACATAGCCCGAGTGGCAGGTGCCTATGTATGGGTACTATGAGCGGCAAAATTTCCAAGCAAAGTGATCAAATTAATATTCCACGTCACCAGCCTTTAAATCCATCGCGTATCCAGAGCTAGACGTTGCCCATATTACATCCCTCTTCTGATCTCAATACGACGGTTCCAGTAGGGGATAAGTGACGGAAAACAGAGTAAACTTGCTAGTACAACACAACCGATCATTCATACCGACGAACTCTCAAAGGCACTCCAGTACCATCCTCTCCGGCAACCCGTGGACGGGGTAAAACTCCCCTCACAGTTTCGACTGGGGCATCTGGTCCATCCCGCATCTCAAACACGAAGTTCTTCACCAGAACCAATAGAACCGTCTGTATCACGATGAATAACATGCAAACTGGCTGATCCGCATCACTCACCTTGAATTCCACGATCGCAAAATCTTTTCCAAGACACATCCTCGGGCCATCAACAAATGTCAGCAGATGCCTATGACCTTGGACTTCCTTGGCCTTCCCACCGATCCCGTCTTCAGTCAGCCAACGGTCAGGTTTGAATTCCTTTGCGTGAGGTCCCCAGATGGTCGAAGACCGATTGATTGCCGCGATTGATATCGTGATCAGTGTCCCTTTCGCTATAGATATATTGTCTGTCATGTTGCCGGACGCCGTGCGCACAGGTTCGCTCAAGGGAATAACGTCATCTGCCGCTGCCTGTGGACTTAAAGTTGTCGTGTCTATTCACATGTAGACATGCACACTCACAATACGAGTGGATTCCCTCACTGGAGGATGAAGTCGTAGGGTTTCATGGACAACCGCATCCAGGTAGGGGAGGTTGGCCTTTAATTGGTCATATGTCGGATCAGGGCCAAAGGCAAGCAGTTCCTCTCTGAGCCTGGTTTGAACATCGGGGTGTCGTGATAGCTCTATCAGCGCCCACTGATCAATGCATGAATAAAGTGCGCAGAAGTAATTGTGCAATAAACTCACCGTAAGACTGACTGTAGACGAAGAGTCAGCAAGTGTGATAGCAGCGGGCAAGGAACTGACTCACTGGATGTCGTCTCATAACCCGCGAGAAGCAAGACCTTCATCTGCGGGATGTGAGCTCGAAAACCATGGCTGTGATGCATCGTCTCCACGGACCTGAGCCACTACTTCCTCCGCCGACATATGAAGCTCGGCATCCTGACCTTCAGATTTAACTGATCACCACATTAATAAAAAAAAAACTACGATCCACATCTCGAAAAGCATACTCAACAATCCGATGAGGGAATTCTCCTCGCCTACCTGACTGATATCCGCGTCCTTCTCCCGGCGGCTGCGAATCAATAACTCGTTAGATATTTGTTCCATGGTTATGCCAAGTTGCGTGAACATATTCTGCCGCTTGTTGGGGATCTTGAGAATGATAGGAAATACTGATGCAAGTAGGAAAACAGCTTTGTCCACTGCTGAAGGTTGGTTGCTTCCGATGGTATCAAACGCTTCGGCCACGCTGACGCGCTTTCCATCGAGCGAGCCAAAATCATGGGAGAAACCAGCAATGCCAACCGTGTCCAGACTGATGTTCCGTCAGTTCGAGGCGTCAATGACAAAATATCTTCGCGTACGATATATGGTTCATCCTTTGAATCGTTTCGATTAGGAACGACACTTGCTAAGTCAGAAAAGCTACGCACCAGTTCTGGACCTCGATGACCGCATCGTCATCTTTGCTCGATTCTATAACATTATCCCATTGTCCTTTGGCCTGTAAGGTGTGGTATCAAGTTCAGAGATGAGACATTTCTCGCACCACAAATCCTCACCTTGTATGCTGAGTCATAAAACACCGATGTGAGTTTCCGAATCGCCGCATTACTGAATGCTGGCGTGAGGGCCTTCCGCTGCCTAATTCGCAGGAAGTCAATTAGTTGCTTGCGGAAGGACAAGAATTGAACAGCACCTCCTGTGGGTTTCTCCCTGGGACCATAGTAACCCTTTACCGATCTAACAAGAGATATAAAAAAGACGAGGTAAGATGATGATGTTTACATACTGATGACTCCAGAAACGCCAACGTAAGGGGTGTCTTCACATATGTCCATGTTTCTCGAGCGTAGAAATGTGCAATAGCTTTCGGATCACACAGCACGACATTAGTCTGCCCGAGGACGCTCGGAATCATATACACTACCCCATATTCCGTCGCCCAACGTTCATACATTGCAGGTCTATCTTGAGATATGGCGAGGTCGCGCGAGACGCCATATACGAGGCTGGTACGAGGCGGACCCAGCAGTTGAGTCGTCTTCACTCGCCAGCGAAGCATCCTTGACACTTTGACAAGGACCCATAATGCAGCAAATGAACAAGCAACGTTAAATGCGCCACCCGAACGTACGGTTGTCCAAAGACTTGATGGAGAGGGTACAGGGATGGTAAATAGGTTCATCGTTATGTTTGATTCGAATTGGGAGATCATTTATAGGTTGCCGTTTCTACTCGTTTCTATGGATGCTGATAACGGCGTGGGCTACGAAGTTGAACGGCTTTGCACAGGACTGTGCCCAACTGCGCTTGGAGCGGTGTTTTTCGTCATCAGGGATTATTCATAACCGAAACTGTGTCTGACTTAGAATAAGATTGTGAGCACTACTTGACTTGGTATAAGATTGTGAGCGCTACTTAGACCTCAGGCCTCAGGCCGCAGGCCTCAGTCAGTTGGGTGACTTCCGGTAGGCAAAAACAATGTAGAATATAATATTATTTCAAGGTGTGGCACGATGCCGGGTGACATTTCATCCGTTTGAAATTCATCCCCCCAATAAACCTTAAATCTGTACCTACTTCGTGCCTCCCCAGTCAATGACTTCCACTCTAACGCAACATGCAACCGTCATAATTAGGGCACTAATGATTGTTGATCAAAGCTCTCCAGCATGTTGCTGGCCGCAGTCCTCAACTCCTTCACAGCAATAGTGATCCCCTCTCCCTGCTCTAAACCTTGCATCAGCATCAGTAAATTCAAAAGTCCTCGATATTGTAAAATTGTATTCCGGTTGTTCAACATTCTCATTTCTCGCTCTTATGTGTCAAATTGAAAGGCTATGTAAGCCTATTTCACGGACAGTGGCTTTAGCGTTAGTCATCATATCTATGGAAGCTTGGAAACATGTGACAAAATTGTGACCTCTCAACTTCACCGCCGTCAAGGGATGATAGTGTATTTTTGTTACCGTTTTTCTCGGTTTTCATTATTGAGATATGGTCCATACTCTTTCGGGGCCATTCAAGGCCATTTCATAGAAGTTGATATGTACACTAGCCATCATATATAGGGATCCGCACGGGTATACCCTGGGGTGTCGGGGACCTGACCCGCACCCGCACCCGGCAAAAACCCGTACCCGCTCTGACGGGTACGGGTTTTCGGCGGGTACAACAAGCTCAGACCCGTACCCGCACCCGTGCAGGGTTTACCCGCGGGTACCATAGGTATCACCACCAGTGCTTAGCACATATGTCCAGCACACGTCAGCGAATGCTGACGTGACTCGAACATATGTGGATGGCACAAGAAGGAGGAGTGGAGGCACGGTCGAGGATGGTGGCGTCGGCATCGTGGATGGTGGTGTTGGCGTCGTGGATGGTGGCATTGGCGTGAAAGCTGGTGGTGGTGCGAGTGCTGGGCGCACAAAGATAGGCGCTGGCGACGTGACGCGTATGACGTCGTTGTTGTTGCTGGGGGTAGAGTCTTCAATGTGAGTACTCACTTTCAGCGTGCCCAAAGTCTCGTCTCCTCGAGTTCCTCTTTCCTCCTTCATCTCTATACCATCCCTTCTCCCTTCCTCGATTCTCTTGTCCTTTCGTCTTCGCGTGTCGTCCGCGTGTGTTTGCATCGCGTCAACACTTGTTGACGTGTTTCGGGCGCGCGCGCTGTGAACGTGGAGTTGGTGGACTTGGGAAGGCGCGTTAGGTGCCGGTGTTGGTGGTGGTGCCGGTTGTAGCGTGCACGCGGGAAGTATGGTGTCCGCTATTACTGATGCAGGAGGTGCTACCATTTATGGAAGGCACGGGTATAGCTGGGGTACGGGTAAGAGCGCGGGTCTTAGAATCCCGACCCATACCCGTACCCCAGTAGTACCCGTACCCGTGACCCGCGCGGGTTACCCGTACCCGTGCAGATCCCTAATCATATACATATTACCATACAATTGTGTGATATCACCGTGACTTTGTGCCATGACAGCTGTCAAGGGATGATAATGAATTTGCACCACCCTTTTGATGTGCCTCCACAATAAGGGTTGTCCATCGCTCACATCGATCAGCAGCAAATCGAAAATATGGTAGTACTTCGACGTCGTCCCATCACCATCGAACAAAAACAGCAACACAACAATAAATCCATTGAAGAATCATTCTATGTATGAATTAGTCTCAGTTATACAATACAATTGTCAGATCTTGGAGCAAATCACGCTTTCTCTCGTGTCTAATATCCCGACGGTCGTGTGCTCGACTTGGATGTACAGGCAATACTGTCATTTTAATGCATCAAAACAGGCTAAGTAGCCTAGTTTTGTGATGCATCAAGCTTGCTCATTGCGTGATGCATCATTAATGCATCAGGGATCTGACAGTTATGCATCATCCATCTGGTACATATTTGGGCTGCGCCGTCCATATTTAGCACTCGTCCATCCATATTCAGCGCGCTGTACCTATATATACCTTGCTCCCCAGCAATATTTTGCTTCCAGTAGTACCTTGTTCCTGGTGGTACCTTGCTTACCTACTCAAATCTTTGGTGTCCGGTTACTCAGTATTCAGTTTGGTAGGCCTCTTGCCATTCCTACTCGAATCCTTTGGCGTCCAGCCACTCAGCATCCATTTTAGTAGGTCTCTTGCTGTCCTAGTTGTCCTTTCATATTAGTAATAGGGCAGGTCCCATCAATGACGCAATTTTTGAGCTGTGAATTTGCTAAGTCCCCAACTCCGTCATTCTACCAAGGTTTTCCATTTGAATTCACTAAGTCCTCAACTCTGCCATTCCGCCAAGGTTTTCCGTCTCGTACGTTACACAGTACATCACAATTAAGTTGCTGTAGCATACTATAATCAAGCATATTTTTTGTACTTGGACCAAATCAAACTGTTTTCAGAAAGTCAAAACAATGAAGTTATATTGCAGAGTGCAGCACAATATTTAGTACAGTGTACAATCACCAAGATGTAGAGGTACATTAACAAGATATTTAAGAGTGACGAGCCCTTCTATAGAGTTTATCAGTATTATCCACCTTTGCACAGGAACAGATGAACATACTTCCGTGAGTCCGTGGGGCAAGCACGATGTGTGTGGACACCAATGTCGTTATCACGTTGTAGAAACTACTTTACTGAGAGGAACAAATGAAGATCGCTCCTAACTGATATATTTGTGTTGTGGTCTTTGCACTGCCTAGTCTGCTATACTTGCCTGACAAGTGCGTTTGACCCAGGGGTCTGCGATCTGGGAATAGTCTTGGGGGTAAGTGAGTGATGTGTGATCAATAGTCCGAGCGCGGGAAACAATGTCCGAAGGTATAATTACGATGTCCTATACAAAAGCGTCGGGTCCGATGTTTTCGGGGTTTTGGGCTATCGGGTTTGGGTTTGGGTCTTTCGGAAACTAATAGTAACGCTATAGCGAGCATCGGAAGAGCGAGCGGTGTGCGCAATAATAACAATGACTGATATGGATAATGAAAGAGCGATGATATTCGCAATATCAACTAAGAACTACGAAATATCGGGTTTGACCACTAAGCGTCGGGGAACTGCTCCCCTCTACTTGGATAATGAATAATGCTCGAGGTCAGTCCAATATATATGTAAGTACGTAGAAATGCGGAACCCGTAGGCGAAAGTAGCGGCGGAGTATTTCGGATCCGAAGTACATGTAAATAAACATGAGGCGCTGCAGACTATGGGAAAACATGTAATAGCGCTGGCTACGACGTGAGTAATGTGCGAAATAATGAACTACACACCTAGTGGGGCTAGCAAGACGGAACGGGACACGGATAGGACAAGTGCGCGGGAAAACATCGGGTCTGATGCGGCCTAAACGTCGGGTTGGCGGGTTAGCGTCGGATAACATCAGGAAGTGATTAGCATGTGACGGGTATTTGACGTGTACTGTAAAATAGCTCGATACGAGCCCAGCGCCAGCTCGTGTCCTACAACGTTCTCGGGGATTGAATGGAACATTGTTACGGACGCGGAGACGAGGCACATGTGCTGCTGGAGGGTCTAGTATTGTAGATGGACCCATAGATAAGGTAGGAGCTGGGGGGTTTTCAACATGCCATCTACGCACCCCACGGCGAGGATGGACCTCCGGTTGGTTAGCAAGCGAATCACCTTTGTGGTTATTCTCTCCTTCCTCGCTATGCATGGACGAGACGGCAGGAAGAAGAACCTCTATCTCTTGATGTGGGCGATCACTGCCAGGAGATGTTGGATTGGTGAGGTTATTGGGAAGTCGTACAGGTGAATCCGACAATTGGTTGGTGTCATGGGTCACTAACCAGTCAGGTATCCCACCTACCATGGTGGTGAAAGCGTGGGGATTGAAGGCTGAGAAATCGGCGGTCCCCACTACAATGGGGTCCCATGCGGCCGCAGAGTGAGAATCACGACGCAACTCTGCAGCAAGTGATAAATGATCGCTTGCTCCAGTCATGCTGACTAGCCCACTCGATGCATCAGCAGTATCCAATGGAGTATGTGAGCTGCTCTACATGCGCAATGAGACACATTCTGATGTATATTGATAGGCTATTACTCACCGCATTATCTCCAAAATGCTCACCGGCTTGGGGAGTCATTCGATACAGGTCACTTGTATTAAGGCTGGGTACCAGGAGATCCTCGACTCGATTCATACTACCCTCCCCAGTGCTCTTTTCCCACTCATTGGCTTCGTCGCTGTCCAAGTCTGACAAGGACTCTTCATCTTCATCACTTGCCAATTCATGAGGTAGGGTAGATTCAAATACTAGTTGGGAGAAGGTAAGGTTGGGCTCTGAATGTATAGAAACTCGAACTTACCGAGAGCATTTTGCACGAACGCTAGAAAGGCAGCTTGCATTGCATCAAAATCTTTGTAAGCATGATTGAACTGGGCGCCGCTTTGAAGTTCGCCAATGTGGTAACTTGACTAATGATGAGCACAGCCTCCGTTGAGTGTGTAAATGCTAGCACTACTCACTTGAACACTGATGCTTCTCCTGTTGTAGGATCGCGACCTCCCATGAGAACGGTAAACTTCCAGCCACCTGTAATATGGGCGAGATACTTGAGGATGCGGTTGAGCATTGGGCCCAGCTCACGGATTGCCCTACAGAGGATCAGTAATGTGAGGCTTGATTGATAAATGGTATGTACTTGACTTTCATCTTGTCATCAATTTTCGGTGTCTTCCCAGACTTCAAATCCTGACGCTTTTTTCAGAATCTTGCTTTGGCCTTCTGATACTTCCTGTCAATATCGGCTTTGACGGATTCACTTTCCTCTGAGTACATACGCCGTGTGATCTCATGGTGCTTGTTCAGCTTGGGGCCTCTGCTGGTAATGTTCTCTGTTGCAATTGCAGCGTCTGCAGTATGCTTGACCTTTGCTTCATAGAATTTATGCGAGTAAATATCGATCTTTTGTGGGGCGCGTGTGCCTTTGAGTTCCACACCTCCACCCAATACGGCATCAAATTTCAGCACACCCCTGGCCCCCTTTGAGCGACCAAGACGTGCCGGATTGACCTTCCACCTATACCAAGTGACAAGTTGCTGTCCAAAATCAATTAGTACGCCCTATCCAGTTTTCATACATGTGACTTACCTGCTGACGCACCTCAACCGCCTTCGCAAGAGCATTGGTTTCATCCGGGGTGAGAACATGGTCAGCTGGCATGTCTTTGAAGATGACTTGTTCCTCAGGCCACTTTTCGAACCATAGAGCCCATATGCTCGTGAAAAATTCGTCGAAATTCTTGTCTGCGGCACTCTCACAGAATTTGGACATGAAGCTCAAAAGATATTCCTCCTGCTCTGGAGTGGTCCATTTTTTGCCTGGCATCTGGCATAACCCCCATAGCAAGGTCAGTTTTTTTTTCAAATAAAAGCAAAGCTTGGGGTGCACTTTGACGGTATGTAGGTGATAACGACAACAGGTGATATTCCACCATGGTGATCCTCGAGTACGGTAATCCCTCAATTTCCTAATTCCTCAGGCCGCTTCTTATTGAGAGTATATTCCCAGACTTTCACTAATTTAACAAAATTATGCATGCAAGAAAAGTTGTCTAGTTCTACGCTAGATTTACACATATCACACCGCCACGCTCTCGCTCTCTCGCTTTACGCATGCACTGAACGGCTCCCTCATCTATCCCCTGAAAAAACAAATCAACTGTGGTGATAAACGATCTTCAGACAGAATATCTCACCTTCGTGACTTCTTCACAGAAAAATATTCTGTTAGTGTTCGTTTTGGTGTGTGCGTCTGTTGATATAAGGTGTTCATAATGATGAAAATTTGAATCCTCTTGCTCGCACAGTGAGCATATGTTCCTGTCTTTACACGACCAAACAGGACGAACGTACTCGATGACGGCATCGAATAGCTTCAGCAAGCAATGCCTCCTGCAGCCCAGACAGTGCTTGATCATCGGGTATGTCTGCGAAGTGCACAGTACGTTCAGGCCAAGTCGTGAACCAGTGTGAATATACATTCTCCCAAAAATCATCCTGTTCTTCCACTGACCCAGAGCGAGCAATCTTAAATGCAGACAAAAATGTTTTGAGCATATCGCGCTGGTCACGCGTGAGGACAGCAATCTGCGACATGGACATGGTGAGAGGAGAGCAAAATCAAGTTGTGGGATAGCGCCATAACCTGACCTACAGAGACCATACACGTCTTCGCAAAAAGATCTGCACATAGGTACATTTCATGTTGTCATCGCTAATCATAGTCCCACGGACAAAGATAGAAGCGCAGGCTCTACATGGTAGGTACACTAGATGGGGAACTTGTACTCCTGGTACCACAACTCACCTTCTATGAAGGCAGCCGCTAATTCACCATCTCCGCCTTCCGCCAGACGCAACAAGATGTCTTCCACCATTCCTATCATTTCCCTCATGAACTTGCAGATGCCTTCTGCAGCACGCCACTTGTTACAGACACCGCACATCTGAAGGATACCATCCAGCCCACGGTTGGCTCTGTCAAGAAAGTCTTCAAAGTTTGTAATAGCGCGTTCGAAGACAGATCTGTCTCTGCTCCCGGTAGGATATAGCTCGGGGTCAGGCATGGTCTTGGAGTACTCATCCACGAGGAGGTCGAAGAATCTTCGTGGGGCTTTGATATGCGTCATGAAGTCGTCCTTGGCATACTTGACCATGGCAATGCAGTCTTGTAAAGTTTCGCTGTTACCAATGTCAGACGTGTCGAGACATGTAAGTCAAAGCAGCACATACATCGGTTCGTCTTCATCATCTGAAAGATCGTTGACTTGACAGGCTTTTTTTTCTTGGCGTACCTGATGCCGCTTTGCCAGTATAACCTCTCGACACCTGGGGTCTTTCGGTCAAGTTGACTCAGAGATACCGTCAGTTTATTACTTACTTTAGATAGTGTCGACGATGCTTGTCTCTCACAGCTTGTACTCTATCTTGATGAGTTTTATGAATAGTCGGGCATACCATAATGATGAATGTAGTGACTGCGAAGTAATGTTGTATGGTGAGGAGAAAAAGAACGAAGCATTTATATGAAGCACTCACATTTGTTTGGACCAAAACAATGAGTCTTCGATTTGTTGAAGCATTCGTGAGGATGGTCGGACCATAACACAATATTAAGACAGTGTGTGCGAGAGAGACCTACCAGCTAGGTGGGATGCTAGTATTTTGAAAGATACATGTGAGTGTGATGTGTCGCGGTAGTACTACCTCGTGATAAATATCACCCTGGACTTACATAGCATTTGAATGCCTGAATCCCCCTAACTTCTATGCATGCGAGTGAAGTCAGTAACTGGATCCAAAAAGGTTGGACCATAATCATGTGGGACGATCAGCAATCAGCTGCGTAGATATTGGAACAAAATAACTAAATGGCAGGTTGTCTCGTAGATTACTGCGGTATTTCACTGAGATCTATTCAACCAAGATACAGGCCTGCAATGACAAGAACATTATGTTGTAGGACTGCGGTAGGACCAAAACATGCGGTAGGACCATAATATAGAATTAGGCGTTATTGGTTCTGTTGTTGGCACGTGCAACTGTGAACCAGCCGCCTTGTCTGAGAAGGGAATGTATTATCCCCTTCTCAGACAAGGCGACTGGCATTGGTAGTGGTTACCATTTTCTGGAGTCGACAGTATCAACGGGAAAGTGAGTTCTAACACATCTTCATCTAACACGTCTCCAAATACCAATAGTGCCAGCAACATTTCTAATAACACCAATACCATGGTAGTGGCACAAACGAGGTGTTACCATTTTCTGGAGTTGACAGTATCGACGGGGAAGTGAGTTCTAACGCGTCTTCGTCTAATGCGTCTTCGTCTAACATGTCTCCAACTTCGTCTAAAGCGTCTCCAACTTCATCTAATAGGTCGAATACTTCTTTTTTAAATGACCACTCCGATATTCCAGTTTCAGCAGGTCAAATGTGTTGTATGGCTTCATCAAGCCTTTTCTAGCTCCTCCTGTTTCTTCTGGCTAGTACCGTACTTGCCGGCAATTCAGTAAGTAAATCAGATTCACTGTATGGTCTTAGTTTTATCCAAGTTTCTAGTTTCAGCAAATTGAATGCGCTGTATAGTTTTGCCAGGTCTTTTATAGAGCCATAGCGTCAACAGGTGGGTCACTTTCCTTGCCATTCTTACACTGACCAACATGTCAGTCAAAGTACCATTCTTCATCGAACACGTCTCATTTTCACCTATCGCCGTCAATAATGCAGTCTCCACAGCGCCAAAGGAGCTCACATTCGTCTACGATGGCACTCCTGAATTCGAGCAGGCAGCACGATCGATGGCAGATGAGTGCCTGCTTTCATACTATAATGGCATCTATTACAATCTTCCAGGTGCGTTAATGGCAGTGGAATTTCTCTCATTGCTAACAGTATTTCAGAACAAGTCAAAGACAAGCAATTACTCTTCTATGTCATTCGCGGTTCCCACATTGGTGTAGTCACTGGCTGGTGAGCGCAGTTTTGTTATGAATATTTATTATATTTATCAAACATTTGAACACTAATAGGGAGAATGCATTGAACTGCGTCCTGGGTGTTAACAAGCCTGAATATCACGAAGTTGTATCTATTGCGCTCGGGGAGCAACTGGTGAGGGAGGCGATTGATAAAGGCCAAGTAGAGATGGTAGATCCCTGGGGGCTCTGATAGTTAGGCCTGTTCTATTAGTATTACTATTTGTCAGTCGCGCTGTAGGGTCTTATGAAATTCGGGTGTCCATTACTATTTGTCAAGTCGCGCTGTATTCGTGTGCCTGAGGTTTTGAAACGTTTGTGGTCCTCAATTCCCACAGTGACAGTCAACATTGACCCAATCAGTTCCTTGCCAGCAGTAGCGTGCCATGGATGAATCATCACAGACCGTTCAGGCCGTACCTCTTTCATGCTCACTCCGTCAGTTAAATAGCCGTGGGCGCGGACAAGGTCGTGGGCGATCAAATTCAGACATACCAAGCCGAAAGCGCGCTCGACTAAATCCCTACACACCCACGAATCCACATTCCAAAGCACCCATCCATACCTCTGTCACATTTGCATCACGTCGAGAAGGCGATTTGATTGTATCTAAACAGAAAATCCTAGGGACCACATCCATATTGTCATCCTATGAACCTGACAGCCAATATGCTGTTTCAGGAGAGGATTTCTCTGATTTTCCCTATGATTGCGAGGAACCGGAACCATCTGTATTACTAGATGAGAGTGCAAGGTGTAAGCAAACGGCTGCAATATGTTTTATTTAATGATAAGTAATTGTTCTCATTGATCAAACAAGACATTAGGACCATCCCCTTCTCATCTGGATGAAGGAACGTGATTTTTTTCTAGCGGAAATTCTGCGACACGATGGACGCGGAGATCACACTTCTGACACATGTCCTGGATGTCGATGTCTGACATTTACACCCCCACGATATCGATGCCAGGAGTGTCTGGATGCGCAATTGTACTGTGGCACCTGTATCATCCAGAATCACATACGGTTACCTACCCATCATATTCATGTCAGTTTATTTTCTCAATTGTGAAAGCACTGATAGCTCATTAGCTTCTTAGAAATGGAATGGTCAATTTTTTGAGCGTGTTTCATTGAAAAGCATGGGCCTTCGCGTACAGCTGGGTCACGCAATCGGCGAGCGGTGCATTCAACGACGATTTTGTTCTCATCGATGCCAATGGTATTCATGAAATTGGGCTGGACTTCTGTGGCTGCACGACCTCCCAGACACATACTAGGCAACTACTGCGTGCTGGTTGGTTTCCGTCGACTTCTACTAATCCACGAACGGCCGCAACATTCCGTGTTCTTCATCAATACCATATTCTGTCTTTTGAGTCAAAGGCTTCCGCATATGAGTTTTATCACTCGCTGGTTCGCTTAACGGACAACACAGGCTTGACCAAACGAAAAGTAAGTTTTAATCTCACTAAGTGTGAATTTTTCAGTTCACAATGTCGTTTCAGGATCATTATGAATCTTTCATGCGCATGGTCCGTGAATGGCGTCACTTGGTGATGTTAAAGCACTCAGGACGCGGCCATGATCCAAGTGGTGTGGCGGGTACTTTGGAGGGTCAGTGTGCTGTGTTATGTCCTGCATGTCCGCAGCCTGGGAAAAATCTCCCGGACAATTGGCAAGATGCTCCAAAGGCCAAAGAGTGAGTCCGATATATATCACAAGGTGGTCAGGACTCGAGAGCGCTGATCATATCTCAGTTGGCTATATGGACTTTTTCTGGTGATTGATGCCAACTTTCGTCTGAAAAGACGTGTGGTATCGTCCGATGAGATTGATCCCAGCCTTTCACGAGGTTGGGCTTATTTTGTAGAGGAGGCATCTTACAAGTCTCACATCTCAGACAGGGCTGAAGATACACAAGAGGTACGTTTCTTCACCGCTTGGGTCAAGATGCTGTCTGACATTCTAACTTGCAGAAAAGCATGTGCTCCAGCCACAACGCTGTGAACATGGCAGACACCAAATTATCTCAAGGACTTGCGGCAATGGGAGTAGGTACTGTTGATTGTGCGCGTCATAATATGAAGTGTCCCAATGGAGTCGGCGACCTTCAAAAGGGAGAAAAGTGGGTTTTTTCTCACTAATTTTATGGTCTGATCTAACAAACACGATCAGGTATCTGAACATGGATTATCTGTTTTTCTCTACACTACGACACTCCACGGTAGATGTCTTGAATGTGTCATATGACATCGCTTGTCAATGGCACAAGCATCTTTGGTCACGCATGCTGTCTTTGCCACCTTCCCACCACTTGAACTATCTTACGAGGACGATCCGCTTCTTTGTGCCCAAGTTCCATCTCCCTGCGCACGTCTCCAAGTGCCAAACAATTTTTTCATTCAACTTTACTCACTTTGTTGGGCGCACGGATGGCGAGGCACCAGAGAGAGGATGGTCCAATATCAATCCTGTAGCTTCAAGCACGAAGGGTATGGGTCCAGGCTGTCATCGAGACACACTAGACAATCATTTTGGCGACTGGAACTGGAAAAAAGTAGTTGGACTCGGTGAGCTCTAGTTGCGCAGTATTATGTACACAAAAACTAATAGAGTTGGTTTTAGGATCGTCGCTTTTATTCAAGATAAAAGAAGCCCAGACAGAAAAGGCCGAGCATGGTGCTGCCTTCGAGGAGTTTGATAGTGTCATCACGTCTGAAAATCACGTGGCCTGGAAGGTTGAAATGGAGGCATGGGAGGAAAATCCAAATGATACGATGGTTTCCAACCCATTACAGCTGAAAGGCATTGGCGAGTTTGATTTGATCTCTTTGGTGTACCCTACTTGACATATAAATCGACCAGCGATTACACAAGCAAGTGCACGCTTGAACTTAGCCCAGCTCAAGGCTGAGGATCTCGAACGTGGTGTAGATCTTTCACTTCACCCTGATGTATCGCCAAGTGTACTCATCGCATCAGGCATTGACCTTGAAGAAGAACAGTGAGTGATTAGCACATGTCTCGCTCACCATACTAAAACGCTCTACAAGGCGGCACTTGAAGGCCATAGCCGACAACATGGGTATTCATGCCACGGATACACAGAAGTTGAGTATCCTCCGCATGAGGATGTCTCTTCGTCGAAAGACCAAATCTTGGAGGCGGACCCAGCTTCTATATGTACCATCGGTGCAAGTACTTGTCAACACGTCAGCAACCAGTGCTCTTGAAAATGCTGAGCTTATGAAGCTGTGGCTCCCGTCCGCATTGAATGGTAATGCTTGTGATTCGCACCTCCAACACATCGAGTGGGAATTGCGATTCGCGCAAGCTCACAACGCTTTAGAAGAGCTTAGGCAGTGCCTCCATGTACACTGCTCCCTCTTGAATTTCAAGAGGGAATGGATTCGGGGCCAAGGGGCCAATACTCGGGCTCAAAACGCGCTCGCACGTATACATGCTAGGCAGGCGGCGTGCATGAAGCACTATAGGACTGCATGGGGGGCTCTCAAATCTCTCGCACAGATTCTGAAGAAGGTAGATTGGCGTGGACGGTTGCAGGACCTCTCTGATGACGACGTGAAGCCACTCATCGACCCATTTGCCACTCAGGGAGAGGGAAGGCGAAGACTGACGTGGATTTGGATGATGGATGGTATGGACAATTGCGCAGATGGTGGGGATGTTGATGGTAAGGTTTCCGATCCATTTTTCATGGGATTAATCTCAGCGTTTGCCAGGTGTTCGTGTTGAATGGTGCAAATCCCGTGCCAGGGTGCTTCGCTGGGCTGAAGAAGTGGACCTTCTCCAGGAGGAGATGCGCCGGGTTTTGCTATTTTTCAATTGGCAGGCAAATTGGTGGGAAGGACAGGGAGTCCTCTAGGTCCATGAGTCCACCCCCTGCGATGGAGAAGAACCAGGAACTGCTGCCCGCCGTGAGGCTGTTGCCCAGGATGAAGGCTTGCGTGCTTATGTGTCTAGGCAAGCCAATATTCGCCGTCGCCTCGCTGCCCATTTTGACCGCATATGGGCCCCATTCACTTCTCCTCAAGACATACTGGGCAATCCGACTGCCACGCTCCCGTTACCCGATTTAACAATCCCTGATATGCCCTGATGCTTCGGATTTTCTGTCGATTGTTGGTACCTACTTAGTGTACCTTGTATTACATCACTAGTACTGAATGAAGTTGCCGGTCTTAAAATTGCCGGTTCTAAGTTACCTTAAAGTTACTGGGGCCCAGACCAAAGTATAGGCCCCTGGTAGGGTACTATGGCATCAAGGCACTCAAGGGCACTCGAGTCTGATAGTGAGCATGGTTTAATGCATCAATAATGCATCGGGAGGCTTTGTAATGTACATAGTTGATGCATTAGCTATCACTGGACACCAGCAGACTTGATGCATCAATGCTACAGGGACTTGTGCTACAAACCAAAATTTTCACAGTATACATGATCTTATTTAGCAGGAGCAGAATTATATCCTTCTGTAGTTCACACGGCTACAATATCAAGGAATCATGTGTTCACTGATGTGCATCTCCGCTCTCGCCAGGCGCTACTCCAGAGTTTCCAGAAAAATATCCACATTTCTGATGAGCTGCTCGAGATCAGATTTTGAAGCAATCTGCATATACTTCTTTGTGCCGTCCACAAGAACAAGGAGCTCGAAACAGCGTGTGTTGCGAAAATCATCTGGAATATAGCTCCATGCGCTTCTCATCACATCCCAACACTGCTGCTCTGTAATAGAGCCGAGCGATGTAACCGACATCTGTTCAGGTGCGATTCGAAGGAGGATACCAGCTATGTAAAAGGCATGCTGACTGATGTCGCCGCGGAGCTTCGCGCAGATCTCATTCTATCCAAACCGTCAAAAAGTACCTTATATACTCGCCTACTCGCAGAAATTGTCGAAAACGAGGTCCCGTCGTTTTTGGAGTGCGGATGTCATGCGGATGTGAGATAACTGTTGCACGCACTTCTTCAATACAACTCTCGTCTCGACAAACAACACCCTCCTGAGTAGCTTTACTCCCTATTTACTTCTATTTATTTTAGGTATACTCAGTTACATGTTGACGGCATCAGGCAATTGACCTGAGGGACTTACATACATTTCAACTCTGGGCGAAAGACCATTGGCAAGCTTGATGTCGGTGTTAATTTTCTTCCATACCCAATTGTCGGTACGATACGCAGTTACGTACCTTTCTCAATACCACACCATAGTCGCGTGATTACCTCGCAACTGCCAAAGATCCTCCACAACTGTGTGGATTTATGAAGCTCGGGGCGTTACTAAGTAGCTTGAACTTGGGGCCCGGGGTCTGAACCATCCACGCGCAAATGAACATATGCGCGGTATTCTATCATATCGCGGATAAGCTCGAGGGAAGGTAGTGCTTTGCATTACAAGTGCTTAATACAACTTGAAAGTTTCTGGAGTACAAGCTGAGTGGCCATGGCAGGTGCCTAGGTCGGGTAGTATGAGCGGACAAAATTCCTAATGATTTCAAGCAAAGTGATCAAATTGATATTTTATGTCAACCAGCCTTCAAAGGTCCAGCGCAACCAATCATTCATACCGACGAACTCTCAAAGGCACTCCAGTACCATCCTCTCCAGCAACCCGTGGACGAAGTAAGATTCCCCTGACAATTTCGACGGGGGTATCTTGTCCATCTCGCATCTCAAACACGAAGTTCTTCACCAGAACAGATAAAACCGCCTATATCACAGTGAATAACGTCCAAAATTACTGACTCGCATCACTCACCTTGAATTCCATGATCGCAAAATCTTTTCCAAGACACGCCCTCGGGCCATCAACAAATGTCAGCAGATGCCTGTGACCTTGGACTTCCTTGGCCTTCCCACTGATGCCGTCTTCAGTCAGCCAACGGTCAGGTTTAAATTCCTTTGCGTGAGGTCCCCAGATGATCGAAGAGCGGTTGATTGCCCCGATTGATATCGTGATCAATGTCCCTTTCGCTATAGATATACTATCCGTCATGTTGCCGGACGCCGTGCGCACAGGTTCGCTCAAGGGAATAACGTCATCTGCCGCTGCCTGTAGACTTAAAGTTGTCGTGTCTATTCACATGTAGACATACACACTCACAAGACGAGTGGATTCTGGCACGGGAGGATGAAGTCGTAGGGTTTCATGCACAACCGCATCCAGGTACAGGAGGTTGGCCTTTAATTGGTCATATGTCGGATCAGGGCCAAAGGCAAGCAGTTCCTCTCTGAGCCTGGTTTGAACATCGGGGTGTCGTGATAGCTCGATTAGCGCCCACTGATCAACGCATGAATAAAGTGCGCAGAAGTAATTATGCAGTAAACTCACCGTAAGACTGACTGTAGACGAAGAGTCAGCAAGTGTGATAGCAGCGGGTAAGAAACTGACTCACTGGATGTCGTCTCATAACCCGCGAGAAGCAAGACCTTCATCTGCAGGATGTGAGCTCGCAAATCATGGCTGTGATGCATCGTCTCCACGGACCTGAGCCACTACTTCCTCCGCCGACATATGAAGCTCGGCATCCTGACCTTCAGATTTAACTGATCACCACATTAATAAATAAAAACTACGATCATTATCTCGAAAAGCATACTCAACAATCCGATGAGGGAATTCTCCTCGCCTCCCTGACTGATATCCGCGTCCTTCTCCCGGCGGCTGCGAATCAATAACTCGTTAGATATTTGTTCCATGGTTATGCCAAGTTTCTTGAACAGATTCTTCCGCTTGTTGGGGATAATCTTGAGAATGATAGGAAATACTGATGCAAGCAGGATAAAAGCTTTGTGCACTGCTGAAGGTTGGTTGCTTCCGAATGTATTAAACGCTTCGGCCACGCTGACGCGCTTTCCATCGAGCGAACCAAAATCATGGGAGAAACCAGCAATGCCAACTGTGTCCAAACTGATGTTTCGTCAGTTCAAGGCGTCAATGACAAAATATCTTTGCGTACGATATATGATTCATCCTTTGAGTCGTTTCGATTAGGAATGGCACTTGCTAAGTCAGAAAAGCTACGCACCAGTTCTGGACCTCGATGACTGCATCGTCATCTTTGCTCGATTCTATAATAGTATCCCATTTTCCTTTGGCCTGTGAGGTATGATATTAAGTTCAGAGATGAACACCACAAATCCTCACCTTGTACGCTGAGTCATAAAACACCGATGTGAGTTTTCGAATCGCCGCATTACTGAATGCTGGTGTGAGGGCCTTCCGCTGCCTAATTCGCGGGTGGTAGGTAAGTCGCTTGCGCAAGGACAAGAGCTGAACAGTACCTTCTGTGAGTTTCGCCCTGAGCCCATAGTAGCCCTTTGCCAACCTGACAGGAGATATAAAAAAGACGATTCAAGATGATGATATCAACATACTGATGACTCCAGAAACGCCAACGTAAGGGGCGTCTTCACATAAGTCCATGTCTCTCGAGTGTAGAAATGTGCAATAGCTTTCGGATCACACAGCACGACGTTAGTCTGCCCGAGGACGCTCGGAGTCATATATGCTACCCCATATTCCGTCGCCCAACGTTCATAGATTGCAGCTCTGTCGTGAGATGAGCCAATGTCGCGCGAAACGCCATATACGAGGCTGGTACGAGGCGGACCCAACAGTTGAGTCGTCTTCACTCGCCAGCGAAGCATCCTTAACACTTTGACAAGGGCCCATAATGCAGCAAATGAACCAGCAACATTAAATGCGCCACGCGAATGTACGGTTGTCCAGAGACTTAATGGAGAGGGTACAGGGATGGTAAATATGTTCATCGTTATGTTTGGTTCGAAGTGGGATCTATTGGGAGATCATGTATAGGTTGTCGTTTCTGGATGCTAACAACGTCGTGTGCTATGGCTTCGTACAGGCACAGGACTGTGCCCGACTGCGCTTGTTTCGTCAGCAGGGATTATTCATAACAGGCTAGCCGAACCTGACTCAAGATAAGATTGTGAGCACTAGTACTTGCAACTCAGTACTCAGTACCTGAATGGGCGGGAGTGAATAATAAAAAACCATCGTGATGGGTGCAAATATTGAGCGGGATCCTTGGAGCTCAAATTAAAATTGATACTATAAAAGCATCGGCTAAAGTACCTTAGAAAGTTTTGCTGAGGTTCAGATCGCTCATCGGCATGCAGTCCGAGTCGGAGTGTGAAACACAATGCCTGCTCTGCACCTTCGTCGGTTTGCACGCCTACAGACCATCTCTCAAATGTTAACCGTCACGCCAGGACAGCAGGAGGTGGATGGAATTGCCAGCTGCTCCTCATACTCATGGAAGGCGGAGACGGTGAAGGGGAGGGGCCATGACTCCATTTCGTAACATAACGTGCCTATGCGCACCAACAAGGCTCAAGCTCGTCGACTTCCTTGTGGAGCATCCGGCAGATTGTGGAATTCTATTCGCGATCGAAAGCAAGAAATCCGGTAAGTATTGCAGTGTTTCGGACCTGGGTCACCCATCAAGCAAGGACAATGGGGTACATCCACGGTGCAATTGCGAGGCTTATCTTACAACTACAGTGGAAGAAATTTGAGACCCATAGTGATTCCTGGCAGGAGATTATGAATGTCCTGCTCAGCTGCAGTCTCGTGTCACGCAACAGAAAACTCACTCTGGATAGTCGAAGGTGATCATAATCTCCTGCTCAGCTGCAGTCTCGTGTCACGCAACAGAAAACTCACTCTGGATAGTCGAAGGTGACAGACAGAATACACAACATGGAACTCGACGTCCGGGGCCACCACCATCATCTTTCCTTGATGTTGCGTTGTATTGCCTTACTCGCAGGATGACGCTACAAAATGATGGAGTACACAACGGTTCGTACACCGATTTCTCTCAGGTAAAACTTGTGTTTTTTCATGTACAGGGTGCAGGCTTAGTAGTATTGACAAAAAGTATCTGTGTTGTTGGTCTTCCAAGGCGTCACTTCCATCCACATTATCTAGCACTCATCTCCTTGGCTCGTCACTTCTGGAACTTGATTTCTCGATACCGCCTGCCAGAAAATGACTCCATGCCACAAGAGCAGCTAATGGGGTTTCTTTACACGTCGTGCTCAATCAACCTCGCCTATGTATCCCGCAACTAGTACCGCACCCGACCAGCCGATGCCAAAAGCATACATTGGAAGAAGACGAGCAAATCGACCAGAATGTCAATGCCATAATAAATTTATCAGCTTTGCGGACACTACTTGTCACAATCCATGGGTGTCAATGTTATGGGAATACTCTGCTTGGCGACAAAAAGGATAGCAAGGATAGCGCATACAAAGCTATATAGTGTCCATATTACAATATCAATCGTACATACCTCTTCTGATTTGAATGCCAACCAAGGGTTTTTGGTCGCGAATAAGTGGGGGAAGATATAGTAAAATCTGGTACAGCGCAACCAATCATTCATACAGACGAATTCTCAAAGGCACTCCAGTACCATCCTCTCCAACAACCCGTGGACGAGGTAAAATCCCCCTCGCAACTTCCACTGGGGTATCCGGTCCATCCCGCATCTCAAACACGAAGTTCTTCACCAGAACAGATAAAACCGTCTGTATCACAGTGAATAACGTCCAAAGTTACTGACTCGCACACTCACCTTGAATTCCATGATCGCAAAATCTTTTCCAAGACACGTCTTCGGGCCATCAACAAATGTCAGCAGATGCCTATGACCTTGGACTTCCTTGGCTTTCCCACCGATCCCGTCTTCAGTCAGCCAACGGTCAGGTTTAAATTCCTTTGCGTGAGGTCCCCAGATGGTCGAAGAGCGATTGATTGCCGCGATTGATACCGTGATCAATGTCCCTTTCGCAATAGATATACTATCCGTCATGTTGCCGGACGCCGTGCGCACAGGTTCGCTCAAGGGAATAACGTCATCTGCTGCTGCCTGTGGACTTGAAATTGTCGTGTCTATTCACATGTAGACATACACACTCACAAGACGAGTGATTTCCGGCACTGGAGGATGGAGTCGTAGGGTTTCATGCACAACCGCATCCAGGTATGGGAGGTTGGCCTTTAATTGGTCATATGTCGGATCAGGGCCAAAGGCAAGCAGTTCCTCTCTGAGCCTGGTTTGGACATCGGGGTGTCGTGATAGCTCGATCAGCGCCCACTGATCATCACATTAATAGCGTGCAGACGCAATCGTGCAGTAAACTCACCGTAAGACTGACTGTCGACGAAGAGTCAGCCAATATGACAGCAGCGGGCAAGAAACTGACTCACTGGATGTCGTTTCATAACCTGCGAGAAGTAAGACCTTCATCTACAGAATGTGAGTTCGTAAATAATTGCTATGACACATCGTATTCACGGACCTGAGCTATTACTTCCTCCTCCGACATATGGAACTCGGTATCTTGACCTTCAGATTTAACTGATCGCTGCGTTAATTAAGAGACTACGATGAATCTCTCGGAGAGCATACTCAACAATCCGATGATAGAATTTTCTTGGCCTCTCTCGCCTATGTTGAAATCCTTTTCCCGGCGGCTGCGAATCAACAATTCGTTAGATATTTGTTCCATGGTGAAGCCAAGTTTCTTGAACAGATTTTGCCGCTTAGTGGGGATCCTGAGAATGATAGGAAATACTGATGCGAGCAGGATAAAAACTTCATTCACTGCTGAAGCTTTTTGGTTGCTTCCGAATGTATCAAACACTTCGGTCACGCTGGCGGGCTTTCCATCGAGCGAGCCAAAATCATGGGAGAAACCAGCAATGCCAACCGTGTCCAAACTAATGTTTCGTCAGTTCCAGGCGTTAATGACAACATATCTTCGCGTACGATATATGATTCATCCTTTGAATCGTTTCGATTAGGAATGGCACTTGCTAGTCAGATAAGATACGCACCAGTTCTGGACCTCGATTACAGCGTCACCATCTTTGCTCGATTCAATGGCAGTATCCCATTTTCCTTTGGCCTGTAACGTATCAGTTCAGAGATGCTGCATTTTCCACATCGCAAATCCTTACCTTGTATGCTGAGTCATAAAACACCGATGTGAGCTTCCGAATGGCTGCATTACTGAATGCTGGCGTGAGGGCCTTCCGCTGCCTAATTCGCGGGTGGTAGGTCAGTCGCTTGCGCAAGGACAAGAGCTGAACAGTACCTTCTGTGGGTTTCGCCCTGAGCCCATAGTAGCCCTTTGCCAACCTAACAGGAGATATGAAACAGAGGAGGTAAGATGATGATGGTTACATACTGATGACTCCAGAAGCGCCAACGAAAGGGGCGTCTGCACATATGTCCGAGTCTCACGAGCGTAGAAATGTGCAATAGCTCTTGGGTCACACAGCACGACTCTTGTCTGCCCGAGGACGCTCGGAATCATATACACTACCCCATATTCCGTTGCCCAACGTTCATAGATTGCAGCATTATCTTGAGATTTGGCGAGGTCGCGCGAGACGCCATATACGAGGCTGGTACGAGGCGGGCCCAGCAGTTGAGTCGTCTTCACTCGCCAGCGAAGCATCCTTAGGACTTTGACAAGGGCCCATAATGCAGCAAATGAACAAGCAATGTTAAATGCGTAACCCGAAACGGTTGTCCAGAGACTTGATGGAGAGGGGATGGTAAATAAGTCCATTGTTATGTTTGGTTCGAAGTGGGATCTATTCGGAGATCATTTATAGGTTGCCATTTCTATGGGTGCTGAGAACGGCGTGGGCTACGAAGTTGAACGGCTTGTACAGGCACAGGACCCAACTGCGCTCGGAGCCGGCGCCGTTGTTTTTCGTCAGCAGGATTATTCATACAAGCCGAAACCTGTGTATGACTCGGATACGATTGTGAGCACTACTTGGACCTGAGTACCTAAATGGGCGGGAGTAAATGCCAATAGAAACATCGGGATGGTGCAAATATCGAGCGGAAGCCTATTCAGGCTTGAAGCTTAAATTAAGCTTGAACGTACGTGATACTATGTGTGGCCGCAAGGACTAGCACATAGCACCTTCTCCGGAGATAAATACCGTTAAGTTCGTGCCGCAGCCACAGTACTGTATGTGGTAATTCACCCCCACGTTACCACAGCATGTCCGAGGTGCGCGGAAGAAAGTGGTCTCAGAGGTTTCTTATTGGGAGGATGGATGTCACTGTATGGAATGCAGAAAGCATAAGGATGCCCTCGTTACCGGTCCCACTACATAGCACGGGTCCATACTAGTAAGCGATTTCGATCTTGCTGCGCAAATTCAAAAAATGAACGTAATTCCAAATTGTCTACATTAATACAATAGAGTGAACAAGCCCTCCAACAAAATCAAATACCCACCACACCGCATACTTGTCCCGCAAGTAATCTAACCCTCCAAGATTCCCATTTCCCTCCACCTTTCCCAAAGCATGCCAGCGCCAACAGGTGAGTTAGCAGCGCCCTTCACGTCTTTGATGTCCAACAGTTCATATTCTCGCCCAAATGCCAGAAAATGGGCAAAGAGGGAGTTGAAATGCGGCTCTGAACGCAGATGGAGGATTTGAGGGTAATGCGCGTGATAGATATGTGCGAATACGCGAAGGAGTTGACGGTACACGTGTTTGACAGTCGAGGGAAATGATTGAGGGAAGTCGTGTCCTGTATGAATGATTATAGAGGGAGGCGAGGTAAAGTAAAAAGGCACTCACCAGACTTTGTAGGGAAGACATTTTCATCATCGAGAAGGTTTTGGATCCATGTCATGACGTAGTCGATGTAGGTGGGCGCAGCAAGGTGCACGCTCTTGCGATCTTGATTGATCCATGTGTAGTTAAGACTGAAGGGCATAAGTTATGGACGAATGCGCCCGGAAAAGGGATATACGTACTTTTGTCCAGCAGACATGGTTGGACATGATTGCTGCGTACAGCACTCCGAAATGACGCCATAAAACTCGTTGAGGTTGGTATAAAAGTCGAATACTAAGGCGCCATTTGAGACGGTTCGGAAAAATGAGACTGATGGACATACCATTGACGGCTACCCACTCCATGATGTCAACATACTTCGGAAGAACGACGATGGTCTTGAAGTTTCCTTTGACGAGTGCTGCCTCTACAAATGGGCTGCACAAATAAAGAGGTTTTTGTGCTATAGGTGTGACTGGAGACGAAGGTATGGGTGGGGGTGGCATGTCAGACGAGAACGTCGAAGAGGTTGGTGTAGGCGAACGCTTGGGTCCGCGCGGTGTACGCGACATAGAACGACTATGATAAACTGTTAGACGGTTTTTACGACTCTGACCATGGACTCACCCTATTGAATTGAAGAAAGACATGATAAATGAAAGTTGAAAGTTGAAAGAAGGACGATCAGTAACTTGGGTTTCAAGAGCAGAACTATCATATCCAAAAAAGGAATGGATGTATGTACGAACCGTGGCGTGGGAGTCTATAGCAGGCCTTGCATTGTCTGCAATTTCAAGGTCTTGCAAGGCTCTGGTCGTCATCTCCCTCCATATTACATGGTGGGCACAAGGCGAAAAAGCAAGGCTGCCGCAGCCGCAGCCACTCAGAACGACTACGATGGCGCTTCAACTCAAGGAACAGACGAGTTCAGTCATCCGCCACCATTCAGTATCCCACTACCTATCGACATCGATGTCGAAGCACTTTCAAGCTTGATACCAGAAGTCTCGTTTGCTACTCCAACACCTGAAACAATAGTATCTGTGTACAGATTGCTTCTTGCACAAGTAACCGAAACCAATGCCACTCAGAGAGACCTAGAGGAGGCGAGAGCCGAGGTCGAACGGAGGGAAGTGGAACTAGACCAGGCTTATCAAGATGCGGAGAACAAGACAAAGAGTCTTGAAACTTCCCTCGAAAACGTTCAGAGCCAACTCACAGTCACGAGGCAAGAAAAGGAGCAGCTTGGTAGGTATAGTTCGGTTGTGATATAATACACTCAAAGCTTATGTTCCCCGCAGCTGCATCGAAAAATGGTCTAGAAGCACAGATATCAAACCTCAGTACCTCGCAATACACTTCGTCGACCGAACTTGATCAATTTAAACATCGCATCGAGGACGCTGAACGCGAAAAACGTGACCTTATGGGTGTGGTAAATAGGTTGAAGGAAGATGCAACGCAGCGCGACGGTGCGTTATTTATATTTCTTTCATGAATTAATCGTTTATTTCTCGCAGATGAGGTGCAAAACTTGCGCAACAGCCTTCGACAGGCACGTCAAGAACACCAAACACAGGAGACTCAAGTGCGCGAACTTCGCTCATCAGAAACATCCAGCAAGGTATGTATACTCTATATTTGAAACGTGGCGTTCTTTCATCTAACGCACATTTAGTTCAAGATCGACTCTCTTACGCAGCAACTCCAACTCGCACAGTCCGAAGTTGAACGAGCAACCATCGAACTATCGTCCAAAATCGAAGAACACGCTAAGTACCGGCGCACGAAACATGCTGAGCTCGCGACTCTGCAAGCCGCACATGATTCACTCACCCAGCAACACTCCGCATCGGAAAGCGCATTCAAAGCTCTCCAGAGCGCACACTCGTCTCAAGCCCATCAACTCACGCAGGCTCTTGCACGCGTACAGGATCTGACCGGACAGCTCGCAGAACAGGAAGCAGCGTTCACTAGTGAAGCATCCGGGCTGCGACGACTCGTAAGCATCATGGAAGAACGCGAGAAGCAGGCGAAGGAGATTGTCGAGGGCATTGAACGCGAATGGGCAAGTGTCGGAGAACGCGCCGAGCGACGCGAGGCAGCTTTGCATGCCGAAGTCGAGAAGGAGAAGCGGGCCCGAGAGGAAGCGGAACGAAAAGTTGATCAACTTGAAACAGTCCTCGAGCGTATGAATCGTGGTGAACTCCCTGTCGCCTCCCGCGCAACACCCGTCCCAGGAACCCCTGCGACTCCTGCTCGCAATTCTGCTCAAGCGGCCGGAATGGAGGGTATGTTTGGCCTGAGCCCGACGGTCGCAATGGTCAGCAGAGCACAGAAGACTGGAAAGACGTTTACCGAGGTCTACGCCGACTATGTTCGCTTGCAGGATGAATTTGCGAAGAAGTCATCCGAGTATGATCACATGGACAGAACTCTTTCTGCAGTGTTAGCTCAGATCGAGGAACGGGTAAGTCGCATTCACACATTGTCAAAATGCTAGTCTAATCCATCTGTTCAGGCCCCCATTCTATCACAGCAACGAGATGAGTACGACCGCCTACAATCCGAAGCTGCACAACTTGCCTTACAACTCTCGACCGCGCTCACCGAACGGGAAGCTAACTCAAACGCATTCCAGGAAGCCTCGCAGAAGTTGAAGAAGTCTCACTCAGAGAATGAACTTCTGCAACGTCAGCTTGATGACCTCGGTCGGCAAGTTCAAACACTGCTTAAGGAACTCGGGAGGCGCACAGACCCGTCCTTGCCCACGGATGTTGAGATGGAAGAAATGGAGCCCCTACCAGCTGAAAACATTGATGCTGTCATCACGAACAACCTCGTACTCTTCCGCAGTATTGGTGGGCTACAAGAGCAGAACCAGAAGCTACTCAAGATTGTACGTGAGCTCGGCTCCAAAATGGAGGCGGAAGAGCGTGAATACCGCGAAGCGCTCGACCAAGAACAGAGTGAAGCCGTGAGAGAGGCGCATGAGGCAATTCAAGATCTAGCCGCACAGCTTGACAGGCAGAAGAAGAGCAGCGATATGACAATTCAGGCATACATGAAGGAGCGGGATGCGTTGAAAGCCATGCTTGCGCGGGCTGAGCGCTCGGGACTGCATGCGGGCGTCAACGGTGACATCAACGGCGTCGCTGGTCCTATCAAGAACGATCTGGCTGCGGAACTTGAAGACGTGCAAACTCAGTTCGAGGCTTATAAAGCTGAGATGGGCACGGATTCTGTGAAGCTTCGAGAGGAGTTACAGCAAGCGCATCGCGATCTCGGGCAGGTTAACGTTACGCTTGCCAAAGCTAATGCCAAGATCGAATATCTCACTGGTAGGCACTTTCACAGTCTGTTCGTGCTTTCGGTCGTTTGATTTTTTATTTAAGACCGTCATCGCATGAGCCAAGACGAAGCAGCGTTACATACCCGCGATCTCGACAACTTGACCAAACGCAATCAACAACTCTACGACCAGTATATCCGAATTGATATCGAGTGTAACCGAGCTCAGCAGGAGTTGTCCGAGGCTAATGGTCGTGTCGAGCAGTTGCGCAATGAGAGTGCAAACCTGCGTGCAGAGAAGAAAATATGGGAGGTTTGTCTTTTTTGTTGTGTTTACGAGAAACGTCGTGTTGAGTATTGTCATTTTAAGTCTGTCCAAGCTCGCTTGGTGCAAGAGAACAAGACCCTTTCCGTGGAACGGTCTCACCTGGCTGACCTTATGGCCAATGTGCAGAGGATGCATGGCGACCTTGAACGATCGGGAGAAAACGACCGCCGCCGCCTGGAAAACCAGATCCAGGCGATGGATGACCAGACGTGCGCATCTGAATGCATCCTCTCGATGTAAGGAAAGGCTAATTGACTGCCACAGGAAAGACCTGAAGGCTCAGCTCTCGCAGGAGCGCGACTCAGTCCGCCACGTCACGCTTCAGAAGGATATTGACTTGAAGGACCTGCAAACCCGCCTGGACAAGACGGTATGCTTCACCTTCTTTGTGGGGATACACCAGTCCTTATCCTTTGCAGACTGAACAGCTATCTCAAGTTCGGGAGTCTCTCGTCGGCGCAGAAACCAGCAAAGTCCACCTCCAAGAGCGCGTTGACCAGCTTACACGCCAGCTACAAGGTAACGAGGAGAAGCTTGCTGTGTACGAACGTCGCCCATCGGCTACTAGCGGCGCTGCTCCTGCTACTGAGCAAGACCTTCCACGTGAACAGCAACTCGAGCAGGAAGTCGCGGAATTACGGTTGGTGTCCAAGTACTATGTTTGTGGCACCATACTGAACAGATCCATTCTAGGTCTGCTTTGAAGGTCGCTCAAGTTGATCTCGCAGCTGCCCGTAGTCACATGCAGCAATTCCAAGAGATTTCTCAAGCCAACGAAGCTGCCCTGTCAGCGCTGAATGCCACGCATGATCAATACAAGGCTGAGACTGAGGCGCAGATTTCAAAGAACGAGGTGGGGTCCACTCCAATTACCAGAGCTTTGGTTCTCATATCACTTTTTACAGCTGGAGTACAAGGTCCTGCAAGATAAATTGCGCAGCGTGGAGGATGATGTACGACAGTCTGTTGACAAGTTCTCTGAACTTCAACGCACGTTCGAGTCGGAGCGGCTGGTTTGGACTAATGACAAGAAGACCTTGGAGGATACCATCGTCGACTTGAGCACCTCTGAGAAGACTTCTGAGACTGACCGCACCACTCGTGAGAGTGAAGTTCGTCAGCAGGAGGAAAGGGCACTTGTAAGTTGCCATTACTCTGTTGTTATCTGCGTTCTCAGTCTTTCTAGGCTGCAGAAGATAGATACTCGCGTGAAGTGATTCTCCATGCCGAGTCAATCAAGACCATCGAGACTCTCAAGCAACAATTATCCGTCACTCAAACTACCTCTAGGGAAAACCTGTCAGAAGCTGCTAATGCCCAAGCTAAGCTGGCAGCATCTGAGGGCAGCTGGAAGCAGCAAAAAGAGGCTTTAGACAAGGAAATTGCTGATCTCAATGCACGGTGAGTCCCTGATTGGACGCCGATCGGTCCTTGAATCTCATTCAAATACAGGTCCAGGGATCTGTCCGCACAGAATGCTCTTCTTCATCAACATCTCGAGACTGTCAGCACTCAAGCTACGCGTATACGTCAGGCTGCAGACTCCTCCGCTACAGATGGCACTTCTGGTGACGCAGATATCGGTGGCGATGTGGATACCAAAGTTTCGGAACTCAGATCTGTTGTGGCTTACCTGCGCAAGGAGAAAGAGATAGTCGATCTCCAGCTTGAGCTCAGTAAACAGGAGAACGTCCGCTTGAAGGCTCAGATCGAGCATCTGACTCAGAGTTTGCAAGAGACCAGGGCAACCCTTGGTGAGGTACGTTTGTGAGTATCCATTATTGTTGATCATCAATAACGTTGGCATCAGGAACGGGAACGGGCGATGGAAGCGGCGACTTCGGATGCTCAGCACGCTGAGATGTTGGAAAGGATCAACCAGTTCAACATTCTTCGGGAAAGCAATGCCACCCTCCGCGCTGACTGCGAGACTTATGCTAAACGTTCTCGCGAGCTCGACGCGAAACTGCAGGCATTGTCTGCAGAGCTCGAACCTGTCAAGGAACGGGCTCGTGTGGCACAGGCAGAGCTACGAGCTAGGGATGCACAGATCACACGCCTCGAGGGAGAGAGCCGCCGTTGGCAAGAACGCAACGCGCAGTTGCTGAGCAAAGTAAGTGTTCGGAACCGCTCGTCTTTTTTCAGGCTGACGTGGCTTGGCAGTATGATCGTACTGACCCCGCTGAGATTCAAACGCTGAAAGATGAAATTGAAACGCTGAAAACTCAGAAGGCTGATGTGGAGAAATTGGCTACAGAACATGAAGAACGAGCAAACACTATCCAGGCCAGGGTACATATTTTTTTTTTCAAACGATAATGCCGTTCTGACTAGTCTCAAGCTCTCGCGTCTCGAAGCCAACTTCAGAACCCACAAAGATAGCAACACGAAAAATGTAGACAAGTTCAAATCTAGCCTTGGGTTACTTAACAGCGAGAAGTCTCAACTCAATGCCACCGTCAATGAGCTCGAGGGCAAGATCAAAACTCTTACTGCCGAACGAGACGCATTGCGCACCACTTCGGCATCTGATGCATCGCAGCAGTTGAACTCCCAGCTAGAGACGCTACGGCAAGAGAAAGTCGCTTTGGAGCAAGCGTTGGCCAATGAGAGAGCTGTGAAAGCCCAGGCGTCTGCCGAAGGTTCATCAGATCAAGCTACGCTCATTGTATGCTTTTTCCACAAGTCAAAGTTTTGTTACTTACCCTGTTCATCTAGGCTTCCCTCAGGGAGGAGAGAGATAGGCTTCTAGCAGAAAAGGAGGCTCTGAGCAAAGCTGGATCCTCTACTCTACCTTCCGATACTGCACACTCCTGGGAGTCGGAAAAGCTTGAACTCATAAAGGCGCGAGATGAGGCATTAGCGCGTGCTAGTGTTGGTCACTCAGTTTCACTGTGCGAAGCTACACTGACGGCTTTTTTCAGACCTTAGACGATTCGGCGAAAAAGGCGTCCGATGACGTCAGGAACCTCCGTCAATCCAACGATAAATTCCAAGTTAGAATTCAGGAAATGCACCGAGCCAGAGAAAGGTTCAACTCGGAACAAGCAGCCATTGTCGCCGCCGCTGTCGAGAAGGCTAAGAGTGAAATGACTGCTGGCGGTACTTCTGTAAACACTGAGGAACTCTCGAAGAAGCATGCCCAAGAACTGGAGGCTCTACGGGCTCAGCTGACTACTCAGCACGAGGCAGCCCTCAAGGCAGCAGTAGACGTTGCTACTAAGGCTGCCAAAACGGAGGCTGCTACTTCTTCTTCCGATGAGGCAACGAAAGCTGCTATTGCCGCTGCCATCGCTGCTCATGACGCAGAGCTCCAAGAACGACATAACGCAGAGTTGGATGCAGCGGTCGAGCGGGGCAGATTAGAATCGCAGGCGAAGAGCAAAATCAAAGATGGTCAGCTTGTTCGATCTCAGGTCAAGCTCAAGGATCTGGAAGCGCAAGTGTTGGAGTGGCGAAAGGCTGGTTTGATCCCCGAGGCTCCGCCACCGCAAACGCCCACAGCGTCAACATCCAAGGTGCCACCCCCAGTTACTACTGCAGCTTCTACTTCACAACCAGTCACGGCTTCCACTCCTGTAGCAACTGCACCAAGTGCAACAGCCGTGAAGCCTGCCGCTGCAGCCCCAGCAGGCCAACCTGCAGCTGCTAGTGGAGAAAAGCCACCCACCAGTGGTGCGGTCTCACTTGGTGTTCCCAGAGGTGGCCGAGGCAGAGTTGCTCCGCGCGGCGCTGGAAGAGGCATCAGCATCCGAGGTCGGGGCGGCGTTCCACCCCCCGCTGCATCTACCTCCGGTACTACAGGAATGTCTATCATTGGCGCAGCTAGCAAACGTAGTCGAGAAGAAGATCTGGTTGTGGACGATTCACTGGCGAAGCGGTTGAAGCCTGCAGCGGAGACCACCGCACCAAAACCCCCTGTTACCCTCCGTCGCCCACCGCCAACATAGCCAGACCCTGCAGTAGTGTAGTACAGACTTGCATCTTACCATGACTCCATATTGTATCAATATTTCACTTGTCGATTCACAATTATCATTACATCCTGTTTGTCATTTGAATTCTGCTCGTGCAGATAAACCGAGAGCACCACGCTCAACGGAACTACTTGGAACAATCAAGATACCTGTCAGTTGCTTCAACTAGTCTCCTCCATCGCCCCCCGTTCCAACTCTTTACTTCTTCCCACTCCTGATTCTCAAAGCAATACTGTATCCACTTGCATAGTCCCGCAACCACAAAGTCAGCGAAACATGGTGTGTCCCCCATTATGAATTGACCGCCGCCGGTTGCATACCACCCATCTATGGTATTGCACGCAGCACGCAGTATGTTCCATTGCTCCTCTCTTTTCTCGGGCGTTGCAAACTGCTCCCATGGAATGCCGAATCGCTCCACACGAGTGCGAATATAATACTCCTTGCTCTTGGGATTAAGTTTCTGAGCACCTCTAAAACTGCCCAGCATGACAATGCCCCTTATGGCGTCATGCAGCGCAGTATGAAAGGCGTGCACCAGTGCAGCTGTGTTATGTGGCAGTACTTGCGGTGTATCCGGGTATTGCTCATCAAGGTACTGTGCAATCGCAAAGGAGTCTGTAATAAACCTATTCGTATTTGGATCCATGATGACAGGAAGCGTGTGCACGGGCGTTGGGGTTCCCTTGATGATACGCAAGGTAGTGGGCGCCAGAGAATGTTGTTCGTAGAATGATTTGATCTCCGGGTACTCGAGCCAGACGGTCTGGAAGGGTAGGCCCTTGAAGGTGAGACAATATCTATGACATGTCAACGACGAAGAGGAACTCTTGAGGCGGGTAACCTGCCTTGTTTTCACCGTGTTTGGAGACCATGTCTGCACGATGCTGGGAATATCATAGAAGATAATGGGTTTGAGCCCTGGCATAGACATTGTTTCCACAATATCTACGTAGAGTAAGTAGCACGGGGTTGGACTTTGCCAGTAATTGATCCACAGTTCTTAGCTGTCTGGCGCCTAGATGCGGTTTACGGTTTGGAGTTGATCGATGACCGGTGACCGTTGCCGGCGACCATCCGAGGTAAAATCAAACGGAGATCTGTATAGTGTACACCTGCAAAATACCAGTCCGGTCTGAAATTTTAGCACTCCGAGTCTCCGATGATAATCCAGGTAAAATTCAAAATTCTCCACTACGATATCTCTACTGTCCTGACTTTCATGTCGTCAATACGAGTCATGTTTTTGAGTTGTGCAATGATACTGTAATCCGAGGCAACTCTCCTGTATTCTGTGCGAACCTCGCGCCTTAGCAAAAATGCGCTAAAAGGTTGTCCAAGGCGAACAATCAACCGCAACGCTCGTTCCGAATCAACCACTCCATGCTCTTCGAAAGGCCCATCAGGCGAAACGTCTGCGGGGGATTCGGGCGGGGTCCAATCGTCTACGCTGTCCACGTCATTAGGCGACTCCAGAAGACTATGATCCCACGGACGAATAAGTAAGAACTGAGGCGTTCGAGAGATTAATTTTGTCGGGAGGAGCTCGTCTTCCGTGGTGATCAGTAAGTCTTGGAGTCCGCCTGTCTTGACTTCATACGTGATACGTTTATCCTTGCCTCGAGGGCTCATCCGTCTGATTGTGGAACGGAATGCGATGCAAGGCAGATGTAGATGTTTATGCGCAAAACGGGGAGCATGAAGGGAGTCGAGTTCGCTGTATAATTTCTCAGCCGATTGTATAGTCCCAGCATGTCGTAGCAACGAGACTGATTCGGACAGCTTTTCAGGAGATAGAGATGGGGATGTGTACGGTGGAGCTTTGTATGAAGTCATTTCGGCTGGCAAACAGCTGTTGAATTCGGATGGTCTTCCAACCCAGTCCAGGGTGGTAATGTCGCCATGGTCATTTATGATCTCTTGCAAGAGCCGCCCAAGGGCATTCTGCTTCTTCTCCCCATAATCAACACGTGGGCGGAGGTTGAAGACGCCAAACAAGGAGTAGGCAATGTCTTCTTGCCGTGTGGTGATACGCGAGCATGCCCATTGGAGTGTCCTTCGGGCATTTTTCGTCCCTGGATGGAAAGAAATGAGAGCCTCTCGGTCGATGCCTGTAGCATCTGCCAACTCCTCTATGATCTCATTGGAATGCTTGTGGTTGGGAGAGCGATTGTTAAGATACAGGGTCCAATCCTTCTGATAAAAGAGGATGCATTTCGAGGCCATAAGTTCTTGAAATGTCCATCCTCGTTTGTTCCAGACACTCTTTTCCAGTGCGCCAGACTCGGAGGAAGGTGGAACATCCGAGAGGTAAACGATGGTAAGTGCTGCATGGTGATACCAGACAAACATGGAGTTGATCGATTCGCCGAGCTCAACGTTGTTGGTCTTGTCGATGCAGCACGTATCCATCCAGGCCCAGCGATACCCCGCTTTGCGAGCAATGCTGCAGAATGACTGCAACTTGACGATGCCATCAATTGGACGCAACTTGTACACGACCTTGCCCTGAATTTCTTGCAACAGTGACTCCGTCTCGTCCCACCTGTGTGACAGCATGACGCAACGGAAGTATTTCTCCACTACTTCTCTGATGTGCTCCTCATGCAGGTCTTCACGCGGGTCTGGACGCGTCATTACGAATCGCAGAAGTTCGTTGTACTCGGTGCTTGTCTTAAACGCGGTTATTTGAGCCCCTCGGTCACATAAAATACCACGAGCGGTGTCTAGTAAACGAAGTGGGGCGTTTTCGAGTTGAGTGTTAATTGATTTTTGGATAACAGCTTCCGCTTCAACTGGACGGATGTACTGCTTGCGCAGGTCTGGGGAAAGAATTGAGCATCTTGACGGATGTAGAATTTTTTTGGCTTACTTCGTATATGCAACTCAGAAGCACCCTCCAACTTGGAGAGCATGCTGTTGAAAGCATCGATAGCCTCATTAAAGCGCTGTGTGGCATGAAGAGCAGCATGCTTCAGCTGATATCCAATATAAGACGAAGGCTCAAGTTCGATGACCTATGCATTACAATGAGCATTAGCCACACAAAAGAGATGTCATCGCACCTTTTGCGCATCCACGAGTGCTTCCTCCCGTCCCTTTTCTGTATTCGCCTTACAGCGGTTTAAAAAGATAGTGAAGGTTCCATAACCGAGGTCAATAGCTGCCGAATAAAAAGCGATTGCTTCGTCGTAATCGCACGCATTGAAGGCAGCATCTCCGTTGGCAGCACAGAGCGTGCTGCATTTATTCTTGAAAGCTGAGTGACATACACGTAAGGATCGCAGTATGAGTGATATTGTAGAAGACCTGCCAGTGGACCAATCGAGGCAGTTAGCCTGCGTGATTTCATCACTCATATCCATCATGTGATGGTACGAAACGACGGCATCTCGGAATCTACTCAACTGAACGAGTGCATTGCACCGTTTCTGATTTGCGATTTTCCACGAGGACTCGATGTCCCACCCGAAAAGCTGCGTGAAGCACCAGTTGGACATGAGAGGCATGAGGGGCTGCGTCATATCAACGTACCACACATAAGTCCTCACATATGGAGTCGACGGCTGGTTTAGATGATAGAGCGCCAGTGTTGATAGCAACAGAGAAGTGCTCGGCAGCCTCGCTGTGACGCGCGTCATTGAAGGCATTTATTCCCAGTTGGACATTTAGATACGCCTAACATGCAAAAGTCAAGATAATCAGTATCGAGGTACAAACCGAGCTTAATTGAGTTGATATTCACTTCGACCATACGACAGGCAAGAGTATCAGCACTGTGACAAGCGGTAGCCAGCTCGTGGACACGCTCCATTGCGTCTTCGTGTTGATTTGCATTAAAAAGTGCGATGGCCTGAAAACGGTTAGGAGTAAGGACTATGAGAGAACACACTGACATGCCTTTATTAACAGAAGAAAATGGATGGTCTTCGAATCTTCGTCTGCAAATATGAACGCGAGGTCAAATGCTTTCATTGCGGCCTCGATCCGATTTTGTCCGCAGAGGGCAATGCCCTTGGAGATACAGCCCATCAAAGAGGGCTGGATGTCAAGAGACTATGCGGCCAGTTAACCTATGTCAAGGAGGAGGAAATGTGACAGTGTATCTTACCATACGTGCATCATCAAGCGCGCAGCTCCATTCGGATTTCTGCGCCATAAGAAATGAGCGATTGGCGTAAGCGTAAGAAATGTAGTTGATTTTGGCAGCAGCGTTGATCGCCCGTGTCAGCAGCTTTTCAGCGGTAGACAAGTCCCCATTTATGAACGCATTTCGAATTGTCGTGTTTATCGTGAAGGGCTATATGAGTTATGCTCGAATCAAGTTATATTACACAAGTCGGGTGGAGACTTACCTTGGATTTAGGCAACGCGTCCTCTGGTACGGCCCACTTTGAGACACGCTTATCGGTACCTCCGCTGAGGATGTGTTTGCCATCCATGGAAAAGGTGACGCAGATGGGATAGCCGAAGTGCTTGAATATGGCGATAGTCCGTGGATTCGAAAGCTGCCAGAGACGGACATGACTATCTTCGGACGCAGAGGCGATCAGGGTCCCATGGGAATTCACAGCAATGCCATAAATCGCGCTAGAATGGCCTGTCCATGGATCACCGACCGGCTTCCAAGTCGATGTATCCCACTCCCGTATAGTAGGATCTTTAGCATCTCCCCCTGAGAGAAGCCTTGTACCATCGGGTGTCCACGCTAGTGAAATGTTCCACTTTGAAGCCTTGATGCTTGTAACACGGATCATTGTGCGTGTATCATATATTAGGATATCCTTGGATGTCGCGATGGCAAGTTGTCCGCCAGACGGTGAATACCGAACGCAGAAGACTTGACTATCCAATTGAATCGGACTTCCTTGCAGCTGCCAATTTTTTGTGCTCCATAGTTTCGTCGTCATATCTGCTGAACCGGTCGCGAGCATTGTTCCATCTGGAGACAAGTCTATCCAGCGTATAAAATTTTTGTGTGCTCGAATGTCTCGAGCAATGAGGGGTTCCCCAGTTTCTCCATTCCAAGCCCTAAATTTCCCCATTAATACACCGCTCACCATGATTTGCCCGTCTCGTGATATCGCCAAGCTCACCACCCAGTCAGACGGCTGGTTGGGCTTTGACTTTGAGTCATGCACCTGCTCGGACTCATGCTTATGTCCCTCCACGACTTGCAACACAGTCCCGTCCTCCAAGTTCCACAGACGAAACTTGTTGTCTTTCGACCCCGTCACCATACGCAGTTCATCGGGGAACATTGCAACTGAACATAAGTCGTCTTCAAGGCCTTCAAATGTTTGAACAGGTATGGTCGTTGGAATGATGGGCTCAGCTGTATTCGCCATTATTATGAAAAGTAACGGTGTCAAGCAGAATCGAGGTAGACTTGTGGTGGGTAGGCTGGCTGCAGAGATGCGACATGCGTGTACTGGGCATTTTTATACATTTTCACTAGAACTTGATAGGTGAGGGGCCGAGTCCCGCGGCGACCTTGTTATGAGTGCCCCAAAACGCACGCACCTTGTTTTTGACAGCACCTGAAGGCCTGATAGCCGAAGGATGTAACAGGGCACCTACAACAGCCTACAACTTCTTGTTCCATAATAAGTGACAAGTGTTGATGTGAACTTGTAAGTCCGTGATGTAAGTATAAAAGCGGTTACGCGACTCGGTATCAATTGTGCCCACACCCCCCCTAATTCGTCTTCTAAGAGTATTCTACTCTCCGGGCCCAAAGTATCGTATTTATCGATACAATTAACATGAGGCCATGTATGTAAAAGTAGGTGCTATATCGGTACTAGCACTATTCGTGTAACGCCGTGAGCTGACATCCATCCACCATAACTAGCCCGCGAGACGTCTTTGCCGAGTGGATGTACACATTAATCGTGGAAGTACATCCCTCGCCTTTTGCCCCGCAGCAAGCGCACTCGTGACATCCAACGCAAGCCTTCGACTTCGTTCCCAATTCATTGTCTGGTGCACGTCTTCTGTATCTTCATCCAATAGCTCACGCCAGCGCTTCGCAGGAATATCTCGAACTGCTGTTCCCGCGACTTGTTTCGACGTCGAAAAGGAAGACAAACGAGATGCAGGTTTGAATTCCCGGCGGACCATAGTCGACGACGGTCCATTTTTCTGCGCAGAGATAGAGTGAGACGGAGACGAGCCAAATGCACTCGAGCTCATATCTTGCATGATGGATACCGACCGTTCTTTAAGCCGAGACAGGTTCCTTGATCGCTTTACTGCATAGGAGGGATCAACCAAATCTGGACGAGCTAGACACAGTTTCTCAGCTATTTCTTGTCGTTTTCGTGAACGAGAGCTCGAAGAATTTTCTGAGACAACGAGAGAATGCCGTAGAACCTTCGAAGACGAGGCGAGGCTGATAGTTGAAGTGTTACCCAACAAAAGAGGTTGTGTTGGAGCGGGTGCGATAATGCGCGGCGAAGTTAAAGTAACAAGGACGGAGGAAGAGGACGTTGCAAGGGATTCGTGGCCTCTGCATTGAGAACTGATCTCTAGTTGAGGAGGAGATACAAGTAACGGAGCCGACTGACTGGATGTAAGGTTTCTAGGCAGGATTGCGAAGGGACGCTGCTCATGCTCGTGAGACGGTGACATTAATTTACCGGTCGTATCAAGAAATGGATCTGGTGATGGAACCCTAAACGACCTGTAGTACGGATGTGCCGTATCATGGGGGCCATCGATGGATTCCTCAGTCTTTCTACACCGGAGGGCGGAAACGAGAGAAGTGACTTGAACTACGCCACTGTGTTCTGTCTCAGGAACATCGCTGGTATGTTCTTCAAGTCTGCGGCGTTTTCTCCTATGACCATCGCTGTGTTGACTCTGAATCTGAGCTAGAGGGAGAGATGGATGAGGAGAATGCTTCTGATTGGAAAGACTCTTAAACGGCTGAGAACACTGCGATGGTGGAACATCCGATGATGCTTGGGAAAAGACATCTTTCCGGGATGTTTCAATGCTCTGCTGATTGTACTCTGCACTCGTGTCTTCGCACATCCGAATCGAAACATGTTGCACTTCAGGAGGCTTCAAGGAGTTATCATCGAGTAGTTCAGGTAGCGATGACAGTTCTGCCTCGGTCATGACTACATCCTCCAACGATGCGATCGGAGATGTACATGCACTCATGGACATTGTGGACTGCGCATGGGTCAGGGATTTGCCCTCGTCAAGTTCATCGGGGGCAGGGAGAGTTGTGGGCGCATGCCAGGAAATTTGGCCAAATGGGTCAGATATCCATGGAAAAGGGACGGGTGAGGAGCTCCTGAGTGCGTGCGGGGAGGAAGGTGGGAGCGAGAAATCTGTGATCTCAGCATTTGTTTGACTTTCTATCTCCTTGCCTTTCCCCTTGACATCTCGCAGACGCAGGACAGGTGACGATACTGGTGTAGGGAGGCTCTGATCAGCGGAGAGCGTGATATCTGGGACAAGCGCTGTGTCGGTAGTCTGTATGAACACCGGGACCTGGATGCTGCATTCCAATACCGGAGCCTGGACGACAGCTTCTGATGTTGCAGCTGCAGTAAACTGTTCTTGCACAGGACCCAAGTTTTCGGTACCGATGATCTGTGCATCACTCCCTGATATATGCGACGGGCTCGACGACAACCAGCTCTTAATCGACCCTTCCATGCTGTAATCCCCAGCAAAGAGCAGGCGCGCAGTCCTGGCATGTGCATCAGACCCATCATAGTAGCTCGAGTCATCCGAGTCTTCCACATAACGTTTCACCTGCAGGCGGGTTTTGGGAGTCCTTTTTGGAGTTTCCGGCGCAGAATTGTTCCGGGACAATAACGGGGATGAGCCTCCATGCTCAGAACGTGAATTCGGTAGACGTCCGAGTGCTCGATCAATAATTCCCTTCTCCTTTGGTCCTAACCACCCTCGAAGCACCTCCAGCCGTCGTCGCATACTCCCGTCATCCGCCCACTTCCCTGCTTCGAGCTCAGCAGAGTCGCCCACAAGGTTTTTCATTGCCGAATCTGTATCGGCGAGGTTGAGGGAGGCAAGATCGAGGACGCTGGGATGCGCAATTCCTAACGAGCTAAACTCATTTGTGATGGGATCACCACGGCCATAGATGGGCGGTGTCATGCACTCCTTGAACATAGCGTTCATCGCAGTCCAGTCGAGACCGCCGAGAGCGGGCACAAGGGTATTAGGAATCACCCGACGCGGGCGGAAGAGGGAGACAAGGTTGAGCAGTTCTGGTAAGGGAGAATGTCGTTCGAGAGGTACGAGCTATACGAATGCCAACATCAGTATCTTGTATCAACTGAAGTCGAAAATGGAGAGGAACGGATGAAGAGTGAGAAATTGCGTGACACCGACCAAGCGATCAATATCCTTCCCCATCGCAAGACGTCTTCGTACATCTATGCAATAGCCTTCCCACTGCGCACACCCCATAGTGACAGGATTGATGTATACGACCTTCCTTCCCTCGATGCTCCGTGGCGCTAAGTCATTCTTGAAGTCGAAACTGATTCCAACGAATACACATAGCAAGTTTTGCCATACGTAAAACCATCACATATAAGTTAATGAACACGACGTAAATCACAATATGCCATTGGTGAGCGAAGTCGATTAATAGAAGATGGAATAACATACCTGGGTACATCTACGAAACTACACCGCTTAAACCGTTCGCAAGCATGGAAGCGAGTGCTTGTCGCGTCGCGAGTGACCAGCATACGAAGAAACGGGTCCGATATATGCGTGTAGACCGCATGTTTGTATTGATCGACATGAATCTGGAAATGTAGATATGTCAATAAAACGGAACCCTACGTGTAATGGCAGAGATGGAACGGCAGGTGACATATGAGGCAGCACAGAACACAGTAAAAAGGAGAATATAAGCAGCATGTAAGCGCCATGGCAAGACGAGAACAGTTAGATACAAGTTGCAATGATTTCCGAAACGAACGAAAAGATCGCCCATAACATATAGTTGGAAGTCGTAAAAATGGATGTTTACCTACCTGACACTGGAACGCCCGCGCGATACCCTTGAGCACGTCCTCATATCCCCAAGTCCACGAGTTTACGAAGAAATAGGTATCCTTATCAAACAATGCAATGAGCTCGACCAGGCCTTTGACTGCGTTTTCCTGCTCACGTTCGTAAACCATTGACTAGTCTGACAGTATCTTGAATAATCACCTTTGTGGGAACAACAGTTCCCCTCAACATGCACGCCGTATCCAAATAGATCGCATGTAATGTTTTCGTCAAGCTTGCTGTTTGGCCACCTCGCGCTATGAGAACACGGAGGTCTTCCTCCGTATCCGGGATGTATGGTTGGAGAAACGGGTTTCGAGTTAGAGACTTTAATAGCCAATGTTCGGCGCGTACGTCGCCCGTGTGAAGAATCGTCCCACGAGGACCTTCAATGAGGAACCTATTGTGCAGAGATGAGCGGTAGGGAGAAAACATATGGAATGAAACGCACATAACGGCACCAGGACAGTGATTTGCATCGATGAGCGTAATGATCACCGTCTCAGTCGGCGATAACTCAAATTTGGTTGGAGTATTCAATGGAATTGCGTGCTTTATGTCAATGTATCAGGTCAGGACACGAGCGTGAAAAGAGCTCTCAGACTCACCAACAAATCCCTATTAAATGCTCCACCCTCAAGCTTCAAATGAGCAAATGTCCTCATTGCAACTTCACCTGCATCTTTCTTTGCGCGCTCCGGATAAATCTCATGCCTCAAGAGCATTTCTTTTGTATCAGGCGAACATAGTACCCGTGAGGCAAATGATTTTGAAGATAGGCCGATAATGTGGTCGGTATGAGAGTGGGTGAGGAGATATAGTGCTGGTGTGTTGTACGGAGCTGGAAGATGAGCTGTGCAGGTGAAACAATCAACACGGATGGGATAAGGGAGTGCAAACGAGGCATAGGGCGTTCCTGGGGGCATCTCTAGGTGTCTACGACTACGAAAGGAGAGAAAGCATCTGGGAGAGGGTGTTGTGGAAAACTAATTCAAGTCAGAAAGAGTTACAGAGGGTGTGGACAGGAGGTGACCAAAGAAGGATTCCCAGCCGTGGTAAGTCACGTGCTACGCGTTTTTTTGTCAACAACTATCAATAAACTGTCAACTTCGGCACCGCGGCGACATCATGATCTGCTGGCGATATAGATTTACTTTCTTGCTCTAGAGTGGTCGGCGGTAGTCTCCTCGGTATCGACGTGTTGTCAACAACTCACATCAACTTAACATGGATGAACTTATCCAACGTTGAGGTACTATAGAATCCCGGGCACCCACGATGATCGGAGAGCATCGTCGAATTGTGAGTGACAATTCAATCATATGTCTTCGACTTGTTATGGGAACTGCATACACAGGCCAGATAGCAGGTACCGCAATCTTGGGTATATCTACCGCCTGTTGGGTATAGGCCTTGCCGCCTATCTATGACCTTCCCCACAAAAGCCAGATTGATTGTGACGAGGAAGTGGTCCCTGAGTACTCGGTGTCGTGGATTGATGGTGTTTAAACGTTTATCGATGACCGGGACCGATTATCAACGGTAAGGCTTTTCAGACTTGATCTCATCTTTCTGAATCCCATATTAATAGATTCCCATCCAAACGGTAAGCCTATACTCGAGGTACTTCCAGAAGCAAATATCTCGCACTTTCCATAAAATCAGTCTGATGAACTTCTGCATGCTCACGCCACATCGATAAGGACCTCCTCCAAATCTACGCCCTAGTCCAGGGTACAAGTCCCCACGTGGAGACTGCGTGATTTTTGAATTCAAACCGCCTGAGAATTACTGGAAATGGATTTAAGCACCTTGATCCGCATGCACGCCGGCATCATGATGTCAAGTTAACCCACCCGTATTCAATCCAAGTTGCACTGAATTGAATGTCCCGCCGGAGATCTGCGTCCTGCCATTCTGAGGCAGTGGACACGCGGATCACTCGTGACTGATATATCCGGTCTTCGTGTCCGAGTCAGGAGGCGAAGTAATAATGCTAGTAGCGGCCCTTTGAAACAGTGACGTTATTAGTTCTATCACAGCACAATTCCAATACTGTTCTTTGTCCTTTGTTCAAATACTTCCAAGCTCGACACGCCTTCCTACTTAAATCCTTCTCTCATTCTCTCTGCTGCCTGCCAGTGCTTTACGAAGGACCCTGGGTCACAATGGCACTATCTCGTTCAGCTCGCATCACACTCTTGCTTGTCATTGATATCCTATTCTTCTTCTTGGAACTCGTCGTCGGTCAGTCACATCTTTAGCTATCACTTTGGTCAATGATTAAATTCACCCATCAACAGGTTATGTTGTCGGCTCCCTGGCTCTCGTCACCGATAGTTTCCACATGCTCAAGTAAGTGTCAACCTTCAATTCTACCACATGATATTTCGTGACCATGAATGACATTGGCAGTGATGTGATGAGTTTGGTTGTCGCATTGTATGCTATCAAGGTTCGAGCCAAACCCGGTCTTTATTTAGTGAACATATGTCTTAATCATATGTAACAGTTGACAGGAAAGACCGCCGACCATTCTCGTTACTCCTATGGCTGGCAAAGGGCCGAAATTCTTGCGGCTTTAACCAATGGTGTTTTCCTACTTGCATTGTGTTTCTCCGTTAGTTTGCAGGCAGTGGAACGCTTCTTTAATATTGAAGGTCAGTTCAACAAGCATTTTATGTATACCTTCACCACTACCCTACCATCAAGATGTATCGCATCCACTTCTCGTGGTTATAGTGGGATCTTGCGGTCTGGCCTCAAACATTTTCGGATTTCTTTTGTTCCATGGTACTGTCGCACTACTTCAACTACTTCATCATATTCATCATCCATGTCTCAGAACATGGTCACTCTCATTCGCATGGTCATTCTCATGGCAACAAGGAGATCAACCATGTACATGCATCACATGCAACGCACGCCATTGTCGACGACAACCCCATTCAGGACTCATCGGCCACAGTTCGTGGTCGCACAGGGTCTTACTCCTCGATGTACGGACACCCAGCCGCTACCCGAGCTGCAGTTTCGCAAGCCGCGCAGGATATTGCCATAGCCTCCCCTAGTTCACACCAGCGAAACGCCTCATCATCATCTCGTTCTATCCGGATGGTTCCTGACGGTTCGGTAGAAATAAACATTATAGAGACTCCTCTCGATGGCAAGCAAGACAAAATAGAATCCTTCACGATAGAGGCCCCACTTCCGAGTGGTCACAGTCACAGTCATGGTCATTCACATGGGTCAATGAATATGCGCGCTCTAATGCTTCACGTCATGGGCGATGCCCTCGGAAACATCGGTGTGATTGTGACAGGTCTCATTATCTGGCTCACTAAGTGGAGTGGTCGGTTCTACCTCGATCCTGCAGTCAGCATCATCATCACTATTATTATTTTCACATCTGCATTACCTCTAGGTATGACACTCCCAGCTGTGTTCTAAAACGGAGACGCTAATTTATCCCACTCCAGTTCGGAATGCCTCGTTCATCTTACTCCAAGGAGTTCCACACACTGTATCGCTCGAAGACGTGCGCGATTCCATCCTGAAAGTAGACGGCGTCCTATCAGTACACGAACTTCACATCTGGCAACTTTCAGAATCCAAGATCGTCGCATCCGTACACGTCATGGCCTCGAGGAATCACGATTTCATGCCAATCGCTGCGGACATACGCAAGGCTCTGCATCTGAACGGCATTCATTCTAGCACTATTCAGCCGGAATACCACTATCGTCCTGCTATCACCAGTGAGGATGATCTGAAAGTACGCCACGTGTATGTTGCTGGTCGGTTAGAACTGATGTATTTCCAGACATCTGTAGATTCGCCTTGCTTGATCCTCTGCCCCGAAGACCAGCATTGCGACCCCCTGGAGAACTATTGCTGCCGTGAGTGATTTCCGGTGTCCATCATGCGTCCTCATGCTGATTCATTCCTCAGCGCCGCCGCCGCCCAGTGTGTAGACACAGCCGTAGTACTTTTATACCTTATTCTACGTCATTAGAGTCCACAATGTGATTAGTTATCTTGATTCCATCATTGATGCGGGTGATTTGTAACCTGGTTTAATACACGTGTAGCTAGGCTGTATCATACCCGCAATTTGCCCGCTGATTCTACTTTCAAACTCTGGTCACTTCTTCCAGTAAATTCTTCAACATATGTAACCTCAATCCAAATGCAAATCACGAAGTCCTTCTCTGCAAAGCCTTCCACCCCTTCCTGAGACCCATATTTTCAATGATACTCGTAGGCATGCAGTACACTGGGTCAAGGTCCACTAGTGTCGGGTATCCCAATAATGACAGACCTGTCAAGAAGACGGTTCTGAGGTTGGTTCTGAGATTCGAACACCTTACGCACCGGCCAAGCCAAATATTGTATGGAAGACATCAGGCATATTGCCCGGGCGGTCGGAAATACCTCCAGACTCGGTGTTTTGCGCAGAGAGAATGAAGGCTTCCAGTTTACTCGAGTCTATCCATGTAAGCTTATTAAGGATAGAAAGGGCGGACAACACCCAGAAGCTATAGCAAACCTGTAAACAGAGAATCAGGAACACTGCAGGGCAGTCATATGCACAGAAACTCACATCCTCCAGCTTTTCAGGGCGTCCGTTAAGTCCTCCATTCGGTAGTTGTCGCTCCGATAACCACCAAAACAGTGTCGGCTGATTGACCTCATCCAATCTGTCCAGAATAGCGAGTGAGGCAATGCACACAAATACTATGGCGCTCCAACGTTCCGAAATCAATTCAAATCATGTATGTGTTGTAATGCTCACCTCGTGAAGCATGGCTTTCGGCACCTGCAACAGCTCCAAATCCACCATCGAAATTACTGCAACGCCTGATATAAGCGACCGTTTTCTCAACGTCCAGCTTATCAAGCTTGCCGAGAAGCGAGAGAGCATTGACTGCGCAATACAAAAAACGTGTATCAGTTTCGCCAAAGGCATCGCCCGCGAAACTTCCAGAAGGTTGCTGCAAAGATAAGATGTCTGAGCCATGTCAGTGATGTAAACCATTCGACAATAGATAAACAAGGCACATTTCACAACACGGTCATGTGAGCTCGAGATGGCAAGGATCTCTTGATGGGAACAAACCTGCCTCTTCATCCCAGCAGCTCATAACAAAATCTATCATCTCATCGCGATCCAACGCGTCCCCATGTCCCATGATCAAAAGAGCAGTCAGGGACCAGTACACTGCGTTCATCCTTAGGTGAGCCGAGAGATCATAGGACAGCTCATGTTTGCTCTGCTTGAAAGCTCAGAGATCAGTTCGCTGAGTAAGAGAAGAACCAACATCTCCACTGAGAGCTCTGATATATGCAACATGTTGGGGAACGAGCAGAGAAGTGGACATTACGATATTGTTCGAAAGACTTTTCGAGCTCCGGAGTCTTCCGTACGACGGCGTTCGTAGATGGGGTGTGCACTGTGATGGCATCGAGCGTGCACGCGTACTGCTCACTCATGTAGACGAACACGTGTTCTTGGCTTTACACAGCAGACAATTATTGACCCCCGCTGGCTATCTCTCTCTTGCCCTCAAAAAGTTTCACACCCTTCACTTCCCCGACACTGCCCTTACCCACAGCTGCAGCATCCATGTTCCGCTCTGCCTTCGGAACACCCAATGCATCCAATAGATTCCGCGCAGCCTCGGGAATGAAGGGTTGCAAGCATATACCAGTGACCCGTAGAACTTCAAGCGAGAGAAGGTAGGACACTTGTGCGGCTTCAGGCGGACTTTGGATCGACCAGGGCGCGGTGTGTGTTAATGCGCCGTTCGCCTTTGAAGCTCGTCAGCGGGGTTGAACACGAAATGAACAAGAATGTGCACCTCTCTGAGGACAAGGATGATGGCATCGAGCGCATCCCCCACCTCAAACTTCTCCATACATTGTTCAACTCTTCCCTTCAGGTTACGTAGCGATGATAGCACGTCACCATTGGGGCCATTGAGGGACTGATCAAGGAGCTGAACAAACGTGAGTTGAGGCACAGACACCACACGTTTCTGGATTGTTCTCGAGGTAATGCGTAAGAAGAAGTTGCCGAGCAAACTACGGATTTCGTCCGCGTGCTTCTCGAGTTGTTCAGGAGACCAATCTTGGAAGTCAAATAACTTTCGTAAATATGCGGGGAAAGAAAAAGGTAAATAGCCGTACCAACATCGTCTCTGAAACGACCACCGACACGTGCCATGTAAAATCGGACGGCATCCACACCCCACGTATCCATGGCATCGAATGGATCCGCTACATTGCCTATAGACTTCGACATTTTGCGCTGCTGTGCTGTCCAGTGTGCATGCGCAAGAAGTGTATGCGAGAGCGGCATTCCCATCGCGAGGAGCATAGCAGGCAGGTACAAAGCATGGAAACTTGATTCCGGTATCAGGTATTATTAATGAAGCCCGGCGTACAACGAGACATACCGAACAATATCCTTCCCAATGACCTGGATGTTAGGAGGCCACAGTGATCCTTGCTGCTCAGCAGGAAATCCAACTCCGGTGAGATACACCGTCAGTGCGTCGAACCACACATACATAGTATGTGACATGTCGCCCGGAACGGGAATGCCCCAAGTCAATCTCTCCCGCGGTCGTGAAATTGACAGGTCATCAAGAGGTTCGTCTTTCAAGGTCTGAATCAACCTTTCTCGGTGAGCTGATGGGTATATTGATTTTGGATTGGTAGTGTAATAGTCTAGCAAACGCTCCTGGAAGCTGGAAAGACGGAACTTGTAATTTGACTCGCTGGACCACTCAACTGCAGAGCCAGTCTCAATGGAGACAGGAGTTAGAGAGGAGGGCAGATGAGTGATCTGACTGTCGGTATAGAAACATTCATCAGAAATGGAATACCATCCAGAATATGTGCCCTTATAGATGAGATCTTGTGCGGTAAGAGTGCGCTACGTGGTATGAATTGAGAACGTCGGGTATTTAATAAGGAATATACACACCCAAACGTGTTCCACAGCTTCTCTATGTCTCGCTTCAGTCGTGCGCAAAAATACTGTACTGCTGATGTTGGCACGATTACCAAGCCTCTGCAACACATTTTGTGTCAATGAGTTTAAAAAGAGATAAACTGGGACACACACGAAACTGCTCGCTGAGAGCATCACAGAGTACAGAAGGCTCTATTCCGCGGTCCTTGGCGGCCTTTTGTATTTTTAAACCATGTTCGTCTGTTCCTGTCAGGAAGTGCACCAGTCGGTCCGGCTCAGATATACGCGTAAAGCGAGCGAATATATCAGCAGTGACGAGTGAGTACAGATGACCTATGTGCGGAGCTGAGAGACATTAGTTGAGGAGTTATGGAGGAAACGGAGTAGACACCTGCGTTCGGATAGAATATTGGTGTAGTGATGTAGAATGGCTTGCTTGTGGAAGTATCAGTGGCTGTAGAGAGAAATCGACATAGAGCAGGTAATCGTGATCTACATGAGTTGTAAATGGGAGTCCTGGTTGGAATTTTGCGGCAGAATAGCATTCACGCAGAGTTTAGACTTGTCGCGTTCTGGCGTTGTCTTGCCTTATTGAAAGCTAAAGGTCATGCCAAACAAGTGCAAATCAACCTCAGTCACTGAGGACTAGCAACCCACTGGCGCTTACCAGTGGTATTAGCATGGTGTCAAATTTTGAATATTGTTAAGAACCTGTTTTACTCGGCTCTTTCACGCACTCTCACAACTATGCCACTCGAACCTTCAGATCCTACTCTAACGAATTCGGAAGAATAACGCAGCTTTATTCTGTGTCCGAGTCTCTACTGGTATTTAATTTCATCTATCTGCGGGTCGCAGATGTGGACTCATAAATCACTGGGTAGTAGAATGATCAGGGATGATGCGATGATGTATCATAGTCAAGCATTGCCGTCCCAAGGAGGCCAGCGCTTGCCGCGGTGGCTTGCGCCGTGCGCAAGTTAAACATCAATTGAATCTTGACGCCCGAGTCAGTCACGGTAACGATAGGAAACGATCATCGTTTCACCAACCCTTATAAACATTCAATTTGATCGTTTGATGCCAGCTACAAACATTAGCCATGCTACGCCATCTGGGCTGCTCCGGACAACGACAGTCTTTGCTTCAAGTTCTGATTGGAATCTACTCGGATGTCTTCAAAGTTTCAATATTCATTCAGGCTTTTTTATCCGTCGACTGATATTCATTCTGGAATGTAGGAAGCGGATGCCCATCATCAAACTACACCATCATTTAACAGACGTATCAATGCCGCGCAGGTAAGTTTCAAGGAGTGTATCCAACTACTGAAACACATACGACCTTACGACCTGTGGGAGGAGGTACAATCTGATGCATCGGCTATGATCCTTTTATACAGCTGTGCTACATACTCGCATAAACTGACTTCCGTAACTCAGGAACAACAGGAAAACCACAAGCAAGAAGAAGGCGGCTCCGCTTCACACACGTCTGATGTTTGTCCTTTTAACTGCGAACCTGGCTGAAATATGGCTGACCACTCATTCGTAGTGCTGGCAAAGGGGCTCTTGGTGCTCGTCTTGGGAAGTATTCAAGAGATTGCACCCGTGAAATATCGCACTTTGCTGCCGGCTGGCCTGCAGAGACGTGATAGATTCGGACTTGCAGGCAACTGACGTTGCTATATGAACTCCCCCGAGGCTATCGTATCAAGATACATAAGCTTTGTTGCACCACTAATGCTTCTAGGAGATGCTCATATATTAATATTGTTACAACTCGCCGCTTTGAAGGAGACCGCCGTCCGGCAAATTAATAATGACATGGACCTCTTGGATGATGAGTGACCTCTGTCCCTACCCTGCCCTGCATCTTCAATAGCTGACTGTCTTTTCTGTCCCGCATACATCGCATTTAGATATATATATCATATTTGTAACAATATTCAACCGCATTTCTAGCCCCACTCGAGCATATGCCTCCGTCAAGCCCAGATTTTGATGGGCTTCGGTACATCATTCGTATGGTCCACCCAACGAGCGTATGTTCATTATTGAGTTACCGAGACTCCAGTTCGTACGTGTGCGTGAAGTACGAACGCGACAAGGTCCAAACTCGACAATGGGGTCACTGGGATTGAAGTCATTCGGACCATCGAGATGACCACATCTGGTCGGATACGCAATTTCAAAACAAGATTGTGGCTTATAAGTCGACTTGATCGGGCGTGCGCGCGATCACTGATAGTAGTCAGCCAATATAAAATCGTTGATCGTTGATCAAATCCCTGAGAAAAACTGATCCGAGTCAATCTGAATCAATCAGGTCGAACTTCAGACCGTGCGCACACTATATGAATCTGTTTTTCGTTAACAAGTCCTTTGTTGCCGACGTCCAGAGTCCAGACTCCTGCAGAGTTTTGGATGTCAATTGAATACAAATGTTAAAGCATGTCACGCGTACGCGTGACTCAAGAATGGGAGGCCAGGCGGCACAAACTTTTCTATACATTGATATTGCTTGAAACACTAGAATCTTGTTCTCGGTGAGGTACTTGTCGTACATGGAGTTATACCAGGGAGGATGAACCACCTTGTAGCATGTCGCACACCTCTGAGCGGTCTCTATTGACTCTAATGGTGATCTGGACTCTGACTCCTCCACAGTGCACTTAAGCGGAGTTCAGTAGGTTACTTCTTTGCAGATGCTGGTTATTTGCTCGTCCACGCTATGTCGGACAGTCGAACTTCATCTTTGCCGCGTCCGCCCCATGTCAAATCTCACCCATGCCGTATCCCAGGTCAATCATATAGCTCAGTGCCGCGTCAACATTTCAGCATCCTAAAGCGGATGTCCACCTTCAAACTACTCCGAGATCATTCGATGGACGTCACGGCATCAACGCAGCACAGGTAAGTTTCAAGGAGTGTATCCAACTACTGAAACGCGTAGGGCCCTATGACCTGTGGGAGGACGCACAATCTGATGCGTCAGCTATGGTCTTCTCCTGTTTAAAAGGCGCGCACTTCAGCTACTAACTCCTCAGCCCTCTTACTTCCTTCGCTTTCACGGCTCACCCAGGTGCAGGCAGTACGTTCATTTTATCCCATCCGATTGCCTTCTACTAACTCATGTTGCAGCCTATTGTTTTTGAAAAACTTCGTACACTCTCATTCAGCTATTAACTTCTCATTTTCACATACCTCGACCCGCCGTTGATTTCCAAATCTTTACGAGACTCACTCATTCAAGACCTTCAAGACCATCATGCGCTTTGCTGCCCTTGTCGCTCTCGCTGTCGTAGCCTCGACCGTCCCAAGTCTTGCAGCGCCTGCCCCATACTCGTACGTTGCTCCCAGGCAATCATTGAGCAGACCCACTGAATGCATTTGCAGTCTCCATCGAATCACTTCCAGACAGGATACAGCGTCAACGGATGGCAATACGGTCGTCGATACATTTGTACGCAACGGTTTCGCCACTCCCCGCATAGGGACAGTGATCCTGCCAGGGGAAAGTCTGTCCCTTGATTCCAAACGCGACACTACCTCCGATATCGTTCAAGCCATCGCAGCAGCGTTAAACGACTTGCCCTTCGCAAGGAAGCGCGATATCACTGCAGATGTCACCGCCGCGCTCCAGACTCTCCTGCAAGAAGGTAGCTCTCTGTTGAGCGATATTAACGTCAAACGTGACACTACCTCCGACATCACCGCAGCGCTCCAGACTCTCCTGCAAGAAGGTAGCTCTGTGTTGAGCGATATCAACGTCAAACGTGACACTACCTCCGACATCGTTCAAGCTATCGCAGCAGCGTTAAACGACTTGCCCCCCGCAAGGAAGCGCGATATCACTTCAGACATCACTGCAGCGCTCCAGACTCTCCTGCAAGAAGGTAGCTCTGTGTTGAGCGATATTAACGTCAAACGTGAAGCGGACTCCATCCTTCCCGTCGAAGAGCGCAGCACTGCGTCGACCTGGCTCAAAGATATCGGGAGTATCATTAGCCTGGGATCAGGTGTTAATGAGATTGTGAACGCCTTTGATGGCAGCAACAGCACTAGGCGGGACTTGGGCCAAACTCCTGACGGAGTTGATGTCAATGGAGCTTTGGGTGAACCAGCCTACCAATTCGAAGACCGCAGCTTTACGATCCCCTCTAGCGTCTCAAGCATTTTAGGGAAGACTGCGGGGATTGTTAGTGCGGGAGGTACTATTGCGACAATACTGTCTGACCTTGATGGAAGCAGCAACAGTACGAAGCGCGGGCTTGACACGGGCTTGGGACGCGTTGATGACCAGAAGCGCGCCTCCTCTGATATCGAAAGCATTCTCCAGCAGATCATAGTTGCTTTGGAGGGTGCTGAGGACGCATTAAATAGCACTTCTACCCCTACCTCTACCAAGCGGTCTACGAGTGATAACGATTTTTTCGGCCTTACAGATATCATTACCCCAGAGCAACTTGACGAGCTTAGCTGATTCATATCACGCATAGTATTTTGTGGTGCATACAATTAATTACCCTGGACGGTAGTTTCGATACTTGTCAGCCCATAATGATAATGATACAGGTTATATTTGGTATACGACCGTCAGACAGGCATGTTCGCAAGAGATCGTATGGGAAATCACGTACGAACAGAAGGGAACCACCTATAGCTGCAACTTCATTTCGATTGATCATGTTATAACGTACTGGCAAGGATAAAACACCCGAAGGCTTTTGCGGCGATGGCGAGTGATTTCACCAGTTGGAACTATATTATGACAAAATTCGGGGTCTTCTCGATCCCTGATGACGTTCCCTGCTGTGCACGGCTGCACATACAACGTACGAACGACGCTCAGCGTGCAACTATGTAGGAAGAAAACGCGTATCTAAGTTAATTCTTGAAGACATCATGCGTGTGCATCAACACTATGTAGTACTTACTGTGCGTACAAATCTGCAGTTGTATTATAGTATATGAAGTAAAAATCAGTTCCCCAGAACCCATCATGCATCTTCTGATCTTGTAGTCCGACGCGTGCTATGGAGATTCAATTGTTGAAAACGCGACACTACATCACTTTAGCGTCCCGTCCTCCATGACCACGGGATGAATTCACCATCCTTATTGTCAGTATACCCTATCTTTGCCGTCCCCACCACTATGCGTTTCAAGGAATGGATGGATTTGTGACCATCCATGGCCAATAATTGAAGTATTCAGCACGAGTTTCTGGAGGCCTGGCCATATCTGCTCTACAGATAATTGTCGTACAGCCTCGAGTAACGAGGAAGCAGCCTGCGGCCCTGTCAAATTGAGGTGTGTAACGCCGGGAAACATTAATGCAAGAGTGACGATCAACGAGGAAAAACGCGCGTCATCGATGCGATGGATGCCTAGGGTGCGGAGGGTGGGGTACTGGTGATTGTCAGTGAACGACTGATGTGAGGGAATGTCGACCACGAGACCGTAGGTTACCAATGAGGCGAGGAAAGGAAATGAGGCGAAAACACGCATGAAATCGTTGAAAGTTGTAATTACAATCTCTGATGGTATATCTTTTGTAAGGACTAGAGTGGTGATTGTCGAGTTGCAGGCATTTATGGCAGGACGTATCTTCATGTTGGTAACCTCGAGGGTGGAAAGCCTTGGAGTGCAAGGCTCGTCGAAAAAGAGGGCCCGCGACCAAAGGTGGACATGCATATTAGAACCACATAGCCTCACACATTCGAGGGATGGTAGATATGTTCCGTAACGCGTAAAATAAAGCAAAACAAAAGAGAACATCGGTTCCACCAGTCCAGACCGAAGAGTGAGTGAGCGCCACCGACTTGCAAAACGGAGAATGATGTTCAGTTGAACAAGTAACGACTGTGGTGCAGCTCTGGGGAACGGTGTTGGCCAAGGACATATGTCGACATCAATAGGTATATCCAAAGAACGATGAACACGCGTTAGAAGGAATGATGGTGTTTCCTCCGGGCACACAGAGATATGGGTCCATAGTGACGGATTAGAGATGACTATAGTTCGCCATCGCATGGACACATGCGACACTGTCTTCTCCAAACTATCACCTCTCCCATCTATCTTCGTCTCACCGCCGTGCTTTATTATTTCCACGAGGATCTCGTCTGGGAGACGGAAGAGTGGAGCAAGGTCATTCTGATGCTCCCCTCCTTTCCTCGAGCACGAACGAGCAAGAGGTACTTGAATACCCTCGGCGGGTTGCCGGCATCCTTGTCCCTCTTGTCCACTCAAATACATAGCTTCGAAGGTTGTTTCTGATGTGTGTTCCGTATATCCCAAGCTACGCGGTCGAGTTGTTAGGATGTTTAAGATGACATGCATCCATGAACCCACCTTGGGTTTGCAATTTGTTCCTTCGGTAGCACCGTGATCGTGCTGGGCCTAGACTGTATACTTTGATGAAATATAGACACAGTTAGTCCTATTGTCGGTAGATTAGTACTTCAGTGTCTAGCTAGCATGGAATAAGAAACAGCGGGACGCACCCTCAGTTGCGTGTAACGGACTGACAAGAAAAGGAAAGACAGACGAGAACCGGCACTTATATATGTCAAATACCTCCCATTGTATGGTTGGTATTCTGTTTTCTGTACTCCACCTGTCGCGTGGTCACGTGAAGAAACATAGGAATTGAAAAAGCGGCATCCGTATTGAAACCAAGCTTAAGGCACGTGTGAGATGTAGTCCCACATTACCTTCCATTATTACAGGGTGAATCCTTGTACTGAATAGGTATCACTGTTGAAACGCATTCCACGCCTCATTCAAAGCACCGAACACCCCATTGGCGATCATCCTCTGTTCAACAGTGGTATTTTGCGCGTTCAGCTACAGGAGATATGGTCAGCTTTCGTGATCCAGGCCAAGAAAACGGTAGATGACAAAGACAACATATCGATATCTGACGGGACCCAGGAACTGTCATAATAATAACTGACCTTGTCTGGATGTACACGCGCAATGGCACGCGTGTAACGAGACTTTACTTGAGCATTCGACACAAGCTCGTGCATCCCCACTTTCTGCCATTTCAGCTCTGGCCATAACACCAAGTCGAGGCTAGCAATTAATGCGCGGATGTTAGCTTCTTTCCCGCCTTTCCATGCTATCAACCGAGCATCAACAGAATCCTTGAGTTCATGCCGCTGATTATCTTCGGCTTCAGCTGCACTGGTCGCAGCACGCAAAGCCTTGAGCGCCCCCGAGTCGAAATGCGTTGGCGCGGGCTTGACTGATGGGGCTTTGGGCTTTGGCTTGGGTTTTGGTACAGGGGCGTCCTCGTCGGCATTGGAATTGAGCATCCGTCTGCATCGTCCAGCTCCACGCGCGCCTTCAGCACGTATATTCGATGGCGCCCATGCAGCCCCCGCAACTGATTCCCAGTCTTTCCTTGCATCCTCCCACTTCTCTCTTCCCTCATAGGCTTCTGCACGTCTTCGCCAAGCTTTCACAAGACCATCCCCTAAATCTACCCCCTCGATAACGCCTCTGTCATCACCAACTATCTCTATCACGCTTGCACAGTCTTCTATTGCGCCACGGGTCTCACCTGTCTTGAGCCTTGCGAGTGCACGGTTGTTGTACAGTGGAACGAGGAGGATGTGTGAGGCTGGTAGTGTAGCAATAGCAAGAGAATAAGCTGATTCTGCATTTGCATACTGCCCGAGTTTATATGCGGACGTGCCCGCGGCTTTGTGTGAAGCAGATGTTGAGAGGGCTGAAGACGATGCGGGGACCAGTACACATTGTGGCTTCGGAGGTGAGGGAACAGGAGTAGGATGGGAAGGAGCTGCGGGAGGCTGAGGCTGCGGTGTTGGGCGACCACGTCGGAATGGAGACTGATAAACGGGGGCCTCAGATGAGAGAAGATCCACTTCTTTCGGTTGAGACTGCGATGGCAACTCGACAGGCTGTGAGGGAGGTTGTCTAGTGGGCCCATCTTGTCTTAATCGTCTAGTCGGAGGGGGATTTTGATCGTCATCCTTGAACCCATCAGTCACTCTCCTATCCTGTTGCTCCACACCAGCTCTGTCCGGTACTTCGTCCGATATCCAACGCGGTCTCCCATCTCCTCGTTTGGCCCCTGCCCCAGCTCGAGTCGCAGTCGCACGTTCTTCGTATATCCGCTGTGCTTTCTCCTTGCTCTCCTTCCAGAAAGCATTTGCACGATTAAAAACGCTTATACCGATTTCGCTAGCTTGTGCGATAATCTTCTCCGCTTGCACGTTAAGATCTGGAGATTGACGTGTTTCTGGTTCGGTACTACGCAGTACTTCTCTGTCTCTGTCTCGGTTTGAGTTAATACGATGATTTGGCGGGCGTCGTGGGGGCGGTCGAACTTCGTAGTCATGCGACGAGGGAGGTGGGGTGGAAGAATTACCAGCACCATTTGCGAGTAGAGTCTCTAAAGCGGCTTGTACATCGAGACCGGTATCCGTAGCTGCAAGCGCTATACGCGCTTGCTGGGGAGAGAATCCCATTTCCACGATTTGCCCGACGATGTGGGGAGGTGGTGAGACAGGCCTTGATGAAAGACGCTGCAATTGTGGAGCTTGAGGCGATGGTGTAGCACGAGTCGATTGGTTCTGCCCAATCAATGAACGATAAGTGCAAACCGACAGGGGAACTTTAGTGCGACATACGTGTGAAGACGGTTTGACTGCATCGACTGGTCGTGCCAGGTCACCCAAGATGTCACCATTGCCATCATCGGAGTGGGCCTCCAAAAGGCCATCCTCACGGTTACCAAAGTCAAAGTCACCAGGTGTACGTGAGCGAGGAGGGATTGGGGAATTAGAAGGAGAATGAGAAGATGATTCAAAATCATCAAGGTCCCAGAGCGTTCCTGCAGGCTTTGTTTGAGAAGTAGACTGTGGTTGAGGAGCTGTGGAGTCAGGTAAAGTCCAATCATTATCTCCCACCGGTGATTTCACGATAGTGGCTGAAGAAGATGCAAACGCAGAGAAATCAAAGTCGACCTGTGGTGAACGAGAGGGTGAAGGATGTGAAGGTGCCGACTGTCGTGCAAGAGAATCAAGCCCGTCCCAAGCAGATGGTAAGGGCGCAGTGGTCCTGGGAGGTGCCTGGGTTTGCTGTAACTTTGCTCTCTGAGCCGCTGCCGCGCGCTCAGCAATGGTCATGTTGGCGGTATTGTTATTTTTTCCATCCGCTAACGAGCCAGAAAAAAGACTACTGAATGCATCTATATTTCTCGCTCCACCTGCTGGCACAGGGTTTCGTGGCTGGGTGGTGGGACCGGTGACATGTGGGGAATGCGTGCGTGAGGCTGGCTGAGAAGCGGAAAGAATGGAGAATGTATCTTGGGACCGTTGAGGAATGGTTGTTCGTTGTTTGGCAGCCCCAAGTATCTGCGGAGATGTGGGATTGGATGGGGCAGATGAGCTCCAGAGGTCTGCGAATGAATCAGACATCTAAATTTCGAGCAAATCTGAAAGTTTGAAAGTTCTTTGTCTTCAAATCGTTCTCAAGATCAGCCACGAGTAGACCAGCTACGTTGAATCTATATGTGTTCGAAGTACTAGAAAAAGCAAGATTGGCAAATAGTCGAAGACAGCGGCTACCTGGAAGTAGATGAGACGATCGTTTTTGGCAGAAGCCACGTAGCGTAGTCAGCCGTTAATCGTCACATAAACTTGTCAGACGCCCAACGCAATTTGCGTACACCGAACAACCACAGTTGTCATCCACGCCAAGTACTAATTATGATTAGAAGGGAATCTAGACTAGATTCCGGATGGCCTTGAGACGGCCACTTTTCTAAATCCGAGGATGCTTGGTCGTCGATTTGTTCTGGATCAAAGCAAGGTATGTGTCTATAGGCCTTTCAAGTTATAAATAATGATTAATATGGTTATAACAGTTTTGTTCTGCTTTGTCTGGTCAGTAAAGATCCAGTCAAAGCTCAGTTCCGTGCATTCCAGGCGCCATCCTAATTGCATCGTGGCAGGGTGGCTCATTCAAACCTTTATGACGGTTTTGGCATTCGGGAGGGCTGCTGCGTACATGCCTATGATCATAGACCTCTTAGATTGAGCGTTCTATTCGCTTGTCGCTCAGCTGGTGGTCATGCTTCCAGAGTCGTATTCAGTGCCTGCGCTGCACAAGAATCACGGTCAAACGCTCCCAGGGGCGCATCCACGGCCTCGTCATTCCACAGATAATTTTGTCCATTGTACGTGCCAGTGGCTTTGCCACAGTCCACTACCCAAAGCAAGCAAAGATTCGATGGCTATAAAGCTCTTACATCTAGTATGAGTATTGAGTCACTGCCCATTCAATTCTACGCCAAGCGCCCATACAACATGAACACTAGCGTTCGCCAAAATCCTTTTTCAGAAGCCCATATGGGCATTACGAAATGTTTTTGCGGAAAATTGACGGTGGAAAATCACGATTTCTGCTTCTGCTCTCCGGAGTGTGCTCGTGCGGATGCCTTAACTGCTCTCGGGGGAGAAGATTCCCACTATCGGAAAGTCGTACGGAAGGCGTATGTCAGCTGTGGTGCTATTCCGCCTGTCATATACAGGCGCAAGGCAGGGGAGAAAACTCCGATTACGAAGCATGTCACAGCCCTCCCCATCCCTCCGAGTCAACCTGCCAATCCAGCGCATCAACAAAATATAGGTGGCCAGGATGGTTGGTCTGCCAAAAAAGAAAAAGTGTTCCCTACGCTGGCTCAAGTGACGACCGCCGTTCTTGCTCGAAAGGCAAAGCAGGGAGGCGAAGCAGCAGCGGTCAAGACTTCGGTAAAAATTCCCCAAGTCGCCGCTCAGATATCCCTCGATGCGCTTCCCGTCCCCTCTCCCCCACCTATCCAACGAACTAGGCCAGGGCTTGATCGGGGCGCTCATAAATCACCGTTGACACAATTGCGTAGTGCGCCACGGCAAATTATGCCACTAAGAGTCGATGACAAATCTGCTGGCCTCAGAAGTCAACCATCGATCCTTCGTCCGGTAGCCGAGGAAAGAGGGAGGAGGAACGGCGATGATGCTCCTCTTCCTCGAAAGCTTGATCTTCGCGCAGAAGAAAGGCCAATGTACCCACGCCTTCAACGACCAGTCCTTCCAAACACGACCACTGCAATTCGCCCTCCGGATAGCCTTCGCCGCTCGGCTTCATTCGCAGGTTGGCACAGCCCAGCTGAACATCGCGATCATGTCTCAGAGGAGGGCGAATCTCTTGAGGAATTATACAACCAACTTAGGGATATCCGAGGTTGGATTAAGGGATGGGATGGAACGCTAGACTCCAACAAGAGGGGTGTGATGGAATAATCGCTGGGGAACTCAGGTCCCAAAGGAACCCGAAAGATCTTTTTTTAATATGCATGTTTCAGTACAGTCGGTATGTATGTACCTAATGTTTCGTAGAGGTCCTAGCTTTGTTGTCTTGCAAACACTCATTGCGGAAACGGAGAATTAACCTGACAGGGTTGAGGTAGAAGTAGGAATGATAAACATACCATTAGGCAAATAGAGAAAGTAGAGATAAACATTGCATCCCCTATACTAGTACTTCTAGGCATTCGCGCATGGCAGGCTTTCCTGAGCAATCAATCCCTTGACTCCTTTCAGTGCTCGATGTTTGCATAAGGCTCTCAACGCTGTCCCAGCCGCAGTGCTGTGACCAATCCAAGCCAAAGTGCTGGAGGAATTGACTTCACCAGATGGCTAACATGTATCGCACCCCCGACCAGATGAACGTAGCGCTTCACGGGTTTTCATGCGTCACCGGAATTTGGAAACCATGCATTGCCACAGCCTAATTTTCTCGTGGTCTACAACAAAGAGAGTACAGATGATTAAATATTGTTGACACAAAATAAGAGTGTCTTATTTTGCTAGCCTGCAGAGTAGTATACACCGGGATCGTTTCCGGAACTTTGTAGTGATATACGTCTTCCGGGCCTACGACATTCGCCAGACCTAGGTCACCATCATGAGCAGCATGTGCATGGAAGCAGGCAAAACCACTGATGCAGACCTGCTGTACCCAACTACTCATCAAACTCAGCAGTTCTAACTTCTCAGCAAGGTAAAACTCCTTACCATGGTCATAATTCGCACACGCAGTTCACAGGGAATGAACTACCGTCGCAATACCGTCGCAGGCGCCGAGTGGAGGTGGTTCTCGTGAGGGGTATCAACAGATCAACTCAACACTTCATCGGCAACGGCAGTACTGCACATGGATCCTCATCATCGCACTCCCAACACATTTGAAGGTGAAATCTAGGATTTGAACTCAACTGTTGCGCGCCTCATCTTTGATGTAGCGAGGATGAATCAAATCGACACATGTTTTCACAGCAACGACAATACGCAGTGGCACTTAGTAACAGTCACCCAGCAGCTCGACCTGGCGGTGTGACTATATGCGCTATAAATGAGTAATTTCGATCAGAAAAGCAACGTTAGCTAGTTCTATATACCCATGAATAAATCAACGGACCAACTTGTAGCCTTGATGATAGCCGCAGGTTCGACAGCACCTTTCCCTTGAACATGTGTCACTCATCAACAACGCCAGAGATTCAACCGGTCGTGGGATCATAATTTTGTACAAAGAGCTCAGGCGCCGCGGCTCAGGCGTGCACGGCCGCTGGGACAGTTTGATGCACCGACACCAGCCGAAGCAGCTTGAGCACCACATATTATAACTCCGAACGCCTTGTGCCGTTAACGTTGTCACACACGTGCACTGATTAGTCGTCAGAAAAAGAAAGCTTTACATAAAAATACCTGAGCTACCGTGACTACATTGGCTTCCTACAGATCTGTACCGCACTCCGCATTCACGTCTGCCAAGACACGCGCCCATCGCCCGCCATTCCAAGAATGAAGCTCACGGAGTTGTTCTTCATCAAATATTTTGTTCCACCACATCGTTCTGCAAGCCACCACCATATCCGCGAACGAGAAGGTATCCCCCATAATCCACTTCCCGCCACTTTTCTGGTACCATTTATCGATTTCATCAAGACCCTGCTTAAATTCTTCCCACTGCTGCTGTACGTTCTCTTCTGACACAGTTTCCCAGCGCGTTTCGCCGAGCAGCTCCAAGCGAGTCCGAATGAAGTACTCCCTGTTTGAGTCGTTCATAATTTCGAGGGTCTTCGTCAAGAGAAGTTTGACTACTTTTCCGTAGGCAACGCTGCAGTATGCAGGTTCGAATAACCCTATAAGAGCGTTGGCGCCGCGTGGTATGATCGGCTTCTCTGGATAGGTTTTGTCCAGGTACTCAGCGATAGCCAGCGACTCGGCGACGATGGATCCAGTGTTTGGATCCTTGATCACTGGAAGGGTGTACCTGCCTCCTTCCGTAGTTGAAGCACCAAGTGTTTTCATCGTCAAGGGAATATCCTTGAACTCTACCCAGACGATCGTATACGGGAGACCCTTGTATTCCAGGCAAAACCTAACGTCTGCATATCAGCAATATGCGGCAATCTGGCTTTGACTGCGCGACTTGCCTGGTCTTTGCAGGGTTTGGAGCCCATATATTATTTGGGGCCTTGCTTGGTATGTCGTACAATATGATGGGCTGCATTGGAAATAAGAAGGCTGACTTTGGTTGATGTAGCGTTGAACCCATGAATGTTGCATTATATACGTTTCTCTGCATGGGCTGTGAATTTTTTCCTTCTCAATTCTTAATCCATGACCCGAATGAACAAATTCCGATTAATGATGCGCAATGAGTAATTGGTGTCACGGCCATCCCACAATTCAACCTCGTGCTCGTTTAGTTACCGTCTTTGCTCACGTACGTTGCTTAACAAAGCAAAGAGCTACCAATCATTTACCGACTCATCAACGCCACGACGCTGAATCCCAGATATGCTCAAACTCACTGCCTTCGCCTTTACGTGGAGGCTTTCTTCGCACCGATGTCAGGACCACGACTAATATTGGTGCAGCTGTGACTAGCGAAAATTTCCCTCAAGAGCCATTGTGATGATCCCCATTTCCAACGGATCTACAAAGAACCCATCAAAGCTCTGGGACGTGGTTTTACGGCCGGCGGCAATCGTTCAGCCACTCTGGTCTCAGTGCATCCGTATGCTACTCATCTCCGCTGGCAAGGCGGTGTCCGTTTCATAGTGGCAGCACTAGTGCCTAGTACGAACTGGCTTGGCACCCTCTAACATCGCCAGCACTAAACACGAAGCCCAGATCAAAATTTTGCCAGCTTATGCGTTGTCTGGGCCACACTATACTGTGTGCGCCCGGCCTGGTGCGCTACATGTATATGACGTGGCAAAACCTCCGCCCGGGGTCACTTGTTCACTCCAAGTCCGACCTTATACTCCCAGCATTTTCCATGAGGCCTGCTCTAGCGAGATGCACCTGCAAGTTGGCAACCTGTGAGATACTCTGGATTCCGCCAAACATGTTTTTTTATAGATTTCAACAACCCTCCACGTTAATGGTCGCTACAATTCCACTGAAACCAAATAGATTTGCCAATTTTTGGAGCACTCAGCTGTCCTGGATTTTATTAGTACACAGGAAGTACACAGTATTTTTGGTGTGAGAGCTTGTCACTCAAGTTTAGTCAAGGTGCCGTTTGCGGCGATTTATGCGTGGCTTGCTGCAATTTCATCATCGAACGTGTTTGGTTTTGTGACAGCTGAGCGCTGATCGACGTTTCGGTGTGCTAGCACACTTGTTGCTGTATAACGTGCACATCGTCATCGTATGTGCAAGCGAGGTCCAAAGGACTTCAACTGAGGCGACTTGCGAAGCATTCATTATCGTTTCTATGCCCCTTAATCGATTGATCCTATATACATGCAAGTCTCCTCCTAAGACAATGTACACTCCTTCTCGACATCTGCAAGGACTTGGGTCCATTTCCCCCCATTCCAAGAACTGACCCTGACCCACTCATCCGCCTTCAGAACTCGTTTGTACGACAGCAGCCAAGAAGCAACAATGATGTCTGCGTACGAAAAAGTGTCGCCCATGATCCACTTTCCATCAGTTTTCTGGTACCATTCGTACACAGTATTATGCCCCTTCTCTAGGAGCTCCCAGTCTGCGTCAGGGTTAACGTCCCAAGGCAACGGGACGTCCACCGTACGAGCTTTATTGAAGAACTTGACACTGGCGGGACTCAATATTTCTGTGGCGCGCACGAAGATAAACTTGATAGCATGTTGAAGGAGGCTTAAATAGGCGGGTTCGAAAGCGCATATAAGAGGTTCTGAACTGTTTGGGAAGATGGGCTTCTCGGGATATGTCTTGTCTAGGTAGGATGCGATTTCGAGCGAGTCCGTGATGAGGGCACCGGTGTTGGGATCGCTGAGGACGGGGACAGTATAGACTTCCGAGCCGTCCCGGCGTTTGTTTGGCTTTGCACCGATGGCCTTCATAGCGATGGGGATGTCTGAGTATTCGACCCAGAGGGTCACGAATGGGAGACCCTTGTAGTTCAAAACGAACCTGGGGCAAATAGACTTTGGTTAAACATTAAAGCTTCAAGTGGCATGCATAACATGAATTACTGACCTTGTCTTGGCGGGGTTGGGTGAAAAGTGATTACCCGGTAGATTGGAGACGATATCATACATAACAAGCGGAAGCATCGTGGAGTACTGGGACATGGGTGTAAAGACTGTGTGAAATGCTGCAGCGTAGTAATATTGAGACTCCTTTGCGGTGCACGAGGCTGAGCTTCCGATTCATTCGTTCGCTGAATCATCTAAGTTTGATTAGCGCATATGGATGTAATCATGTACTGCATACTGACACATTAAAATTCCTCATGGAGAACGTGTGCGTAAAGATATCGCACCACGGTGAGTATTGCTGGAATTTTACCTCATCTTTACACATCAAGTCGTGACAGGCCAGCTTGAAGGTCGCCAAAGTCTGGTCGGATTTGCGGCAGCCTCATGCTGACACTAAATCAAGCTGTGGCCAGTGAGAGTGAAAACAACAGCCGAGTCACAAATTCCTACGTGTCAGCACATTTTCCCCGCAGTTTTCTTTGATTTCTCCTTGTGAACTCCCGGATTCAGAGTGTGCATGAAGCGGGGTGATGTGACAGTTGGTTGCCAACTTGCAGGCTAAGGTCGCCGCACAACAAGGGCCAATTGAGGCCGCAGTCACGTGTGGTCATGACATCATCGTATTAATAGACTCCTCGGATTCCGACTTCATGAATATCTATAAACTTACTACTTGTTTCACCGGCCGCGCTGTTTCGATTTCGCCACGCGAGTCTGGCGAGCCGACTTAAACTTTGGATCAACACGACCGCCGTTGACCGGGACTCTAGGCCATGAACGTTTGAACCGTGGTGCGCACTTTGTGACTACGATGCATATGGTAGCTTGGCTCTCGAAAGAATTCACCATTCTTCCAAGCGTCCCTGAAGTAAATCCTATAGTATACGTAGTCCTCTAAGCCAATTTACACTCCTTCTCAACATCTGCAAGGACTTGGGCCCATTTCCCCCCGTTCCAAGAACTGACCCTAGCCCATTCATCCTCCTCCAGAACTCGTTTGTACCACAGCAAATCACAAGCAACAATGATGTCTGCATGCGAAAAAGTGTCGCCCATGATCCACTTCCCATCAGTCTTCTGGTACCATTCGTACAGAGTATTGTACCCCTTCTCTAATAGCTCCCAGTCTGCATCACGGCTCACATCCCAGGGCAACGGGACGTACACCGAACGGGCTTTAGTGAAGAATTCGGCACTGGCAGGACTCAATATTTCTGTGCAGCGTGCGAAGATAAACTTAATAGCAGGTCGAAGAAGGCATGAATGGGCGAAATCGAACGCGCGTATCAGGGGTTCTGAGTTGTTTGGTAAGACGAGCTTCTCGGGATATGTCTTGTCTAGGTAGGACGCAATTTCGAGGGAATCCGTGATGAGGGCACCGGTGTTAGGATCGCTGAGAACAGGGACGGTGTAGACGTCCGAACCGTCTGGGCGTTTGTTTGGCTTTGCGCCGATGGCCTTCATAGCGATGGGGATGTCTGAGTATTCAACCCAGAGGGTCACGAACGGAAGATCCTTGTAGCTCAAAACGAACCTGGGACACAGCATACTTTGGTTAGATATCAAAGCTTGGCATGCAGAACACGAAGTGCTAACCTCGGCTTTGCGGGGTTGGACGACCAGTTATTGCCTGGTAGCTTGGAGACGATGTCATACAGGACAAGTGGCTGCATCGTGGAGTACTGTCACGGGGGATTTGATCTGCTGTGGCCAACCTTGAAACTCTTTTTAAGACTGGCTTTCATTCGTAAGCACCGAGTCACGTATTGGAGCTGGTGTTGATCTTTGATGGCATGCTAGTCCACATCAGACGGAGGGTATTGTCAGCATCTGTGGAACCATCGGGAAGAACTGGCAGTTCACGTACAAGTCATATCAGATACCCGGAGTCCCGGACACAGCCAGTGATAGTGCTTGGTCACGACCGGTCAACTCCCAACAGCCCATGACACATAAGGAAGGGGCCTTAGGATTTTGCCGCATCACTGCCGCATCCGTGCCGCACCCTACACAACAAGTGTCTAATCTGTGTATATAATATGTCTACGTCGTCTACCAAGGTCTTAGATATGATTTATGATTAAGAAATACCATAGTACATGTTTTTGTGTAAGAATTATGGTAGTATCACAGTGAATATAGTATTCATGGGTGCGGTAGTGATGCGGTAGGGTGCGGCAGGGTGCGGCAATTCTGAGATTTGGTGGCTGTGGGGTGCGGCAATTCTGAGATTTGGTGGCTATGCACTACCGCACCGCACCAACGCATCCTTCCTGCGACTGTCGTAGACGCTCCTCCCGAGTTCGACGAGTGGGCTCTTAGTGATCTGACCAAGGAGAAATACGTACGTGTGCACCCTCACAGTACAATATATGGACTAATAATTATGCATCTTACATACGAATCAATGGATATCATGCACCCAGTCACAGGTGAGCACAACAACATGCTCATCCTCGCGCACATCAAGTACTTCCATTCACCTTCCTTGGCCGTGGTTTGGGCTTTTTGGTATGTTTCTCCTTCTTAACAACTTCGGGCTCACTTCCTTCACTAAAGTTCGGCCCACACTGTTGGTCGGCACTGTTTTAATGCAACCTCCCACTGTGAATACGAAAGCGACGCACATCCAGTTCTCCTTCAAATTCTGGTGCATACGGATCACGGTCACCATGATTCCAGTGCTCTGGGAGACCCTCATATGGATTCCAATGGTCTTGGTGCGTGCCAGTGTCTTTTCCCCATTGTTCATTCCCTGCAGCACCTGCGGCCAACGAGAGTTCGAACATTCGCTGTTCGAGTATGCCAAGGCACTCTAGATCAACGTCGACATCCATCGCGGACAGATCATAGCTGAGTTGGAGGTCAAGCCAGGCCGCCTGGAGTATCGCATTTGCTTCCTCTTCGGGAGTAGGAAGCGACTCGGAGTCCATGTCAAGTGCTGCTGAGCGACGTTCAGTCAAAATATTTTCGGCCATCTCCTGGAGTTGATTCCTCTTCCGTTTTGCAACTATGATAGTGCACGCATGCGCATAGGTAGCACAGTTTAGCCAATTGACAATTTGTTTGGATGCACTAGGGATGTGATGGTAGATCCAGTTCGCAATCTGAGCACAGTCTGTAAGAGACAGATCACCACAATATGGCACAGTAGTCTGCTTGCGACCCGTTTTCTCTGATAGGTTGGCAAGGTACCCAAGCACTGGGACTGCGTTGCGCATCTTCGCAGGATCAGGCTGCTCAAAAATATTTGTGAGGAGTTGACTGTGAGGAGCCAATGCTTCGTCGATATTAACGCTGTAGGGAATGTGTCTAAAGTTTGCGATGACGTCTTCATGCTGGGGAACCTCGTGTGCATGTGTCCATCTGCCAAGCTATCATTTGGATGTTAAAGTCTGCTATTGAATCTAAGAGTTGTACACACCCGAATCATGCGACGACGTTTATGATCTCCGTAGAGTGCATCAACTAAGTCCGCCTCGTTAACCTCAAGTGGAGGTTGAGGAAAGAACAATGCCTCCACCATTTGACTGTATATAAGGTGACCTTTCCCCCAACCTGTCGACATGACTTGATCCTGACAGGGTACCAGTATTTGCCATGGCGTGCTAATGCTCCCTTTCCTGGTCTGTACATAGTAAATGAGTCCATGTTGAAGTTGCACATCCGGGAAAACTCACAACAAACGTTTCGCCATAGGAACAGTTATGTGGCGGGAAACACTGTAAAGGGTATAACATTGTGATCCTTGAATTATAGTAACAATTTGACAAGAAACGACAACATGATGGGCGACTGTGTGATGATGACTGCGACTGGCTCGAAGGTGTGGTAAATCACGAAATCCGGATGCTGGTGTTGAAACTCTGTGAAATCTGCAATAATATCCTTCCCTCGGCTCTTAGTGAACACCTTTTTCCTCTCGTGATTCACCCTGGCCGAGTTCAGAAGCACCGGAGATATGGTTGCAACTGACTCCTGTGGTCCATTGATGCCCGGGCGGCCCATGACAAGCTTTGTTGCACCCATGCGGGGGTGCTCCTCAATGATTTGCCGGAAGTGAGATGATTCCGTTTTTGTCAGATGCAGTCGTCGTGGTGGGCGAATGTGGTGGTGAAAGCCTCGATGAACGAAGCACACGCGCTCTGAAAATTTGAAAAGATCATAAATAATACCACAATTATTATGGACGAGTATGGCACCACAAGAGCATGATGCCTCAAGCTGTCTGGCAATGAGTTTCTTAGTCGTAGTAGGACGGACGACAATGGCACACGATCCACCCTTGGATTCATGGTTGGCACATACAATGACGCCATTGCAGCGTCGACGAGTAGTACGCACACCTTCCTGCCACTCTAAGGCATCAAGCGAGCCTCTATGTTGCTTTCGAGGTGCACCTAGACCCTCGCAAGCCCAGTGGACATGGAAGTCATTGACCTCAGGTCGTTTGGCATCTTTGCGTGAGTAAATTCGTGTGATGTGGCCATCAGGCCAGACATCCCATTCGATATCGCCACCAGTAGGTGCCTGGGGTTGGTGAACAATAGAGGCACGTGCAGTTGGATCAGTCGAGTCAATACCTTAGATGGATTAATCACAGCTCCAGCCTTGAACGTGCTGATGATACTTACTAGTAGCAGGTGGCTTTTGTAGGTTTTGTCTAGGTGGCTCGTCAATCATGCGCGTAGTTGAACTGCTGACCTGAGAAGGGATTGGCCGATTTGTACGAGGCTGATCTCGCGCAGGCTGTGGAGGTGCCGGGGGGTGGTGCAAAGGCGGAGTAGGGTGAACATCTAGGGTATAGTGCTGCGAGGCAGGCTGTGAAGTCACTGGCGGGTGTTGCAGGGGTGGTGTACTGTGAACACCCGAGGTATAGTGCTGCGAGTGATGTCCTGATTCAAAGACATGGACGGAAACTGGAGGCACCGAGTCAAGGCTTGGCGCAGTGAAAGAGAAAGGCTAAAAATACTCACCATCAACACGGACATGTTCATTGGGTGTAGCAGTGCGAGGTTGCGCGGTCACAGTTTCTGTGTGACTGAAACCTGAGACCGGAGAACATCAGGACACCAGCCTCTGAGTGGTCATTAGATCACTTACTTTTCTTGACCTGAGAGGGGCTATGGGACACTCCCGCAGTATCAAGCTGCGAGGCGTCACACTTGCATGGGCTCCTGGGCTGAAATAAGTTACTGATAAAGCTCTGGCGGGTGTTATCACGATGCAATCGGCACAATTCAAGAATGAAACTTGACATCAACATACCGGAATCATTCTCATTCAGGCAAGCAGGGAGTTACATGCAAGAGGTGACAACGAGTGTGATATTATGAGCATAAGAAGGGATATGTTATCAAAAAAATATGCTACTAGTAGCCCGATATTAGTGGCTGTGCCGCATAGTGTGTTGCGACATGCATCTGACTCGGAGGTCTGAGTTGTATATAACAGATTGTAACTAGCAGGTAGTTGTCGAGAGTGACAGGGCATTGTAAAGTGGGTGCTCTAGAATCTATATGGTCTGAATGTCATTGTCTCGTACTATATTACTGGGACTCACCGCTGCCGCGCCCACTACCGCATCCGTGCCGCAACACACCCAACACGTCCTCTAAATTCAACCTCTCAAAGGCATGTCCGAGAGGCGCATAGTTGATGAGTTCGACGAGTAATGCTGCTAGGTCAATTAGCTTGTGTATGATTAGAGTAGTTGTCGGAAATGAATGTTGAATGTATGTTTCGGTGTGGTGCGGCAGTGATGCGGTAGTGATGCGGCAAGTTGCGGCAGTGACGCGGCAAAATACCTGAGCCTCTTGAGGTGTCGCTGCATCGCTCGTTAGTGAGAGAGAGATAACCAAAGGATTGTCTTATTTGAAACGTGGGTACAATGAAATCTGGTGTGAAGGCTAGGAGCTACTAAGTGTGTGGGCGAAGGCGCGCAGCGCTTCCGGCCCCGATCGGAGATCTGCCAAAGAGAAAGGTGAGCTGCGAGGGTGGGTGGCCAGCCTCGCGCGGAAGGTGTCTCTAAAGAAGATTATGCTGATCAGAACCACGAGAGCGGTTTGTATAGTGTAATGCGAGGCTCATCATTGTGCGATGGAGGTGCGCGCTATGATGTCTGGGGAGTGGCGGGCGGGGAAAAGAAGAAACGCTCGATGAGACTTAGTTCTTTCGAGCAAGGTGAGGGGAGCAGAAAGAAGAGACGCTTACGGCGTCTTCCGCTCGCCCGAAGACTATACTCTAATCCTACTCTCGTGCCTCGTTTCGTAATAGAGATGCAATCTTGGGGTGTCGCTGCATCGCTCGTTAGTGAGAGAGAGATAACCAAAGGATTGTCTTATTTGAAACGTGGGTACAATGAAATCTGGTGTGAAGGCTAGGAGCTACTAAGTGTGTGGGCGAAGGCGCGCAGCGCTTCCGGCCCCGATCGGAGATCTGCCAAAGAGAAAGGTGAGCTGCGAATCCCCGATGGTGTAGGAGTCCGTAACGACGCAGAAGCAGCGAAGCCGCGGGAGAAACCCAACAAGGTAGGAGGGAAGGGACTACTCACGAGTGCAATGGACGTGGCCTAGCGGGATCTAGGCATTGAGAACCGGATGAATTCGTCATGCAACGCTGGCGTCGCTTGCATGAACGGCGCCAAAATTTGCGCGTGCTTCCGGAGGTACAGTTGGAAGGTGTCACTAGCCCAGCGGCCTTTCGTCTTGACTACTTCGAATGGTACGTTTCGAAGTAGGTATTCGAGAGTTGATCCAATGCGGATTCCGTGACCTTGGAGAGGGTCTAAGCCTGCTGCCTTGGCTGCTGAGGCTAAACGGGAAATGAACTTGCTCTTTGTTAGGGGACAATGGCCGTTTTTGTGACGGTAGGCAAAGAGGGAAGCGTTAGGCGGAGGTTCATTGACTTCGAGATGGTGGAGGAAAGCTTTTTCAGGGTCGGTTATACCGTTTTGTTTGGCGAACGAAACGTCTTCTCCGTCTGTCGAAGATGTCTTTGTGCGTGGTAGGTGAAAGACGCGCATCTCGAAGTTGTTTCGGTCGTGTTCAACACGAACGTCTGACAACTTAACATGGAGGTTGGGGTTGAAGGACAATAGGGTGGGAACGGTGAACTCTCCAACTCTGGCTGTGCAGTAAAAGGCAGTCGTTAGGCAGCTGAAGACCGCTGCGTCGAGAGGAATGCTGGGGTCGAGATGTGCGTAGAGCGAGCACATGAATTCGATCGTGTAAGGACGCCTTTTCTTGCATTTTGACGACGAGGGGGTGAAGTTCTCAGATGCTTTGAGTAACGCATCGATTTGTTCGTCATTGAGGACCCACTGCAAGCCATGTAGGATGTGCCATGCACGTACTCCGAAGACGTAATTGGCGATTGTCTTTCCGGAGTATGATCCCGCAGCGAAAGCTATGAAGGTAGATATTAAAATGGAATCTGCAGGGGCGCGCGCATGTTCAGGAATTTCTCGTGAGTCGCAAAATACGTGATAGACTAGTAACCCTGAACCATATGATTCCCGGGTGCTCTCGGCCCAGGCGAATAACATGACGTCTTGTATCCTAGAGATGTCGCTGGCTTCGATGGTGCAGGGAATAGCTCTCTGAGTGAATGGAAGCCAGAGACGTAGCCGGTCTTTGGCTGCGCAGTGTGGGCGCAGGGATGATGGCTTCGGGGTTAGATCAGTCGGATAGGTAAGCTTGCGACGCTTTGTGCAGTTCCTCCCCTTGTCTCTCGAGCTGGGAGTTTGCAAGGGCACGCTCAGCGTGGCTTGGTTGCATGTGGAGCTTGGGAGCCGTGTGAAACGCGACGCGGGAGTAGGGACGACATGTTTCACTTGGGTGTAGAGGGGCGTCGAAATCGACGATGAGGCTCCGGAGAGAGGGATGGATAGGAAGGGGGGGCAGAAGTAAGGAGCGAGGAGGGTACTTTCCACGGGATGGATCATCGGCTGGGTTGAGGGCACTGGGGACGTAACGAGTGAGGATAGTGCAGGCTGCGTCTTCCGTGATGCTATGGATGCGCTTGAAAACCCCGTTGGTTGGGCGGTTGCGGCTTCGTCCTTTCCACCAGCCCTCAACAACTCCGCGATTGTCTCCGTAAACCTTGATGTAAGGTAGTGGTTCGGGTTTGGGAGTGCGCGTGATGGCGAGCACAAGGAATTCGAAGCCAATGGCTTCCGCCCATCCAATGTCGCGGCTGTCATTTTTCCAGCCAGGAATGAGACGCCAAGCTCGCCACCAGCCGTTGATCCAAATTGCGATTCCCACGCCTGAGCTAGCATCTGAGAAGGCGTTGGGGTCGAAGACTTTGCATGGACCTGGGATAAGCCTGCTAACTGAGGGTTGGAGCAGGGCAGCGGACCACCATCTGAGATCTGGGGCGCAGTTCCGGGGTGGGGAATGAGGCACATGAGGTTGGTTATTGAAGGTTGGGAGCATGGCCTCCAGCTCGGTGAGGTAGGCTCTACCGGCAGGAATGACGAGTGCAGCATGTAGGAGTTTGCCGAAAAGTTTCTGGGTCTTGTTAAGGGTGTGACGGGGTTTGGACTCCCAGCTTGCAATTGCTGCCAAATATTTCTTCTTCTTCTCCGCTGGGATCTCAAGAGTGCGCGATTCGAGGTCCCAGGTAAAACCTGTGAACGGAGGTGATGGGCTGAATTGAATGTCCTTCGAGGGTTCCCAGGGGGTGCCCGTCTCGCGAGAACAAAAGTCGATGTCGTCCATGCAGGAAGAAAATTTTGCGTCGTGGGCAGAGCGGGGGGATCGTTTCGAGAAATCAAGAATGGGAAACGCACAATCTTCGTCGAACTCTTCGACTGAGTCATCTGGGAGAGTGGTTCCGCGATACCATTTTCTCCCTCCATCAACTCGAAGACCGCCGTTAGCCCGAATTCCCTCAGCCCACTCAGCTCTCTGCTCATTGTATTTCTCCAGGTATTTGAGGAGGATGCGGAAGAAGATGTGGTCGTCCACCCATTTCGAGAGTGGGCCGATGCCCTCGCTGCGAAGTAAATCTGCGCCAGCATCAGCAAGGCCACCGTAAGTTCCGGCTGCTGATGAGCAGCCAAAGCAGAAACTCGTGTCAATAGCAAACTCGTTTTCACCTGTGCGGACCACTGTACCTGGGTATTGGGAAGGGTGTAGCGGTATAGTTCTGTACGCTTCCGCCACATCACGAGTGGCGCCTTCTGAGCCAGGGGGAAGACGCCAGATGAGTAAACAGATCGTTGAAAAGGTGCCGTATGTGCAGGGATAAAGATTAGAATCGATGCGTGAGTTAATGGATTGTATCGGTTTTGAGATTGATTTTGAGCTATGTGACAAGTTCTGAATGAGGCGGAATTTTCCGGGTCTACCCGGCTTAGGGATAAGCGATAGAGGAGCGGTCTGGAAGGGTCCAAGAAGAGCTTCCACTTCGGCCGCAGATAGCGGGCCGAGGTAGCGACCGGCTTCGAATTCTCGAGAGAGAATTGATGTAAAGGCGTCAGCGTTTTCAGTGATGGACGGATTATTAGGTGGGGTATAAGTATTTGTGATGCTAGGAATACTACCAAAGAAGCCAAATTGTAATGAATGTGGTATGTGCGGGTATCTAAGTATGAGACCGGACTTGGTGAGGGCATGTAGCCATGCAGCAGGCTTGTACGGCGTAAGCGCTTTAAGCTTCCTGCCCTCGAGGACAACTTTGAGCTCCGTGATCCGGACTCCCGCATCCTGAGCACTGGTGAATGTGTTCTTTGCTGGTATTTGAGCAGCCGTTGGGGCGCTGCCAGTCGTAACACATTTGTAGGCCCTGAGTGTTGACCAGCCGTCCCTCTGCGTTTCGGCGACAGTAGGTAGGGGTCTTGGTGTCCCAAAGGAATTCACTCTTGCATTTGTGCACATTGTGGGCGAAACGGCCGAGACAGAGAGCGCAGGCAAAAAGGCCATTTGGACCTACGCTGCTCTGAAAAGACTGCTTGTCCTGGGAGGGTCGCTTGTTGTCTTGACGAGGACGATGGGGGTTGGGTGATTTTGTCCGAGGAGGGGGGCAACCAGATGGGTTGCGAGGAGGGGAACGAGAGCGTGACTGGGTTCTATGTTTTTCGCCTCGGTTCTGGTTGCGCTGTGATGGACCTTGGTCTCGACTCATGTGACGTTGGGGTTGGGACACTTGCTGGAGCTGAATTGGGCAGGCCGGCAAGCATGGAAGTCGTAATTTGGGAGGAATGTACGATGGGGGGGGGTAGGGAGCGAGCCAGTGGTAGCAGTTTAGAGGTAGCAGAAGCAGAGGAAGCGGAAGCAGAGGAAGCGGAAGCAGGGCGAGCAGTAGCGGGAGCAGAAGCATAGGCAGCGGGAGCAGAGGTAGACGGAGTGGAAGCGGTAGAAAGGAAGCAAATGGAAGCGACAGGAATGATTGAAGGCGAAACGAGGTGAAAATTGAGGGGGGGTAGAATTAGATAAATGGTTGACATAGTGGGCAAGCGGAAGGAAACTGACCTCAGTGAGGGACTCATGACGAGCCTTGTTCCAAACTTCTTCGTTCATGTTTCTCAATAGGGTGGGGTTGAAAACACTTATATCGAAGGCGTTGTTGAGAATAAGTGTGTCGTGCCAGTCACGTCGTACGTGGGCGGCATACAAGAGCAAGGTTTGTTCGCCAAAGTGTTCGGAGCGACTGGGGTGCGCTACGATGTTCATGAAGAACATGGTGAGAGCACGCTGGTGCTTCTCCGGCCAGTTAAGCTTATTGATATAGAGCAGGAAGCTGTTTTTGACGAGATCGAATTGGCGCCATTCGAGACCGTGATCCTGGATGGCTTTGCGTGAAGCTTTGAAGGACGCGACTGGTTTGAGGGCGACAAAGTCTTCGACTTTGGTGAAGCCGAAGGCGTCGTCCGCGCTAGTTTTAGCTTCGTCGGATGTGGCTTTGCATCCCTCTGGGCTGAAATACCATAACTCAACGTATTCGAAGGATTTGAGTTTGTGGATGGCGTATTGTGACGGGCGCGGGGTGAGAGTGTCGCCGACGGCCGTGCCAACCGCGAAATCATTGATTTTTGGTTTCTTCTTCTCAGCTTCGGCTTCGAGTTCTAGCCGCACGCGTTCTTGGTCTTCTTGTTCTCTTTCCGCCCTTGCTGCCTCAGCTGCAAGGTGTGCGTCTTCGTCGATTTGCCTTGTCCAGGCTACGACTCTAAGGTTGCGGTCCTGTTGCCAGGCCGCGATTAAATCTGCTGCGACTTCGTCATGAGTAGTTTGGGTTGCTCCGATGATCCGGTTTCTGAGGCCTTCGAACGTAGGTGACGCGAAGTCAGGTTGGATGTCGAGCATTGGGTCTGAGGCGATACGGGCCATGATGCAATTATAGGATAATGTATAATGGTATTCGGTAGGAAATGAAGGAAAGGGTTCTGGTAATAAGATTAAAGTGTTCTGTTGATAGTGAAGACGGGAAGAAAAGAAGAAACACTCGATGAGACTTAGTTCTTTCGAGCAAGGTGAGGGGAGCGGAAAGAAGAGACGCTTACGGCGTCTTCCGCTCGCCCGAAGACTATACTCTAATCCTACTCTCGTGCCTCGTTTCGTAATAGAGATGCAACATAAGGAAGGCAGTGACCATTCCTACAGTAGCCTGTAGCTGTGCATCTTACAAGGGCGTCAAATGCTAGTGATAGCGCGCTTTGTGGTGATGGTGGTTTGAGTTTACCTAGTAGCAATACCTGTCAAAGGAATGTATCATCTGGCATTTCAGATGTCCCCTACACGCGCAGGTCTTTAAGAATTCTGAAGCACTTTCCACTCTTTCTCAACATTTGCAAGGACTTCCCCCCATTTCCCCCCATTCCAAGAAGGTAGGCCGGACCCATTCATCCTCCTTTAACTCATTTGTACACCAGTAGCCAAGAAGCAACAATGACGTCTGCATATGAAAAGGCATCGCCCATAATCCACTTTCCGTATGTCTTCTTAAGGTAGGACGCGATTTCGAGGGAGTCCATGATGAGGGCACCGGTGTTGGGGTTGCCGAGGATGGAGACAGTATAGATGTCCGAGTCTTCTGGGCGTTTAATTGGCTTTGCACAATGGCCTTCATAGCGATAGGGACATCTGAGTATTTGACCCAGAGGCATCCTTGTAACCCAAAACGAACCTGGGGCACAATAGGCTTTGGTCAGATCTTCAAGGGCCGAGGCTTCGCGTGCACACGAGGCATTTAAGCTTGGCGCAATGGATTTTCTGGATCGGGACGGGGGCTGGTGGTTCTAGGCTCTCGAGGTGGCATCGATACACATACAAACTTACATATGAGGCAGACAATATTGATATCTGCAAGAAGAACATGCACATGAAGCACCAGCGTGATCAATGATGACGCTAGATCACCTCCGACACGTCCCGGTAACCCGACGGTAGACGCTGAATCAAGCTGAGAGTGGAAACAACAGCCAAGTTTACAAACCCTACATGTGTTAGCTCACAGCACGTCCAACAACATTTTCCCTACGCTTTCCTTTCGCTGTTCCCTCTACGCGAAGATATCCAAGTAGTTCCCCAATCATTTCGCTCTGCATCTCCACCGTCGCTCGTAGTTCTGATATCTGTTGACTCAACTCAGTTTGATTCTGAGCGAGCTTCCGATTAGAAAGGTCCTTTAGGGGCTCTGAAGGTTGAGATTCCAGCCGATGGTGACCCAAAGCAGCCAAAGCAGGGTCATGTTCTCGTGCGAAGCCCTAAGAAGCAGAACATCTAGCTGAGTTAAGTTGTCAAGGGGAATGAAACAAACAAACCCCATCATCGGCCATCTGCTCCCAGACCAGGCTAAATTCTCTACCGAGAACGAAGCTTGGGAGGGCAATAAGAAGCAAGCCAAAAGCAAGAAGAGGAACTGTGATCAAGCGCCCGAGAATAGAGCGAGGTGTAATCTCTCCATAACCCACTGTAGTAATTGCTATTTGGGAAAGAAAAGTGAGTAAGCAGGACGCAACGCCGCAGTGTGCCAGGCCCCTACTTACTGACTAGCACGAACCTGTCTGGGTCTTAATAAAATAGTAATGAGACGAGAAACACAGGCTCACCAAGCAGCTGCAGGTATTGACTATATGGAGATAAGCGTTAAATAAATATCAGTAGACAGACACAAGGAATAATCCGTACTTGGAACTGAGTTGCGTCACCGTCTGAATTAATGAACGTTTCCAAATTGTCGTCCCAAGTACCGCGCTCTGAGAAGTATCTGAGTAATGCGTTCAGTGAAAAAGGGTCGGATTGAGTAGAGTGGTAAGGTACACACAGTAGTGTGCTGAACACAGTCAACACCATTGCAATAAAAAAACTAAGTGCAAGTAATGCATGATGTGATCTACGAACAGCCAGATACATGACCTCGATGGTTCTTAATGGAATGATGATGATCACATGTACCCTCGGACCAAGAGATGTGTGTGTGCTTACAGAAGTATGGTGCTATTGTATCGGAACGGCCTGAAGACCCGCAATAGACGAAACATGCGCAGAATGGAGAAGCGGAACAGAACAGACTGTCAAAAGTCAGTTCGGCAAGTGATTAAACAACAGATCACTCACGGTATCTTGCCGCAGCACTATCTCAATGTAGTAGGGTAGTATAGCCAGCATGTCAATGACCCCATAGAAGGCTGGGTGATGATTCACGTGAGAAAATGTATTGGAAATTATGAGATTACACGCACAGAACATCCATTTAACCAATGAGATCCAAGAGGAGCTCCATGCGACACAACGTGCGGAGTATTCTACGGTGAAAAGAAGCACCAGACTTGTTTCTAGACCAAACCATACTCGAGGGGAAATAGAGTGAAAACTTGGCACGGTCTCCAAGATTGTAACGATGGCAGAAAATACAATGAGAGAAGTTGATGCAAAGTGAACGAGAAAGGCCGACGAAGATGATGTTGGAGATTCGAGCAAGTCGAAGAGGGCACGTTTCCACGGTGAAGTTATATGATCTGGAGGCTGGTCGAACAATGGCGTAGTTGGGAACACGTCTTCGATAATTCTCGGAGATTGATCCTCAGTCAGAAATCTTGATGAAGCTGGTGACCCCAAACGAGAGAGAGGAATTGGTTGAGACATAACTAAGCTGCTTGAGAATGAGCGCCTCGATGACCATACAAGCGAGAAACTCTCTCACGCCCAACATCACATTTGATCCTTCGGCTTGTGCTGCGTGGTCCGCAGCGTCCACTACTCTTTTGAAGGTTTCATTGGACACGCGATCCGGAGGCTCCCACTATAGCGCTCGTGTGGATCGACCATAGAGGAAGGTCCCGGTTATTATTTGCCTAACTGGAAGATCACCTACCGCCGTCACTTTTCCTTTTGTGCTCTCGTACGACAGATAAGGCGCGAAGGAGCGGTGCGGCGCTCTGATACGACTTGACACAAATCAGCTTAGCGCGCTGTCCTTCTTTCACGTCTTGTCTTTCTACCACCTGTGACCCATTTGTCAGGAAGAACAAAATGGAAGAACCATCTGCCACTGTTAATACGATACCAAAGACTCGTGATTATCAGCAAGAAATGCTGGACGCCAGTCTCAAGGAAAATATCATCATCGCTCAGGATACCGGTTCCGGAAAGACTTTGATTGCGATTTTAAGGATGAGATATGAAATAGAACGCGGCTCTCAAAAGGTACGTTCAGGTTATGCGTTCTAAAGGTCTTATTGCAAAGAGGTTCCTAGGTGTCGTGGTTTTTGGCGCCTACGGTGGCTCTTTGCAATCAGCAGCACAGCGTGATCAAGGATAATATGCAGGTCCCTGTTGGCCTAATTCACGGGGGGCTTGAGCCAAAGCAATGGACTGATGTTACCTTGTGGAAAAGAGTACTGGGAAACAATCGCGTTATAGTTTCCACTCCGCAGGTACTCCTTGACGCGCTCAGCCACGGCTACGTTAAGATGGGGCTGAATATCGGCCTCCTAATCTTCGATGAGGCTCACCACGCGGATCGAAATCACCCCATGAGCTGCATCATGCGAGATTTTTACTTCTCCCTACCTCCCCGCCTCCCCGCGGCCCACGGCTCTAGTGTGACGACTGAGCAGGACGAACGTCCCATGGTCTTGGGCCTCACTGCTAGCCCTATGTTCGGTGGCAATCCTACTGCAGCCTTCCGGTATGTTGCTCGGATCGGAGACTACGAATATTATTGACATGCTTTCCAGGAAGTTGGAAGCCAACCTCGACTGCGTTATTCGCAGTCCTCGAGCCAATAGGGATGAGCTCTTGACTCATGTCCACCGTCCGATCTTCCGACACGTGCGCTACGATACACCGCAATACTCTGATCGTAACTATACTTCTAAAAATTTATCAGCAGTCGAAGCCGTTATTGCTACTATGAACATCGAGGAGGATCCCTTCGTTATACAACTACGTCAGAAACTAGCGAAAACTGCCCGAGGCCCAGAGTATACACGAATGGACCAGAAGCTGTCAAAAGCTATTCAGGGCAAGAAGACATACTCGCACGGTGGAATGAACGACCTCGCGAATGCGGGCAAAGCTATATGTTATGACATCGGTCCATGGGCGGCAGACTGGTACATCGAAATGGTTGTATCTCGAGCGCTAGATAAACAAACTCCCTGGGACGAGTTGATCGGGACCTTACAGCCCAAGGAGAAGAATTACTTAATGAAACATTTGTCTCAGATCAAGCTGGCACCTCTCTCTTACGATCCTACGGACATTGAGGCTGGGATCACGGACAAAGTCCGCGTCCTCTTGGAGACATTGGAGTACGAAAAGGATTGGTCGGAGTCGTCAAACGAGCCTTATAGTGGCTTGATCTTCGTCACACGTCGTGACGGAGTATTAGCATTGTCGGAGGTTCTGAAGAACCTTCCCCGCAGTGCTCATTTCAGACTCGGGTGTCTGCTTGGAAGTTCTCAAAGCTCCTATCGCAACACCTTTCTTGACATCACCCGTACACTTCTGAAGGACCAAGCTCAGGCAGATGTTCTCGAGGGCTTTCGGTCTGGAGACAGGAACCTCATCGTCGCCACGTCCGTGGCGGAAGAGGGGCTTGACATCCAGGCCTGTGGAAATGTGATCAGGTGGGATATCCCTGACAACATGGCAAGCTGGGCCCAAAGCAGAGGTCGTGCTCGCAGGAGGCGCAGCTCTTTTGTTCTCATGTTTGAATCGTCAGGTATCGACGACGCTAGAGTAGCGGAGTTCGAGAAGCTGGAGGCTCAGATGACAGCCCTTTACCTAGCTGATCGTGCTTCCAGGCCAACGGTCTCCAATGATGACGAAGAACCTGATCCAGATGAGCCTGTTTTCAAGGTGAAGTCTACAGGGTGAGTGATATGCGTGCATTCAAAGCCATCCTACTCATCCATGAATAGGGCTGTGCTTACCCCGCTACTAGCGGTCTCTCATCTCAATCATTTTTGTGCTGTTATTCCAAATTCAGCTAATCTTCCCATCTATGATATCGACCCCCCTGATATGCCCGAAGGCTGGCACTCTTTTGACCCTGCGACACGCGTAGTTCCCCCACCATATCCGGGGCCATTTGGGTGCACGGTCACTTTGCCAAGGCGGCTCCCAGCGGGACTTCGCATCTTCTCAGTTGATCGTGAATACCCTACAAAACAATCTGCATACCGACACGTTGCATACAAGGCATACCTCGCCCTCTATCACGCCAATCTCCTAAATGAGCATCTCCTGCCATTGACCAGCACGGTCGAGCCTGATTTGGGAGAGGAAGTCAAGAATCTCCTTAAAGATGTCGAGAAGCGATCCAGCATGGCTTCCGTCACTAGCCAAATGAATCCTTGGCAAGATGAATTAACGGATGCGGCTTGGACAGCTACTCGCATTGTCATACCAGGCTTCTCTCCTATCCGCATGCTCACCCGAGTCGACCTTCCATCTTTCGCGGCTGGGGAGGCACCAGTGCTTTATCATTCTCGTAAAGGTCGTATCGATGTTGAACTGCAGGCACAGGGTGTGGCCCGCCATTCCGCTAGTGACCTTCAAGCCGCTCATGAATCTACACGACGTCTGTTCTGGTGTCTGTACGGAATTCGCATGCAATGGGACAAATTCGACTTTGCGTATCTTTTTGAACCTGCTGAGGAAGACACTGAGCGAGATGTGTGGGATGCGCGTCGAAGGTGGCTGCGGGATTTGCAAGGGGAAGAGTCTTCGGGAGACGATCTCTTCGCAAATGCAGCCACTTTCGGACAGGCGTTCTCGCACCCGACTGATATCACCTGGATTCGTGATGGGTTTCCCCACGGCAAGGTTTATCGCTTTCTTGGGTGGAGGCATGATCCTCTATCTGAGGAAGAGTTGCAAGATTTCATGGCCAGATATTCAAGAATGCCGGAAATGGAGATCACCTACCCGTTACTTCATGTAGAAGAATTGCCGCCAAGAAGAAATTTCTTGCAACCTCTATCGTCCATTAGTGATGCACCTCTCAGGAGGTCGTTCCTCCCTCCTCAATCATCTCGTGTCGTTTTTCTTTCTCAAGTGCAATGCGACCATGCTATTCTGTTACCCTCCATCATTCGCCATATTTCCATCGCTGCAACTGCCGTATCTCTTCGAGAGAGTCTGCTCACCAGGACCCCACTTTATCAAATTCCTTTGACTCGTCTGATTACAGCGATTACTGCCCCTGTGGCCCAAGGTCACGTTAACTATCAAAGACTGGAGACCCTCGGAGATGCCGTCCTCAAGTTTGTAATGTCAATGCATCTGATCGCCACCTATCCCTTTTGGCACGAAGGGTACCTCACCAGGCGTAAAGATCATGCTGTCTCCAACTCGAGATTGGCAAAGGAAGCCACCAGGCTTTCCCTGTACAAGTGGATTGTACGCGATCGTTTTGCTCCTCGGAAGTTCAAACCACAGTACTTTACTACAGGAGAAGCAAACGAGATTACTGAAGACGTGGTCGCTGGTGATTCGTCTCAAGGAACACCCAAAGCCCCTGAGGACCTGTCCACAAAGATGCTTGCGGACGTAGTAGAAGCCCTCATTGGAGCTGCCTCCCTTTATGGAGGGTACAATTTTGGCATTGAGTGCACCCGACTCTTTGACCTCGGCATCGGCACCAAGGCAGGGTGGCAACCCCTCGAAGTTTATATCGAGAAAGCGCTTTCGTGTGTGGAAACCGTTGAGGTTTCCACTCCAACAACCGACATCGAACGCATGTTAGGGTACACATTTACCCACAAGCTCCTCCTCCTCGAAGCCATCACTCATTCAAGCTACCAGTTCGATTCTCGGACGGTATCGTATGAGCGTATGGAATTTTTGGGCGACTCTGTGCTCGACTTGATCATCACAGAGCATCTCTATCACTACCCAGGAAAGCAATTTACCCCGGGCCAGATGCATATCCGCAAATCTGCCGTGGTTAACTTGCATTTCCTCACTTATATCTGTTTCAAGTGCTCGGTGGAGAAAGACGCGAGCTTACCACGCCCCACCCGCAATGGCATAGTCATGGACGAGGAAACGCAGGAGATATCCTTATACCAAAGCTTGCTCCATTCCAGTTCAGTGGTTTTTGACCAGCAAAGAGCGACACTCGCTCGTTATCGCAAAATGAAAGATGAAATAGAGGAAGCCCTCCTTCACGGTCTCACGTTCCCCTGGGCAGCCCTCACTCGCCTCCAAGCACCCAAATTCTTCAGCGACATGATCGAAAGTATCATCGGCGCTGTTTATCTCGACTCTCGTGGAAACATGGATGTCGTTCGCCAAGTACTTCGCAAGCTGGGTATAATGCAACAACTGGAGCGCAACCTGAGGGATGACGTCGATGTTTTGCACCCACTCACCAGGGTGTATATATGGGCTGCACGCCAACAAAAGGAGTTGACTTCGGTATTTGAGGAAGAGAGGGGACATGTGACTTGCACTATCACTGTCGAAGGCAGAGAATCTGTGCAGGCCACCGCAGAGAAACGGGGACGGGCTAGTCAAGAGGAGGCACGATTTGCTGCAGCGGAGAAGGCGATACAGCTTTGGGACATCCGAGCTAACGACGGAATCAAAGATGCATGAAGCTATATTTGTGGTACATAGAAACGTAGTTGTACAGTACAAGGAACACAAAGTCTGTTCGTGAAAATACATGGGCCCTGTGTTATTTCTAATGCTCTGTTTCTTCCCAAGTTCTACCGACTGTCTTGACCAAGTCTTGCTCGGTGATTGACTTTCCACTAGTAAAGTATCCCGCTGCGATCTTAGCGTCAATTTCAACACGCGAGTCCGGCGGGATGAGATGCTCTAGAGATAGGTCATCGTTGATTGCCAACCACGCCAGCATTTAGAAGGTCACCCACCTGGTAGATCATACCGCTTCAAAATTGGAATTCCAGATTGGACAATCGCATTGTATTTCCTGAGGTAAGCGTGTCAGCTATGATCAATGAGTGTTATTTATGATCGACGCACATATCGCTCATGGACACCATGTTATCGATCTTCTTGATTCCGAGCCAGTGTAGTACATCCGGCATGAGTGCCTGGAATCGCATGTCCTTCACACCAGCAATAAGCTCCGTGGACTTGAAGTACTTATCCGCAGAGTCACCACCGCGTTTCCGGAGATTATAGACCAAGTACCTGAGGAGGTGTTGTGAGCCTGGGAGTACGGAAAAAAGGATTGATATTTACTTTGTGACTTCGCCTAGCGCTCTGCCCTCTTTGCGGAAGTACACTACAAGGCCGACTCCACCTCTCTGGGCGCAACGAATACACTCTTCGATCGCATAGACCAGATAAGGTTTGCAGGTGCAGATGTCGGATCCGAAGACATCAGAACCATTACCTGATAATTATAAACATTCAGATACAATTAAGAGAACAGATGGAGAGACATACATTCATCATGTACACGCAAGGTCAGTTCCTTGGACTCGTCGTACAGGAAGGCAGGGTTTCCAACTTGAGAAAGCGGTCAGCAGAAAGTTTGTAGACGAACGACAACACGAACAAATGTAAACTGTCAGATTGCCAATGGGAGGGAGGAAGACCTTGATATCGGGGCGGGTAATCAATTCAGGATACATCCCTCCAGTGTCTTCGAAAAGAGCACGGCGAAGCAGGCTCTCGGATCTGATGGAGTATTAGAAACTAGTAGATTCAGACAGCAGCGGCCACCTACATCCCAAAACGTTCAGCAATGCCAGGCAGATACCATACTGGCTCGACAGCGGCTTTACTGGTGGTGATCTCTACACCAGAATAAGCGTCACTCTCCGTTCCATCGACATTTTTCAGAGGACGCGTGGCCAAGACAATCTTGCCGTCCACCTCGAGCTCGCCTTTCCTCGCAGTCTCGTCAATTTCACTGAGTTTGATGTGCGCCTTTGTAACTGCTATACTGGGACGAACATCGAGTCCAAGTTCATCGACCTCTTTTCTAAATACCTGAGGTACAAGGTGTCCCCAGGGGTCAAATGATACGATCTTGTGTGGATCTGACCACGCAGGCTGTGGAGGAATAGGCACAGGCGGCTCGGTCATGGAGTAATCGGGCTTATGGGTGGGGTTAAGAGTCCCCATAGCTATAGCAAGGGCGCGATAAATCGAATATGAACCGGAGTGAGCACCAAGAGCATTGCGTTGCTTGACTGAGGAAGGTAAACGTGAACAGATCACGGGTCCTCTCAAGGAGGGATCGGGTGCACCCCATTGTATTGGAAAAGGTTTGATTCCATGCTGGTCAGGATGAGCTGTAGAGGTGAAAATTAGTTAAAGTTAACAATAGAAGCGTGTGAAAGGTAGTGTCTACACTATCTGACAACTCTAGATCTATCGAGAAAGACTTACTAGTCAAAAGCACTCTACCAGGGTACAGAGCCTTCTCTCGCTCTCTATCGGTTAGAATGTGATCTGACGGAGTGCTCGCTGGCGATGTTGAAGCCAGCTGGACTTTGCTCAAGGAAGAGGAGGGCGATAGCAGCAAAGAAGGTGGAGTTGGTGAATCATTGTGGCCTGTGATAGGAGTCCCATGACTTGGTGGACTTCCGACAAGAGTGGTAAACGTATCCAACTGATTTGTGAGCTGTATCAGTCTTCATATTTATAGCCTGGAGCGTTATTTTACCTTGGCCTGCAGGGTCTGTTGAGAGACCTGAAGTGCACTGAGTTGGGCTAAGATCTGAGTCAAGAGAGCGTCAGAGGACATGATCGTAGGAAACAGAAAGAGATCACGGTGGTGGGGCGGTGATAGTGTGCGTCGTACGAGCGAATTGTGCCGTGCTCGCTTTAAAGGCTCCCAATGATATCTACAAGAGTAGGATCCGAGGCGAATTGGAGAAATGCTGCATGATTAGCCGGAAGTCACACGTAAGTCAATGCGATCGGCAATCGTTTGTTCTTGAACCCCTTCCAGGCTGTTTCGAACACGAGTCTAGGGATACAGAAATTATTGTACGAGTCGTAACACAAGTAATAGTAACATAGTACATAGTGTGGCATATTCGTATCAAGCTCCAAGTCATTTCAAATGACTCACTAGCTAATCCTCCTCGTCCGAGTCCGACTTCTCAAAGTCCGGCATGATGTCTGTCTCTGTCATCTCGTTCCACGCTTGACGAAGTTGGAACACTACCTCCATTACAGGTCCCCTCTCGCCGTTCCAGTATGCAATTTGTTCGTCCAAGCATGCAAACGAAGCCGAGCGACGAATGAAACGTGATCGCCGATTAGCAGTAGTCTGTCCGACTCCATGGTGCCAATCCAAGGTAGGGGGCTTTGACCTATCATCCGTGTGGTTCGCAAGTTTCTGCCAAGCAGCCTCTTCCTCGTTTTCCTCTTCCATTTCTTGTAATATTGCTCCAGTTACCGATGACTCTCTTGGAATCTTCGCGACAGGACCGTGAACAGAAGTGTTTATGCCTTCGGATCTGCCTTCTCCAGCAAGAATTTCGGTCGTAACCTCTTCCAGCGTGTGGAGGGTCTTCGTTGGCTTCGGGAAATGTTGAGCCTGCTGCGATACGGAACCACGCCTCGCGATCGAAACACTGCGAAGCTGACGCTCCGACTTGTGCCTCAATAGCACATGCTTTGGAGCAGCCGAATTGGAACATGCCTTCTGCATGATGTTGCGATAATGGTAGTCGCCTTGGCCGCCTAGAGTACGCAAAGAATCTGCGCGAGCACATTCGGGAGAGCAAAACCAGAAATCGTGATCTTCGATGGTCGGTTTGCCGCAAAAGCATTGTTTGACACCGGTATGGGTCGATGTAAAAGCGTCGGTAAAGATGAGAGGGTTCATTCTGAGAGATCAGTGACTTACAGCCGCTACTATGTACATGGCTTATATAGCCATTGAATCTTGCACGCTTTACTGTGGCGGAACACTCGTAATGGAAGTAGCCCGTGGACTAATGCAGTTGTGGGCATTCGGGAGTACGATTTAATGGCTGTCGTTGTGTGGAGTAAGTGCAAAGCGGGACTACAATGAGCACAATACTCACCCAATATTGGAGATGCGTTCGATGCACAGATGTCTGGCCTCCCAATGGGAGTTGCCTGTGGACGAATGATGTGGCGCATTATCATTCAGGAATGTCCACTGGCTGACATTGTGCGAGACTAGTCCAAAACTGGACTGCAATGAACACGACACTCAACATACATCTTTATACCGGTGGAATTGCGCCCTAGAAGAGTCGAAGACTAGATCGGTATATGTAGCAAATAGATCCTCTAGTCATTGGATGTCAATAGAAGTTGTTGTTAGGAAAGAGACAGAGCTCCTGAGCACGAGCAAAGATAATATTGAGCATACTCATCAGCTCTATTGATGAGCCAACATGACGGCTTGAATTGGAGGAGCGTACTTGGTACTTAGTACTAATAAGGTTACGAGCGTGCGAAAATACTTCCTTTTGCGAATGCGATAGTGAATTTTGTTACACTACATACCTTGAACGGAACGTTAGGACCTAGCAGGACTCGCCTTAGCTTCAGCCAGTATCAGCAGCCTCCATGCGCAAGCAGCTTGATCCTCGTATACCTGTACTAATTAACAATAATGTCAAGAAAAATCACCGGTCCTTCATAGTTTTGGTCGGTGATAAGGGAAGGGACCAGGTATGCAGATGCAACGTTTGCCGACCGTCTTTGACTCTGACTGTTTCTAGATCGTGAATCTCCACTTTTTGCTTTCACAAGCGCGCGTATCAGCACGCCCTTCAGTACTATGGTGCTATAAAAAGGATCTTGGTTTCACCGCGTGAGTGACATGATATTGCTTTGTAAAGAGACCTAAGATGATATATAGGGCACGAAAAAAGCGAGAGGCGAAAATCAAACGGGACGTGAAGAGAGGTGTGCGGGAGGCAAACGAGCAAAATCCATTCGAAATTTTTGTGACTGTCACAGATATCCGTTATACGTGCGTGAACATTGATAATTTCCAGAAGCAAGCTTATAGTCCTCTAGCTATTATAAAGAGTCGCACCGTATATTGGGAAACACCTATGGAATGTGCATTCTGCAAGACTTTGAGGCAATCACGCCCAATCTCCTGGCACGCACTATCGAGACGGTAGAGGGCGGCGGATTAGTGGTGCTTCTCCTAAAAACAATGTCATCGTTGAGGCAACTGTACACTCTTACCATGGTGCGTTATCACCATCTCATCCAGAGAGTCGCTCACTGATTCCTTTTGCAGGATGTACATGCCAGATATAGAACCTCATCTCATGATTCGGTAGTTGCGCGATTTAACGAACGGTTCATTCTCTCCCTGGGATCTTGCTCGGACTGCTTGGTTTTGGATGATGAACTGAATGTCTTGCCCATATCTAAAGCCAAGGATATCATACCAATTGAAGAGGAGCGCGGGAAGGGTAAGGCAGACTCCGAGCTCAAGGATCTCAAGGATAGTCTGGCAGACACGAAACCTGTGGGCGAGCTCGTAAAACTCGCCAAAACCATAGATCAGGCTCAAGCTGTTCTAACCTTTGTTGATGCGATTGCCGAGAAGACACTCTCATCCACCGTCACGCTCACCGCTGCTCGAGGTCGCGGCAAATCTGCGGCACTAGGCTTGGCAATCGCTGCCGCTCTCGCCCATGGATACTCAAATATTTTTATTACGAGTCCCAGTCCAGAAAACTTGAATACGCTTTTTGAATTTATCTTCAAGGGTATGGATGCTCTCGGTTACGAGGAGCACTTGGACTACGATATTGCACAAAGCACGAATCCAGAGTTTAATAAAGCCATCGTCCGCGTAAATGTGTTCCGTCAGCATCGTCAGACCATTCAGGTGGGTACTTATGTCTCGGCATTTGCGCGCAGATTCTGACAAAGAAATTCTCAGTATATCCAACCCGAGGATGCGCACGTTCTTGGTCAGGCCGAGCTAGTTGTCATCGATGAGGCAGCTGCCATCCCTCTTCCCCTTGTCCGCAATCTCCTGGGCCCGTACCTTGTTTTCATGGCATCGACCATCAACGGATACGAGGGCACAGGTCGCTCTCTTTCTCTCAAACTTATTCAACAACTCCGTGAAAGTACCCGACCTTCACTCACAAAAGATGCTGTTGCGCCTGTTGAAGATGGCGCTACTGCCTCAACCTCCAAAAAGCCCGCGCGCTCCGCTGCCCCTAAAGCTCGAACCCTTCGTGAAATCAAGCTTGAAACACCTATCCGATACTCTGCTGGCGATCGCGTCGAAAAATGGCTCAATGGCCTTCTTTGTTTAGATGCAACGATCGTACCAAAGGCCGCTCAACAGGGCTGCCCGCACCCTTCTTCGTGCGAGCTGTACTATGTCAGCCGAGATACACTCTTTAGCTACCACCCTGCATCAGAGGTGTTCTTGCAGCGCATGATGGCGTTGTATGTCGCCAGTCACTATAAAAATCAACCAAATGACCTCCAGTTGATGTCAGATGCCCCAGCGCATCACCTTTTCGTGCTCCTACCCCCCATAGCAGACGACGAGTCTCATCTTCCGGAGCCACTTGTCGTACTGCAAGTTGCACTGGAGGGGAATATCAGCAAAGGCGCCATCATGGATGGCTTGAGCCGCGGTTTGCGAGCAGGAGGTGACATGATCCCTTGGCTTGTCTCCCAGCAGTTCCAAGAAAGCAAATTTGCGCTACTCTCTGGTGCCCGGATTGTACGGATCGCAACCCACCCTGATTACGCAAATGTGAGTTAGCTGCAATGTATATTTTAGCCTATGATTTATTGGCCAACCAGATGGGGTATGGATCCCGCGCCCTGAAGGCGCTAAATTCTTTCTATAGTGGAGAGTATTTCAACCTGGATGAAGCTATTCCTGCCGAACCCTCCTATCCAGATGCGGCCGCGCTAGATCCGGTGAGTGCGATATCCGTTCCAGATATTTTTGTAAAATCATATGTGTTCGGTGAAGGGAACGGATCTTCAAACGGATTACCCCAGAGTGCGCGCTCCTGAGGCGATGCCCCCACTTCTCCAGAGATTATCAGAAAGGAAACCTGAATCGTTGGATTACCTTGGAGTCTCGTATGGGTTAACGCCCCAGCTTCTCCGGTGATATTTTTTTTGTTCGATCCAGTAATCCATATTAATCTTTCGACTCCAGCTTTTGGAAGAGGGCTGGATATGTACCATTATACGTCCGTCAAACGCAAAGTGAGCTGACAGGAGAGCACACGTGTGTTATGGTCCGGGGACTTAACAGTTCTACGGATGGCGAACTTGAATGGATGGGCGAGTTCTCGAAAGGTGCGTTCGTCTGATTACCCATACGGAACTCGGCCACATGTGGGGCGTAGATTTCAGGCGGCGGTTCCTATCCCTGCTCTCTTTCAAGTTCCGTGAGTTTGGCACCGTCACTGCGCTTAGTGTGCTCGAGGCTGCGAATGTGGGCGTAAAGAAGCTCGATGGAGAGAAGTCGCGAGGTAAATTTGTTTCAAGGGCTTTCAAGGGTTTATTGACTGACGCTATTTTTAGCTGTTGGATCGCCAGAGCTCTCCATCCTGATGTCACCATTTGACTTGAAGCGTCTAGAGTCATATGCCAACAACATGCTTGATTATCATGTTATCCTCGACCTACTCCCAGCAGTAGCTTCTTTGTATTTCGAAGGGCGGTTAGGAGACGATGTAAAGTTGAGCGCAGTTCAGGCCTCTATTCTACTTGGTCTCGGTCTTCAACGAAAAACCATCGAGGAAGTCGAGGTATATTCTTTCATCATGCACATTGGGTGATGCTCAGGGGCGTGATTCTCCAGGGCGAGCTATCGCTGCCGGTTGCACAGGCACTAGCTTTGTTTGCCAAGGTTATCCGCAAGATAACAAAACACCTTGTCGACATCCAGAAGGCTTCGATTGGCGCTGATATCCCGTTGGCCTTGCCAACCACGACTTTACGTGTTGGGGACGATGGCGAGCCTACGCAGTGGAAACCTGTTGACACAAACATCGAAGATGAGTTAAACGAGGCCGGCGACGAAGCAACGAATGCGCTTCGTGAAAAGCAACGCCAGATGATCGACTCTTTGGATCTGAGCAAGTGAGTGTGATTGTATTCTCCATGTGCTGCGGGTATGGATTGACGGACTCGGGCATCTATAATGTGATTTATGATCGTGCTTCATAGGTATGCTATCAACGATGGCGGCGCAGATTGGAGTGTCGCTGAGTCGAGGCTTGCAAAGGGAGGAGCTACTGTCATTAGTGTGAAGACGACGGAACCTATCGCTGGCAAGAAGCGGAAAGCGGAAGGTGGAGATGAGAAGGACAAAAAACCGACGAGAAGGGGTAAGAAGTCGAAGCGCTGAACTATATAATCTGCTCTCGCGGAAGGAGAAGTATTCATTTCTTACCTCCGGTAGTAGCGAAGACTTTGCCTCGACAAAAAAAAGGGGCCCCGTCTAACCTAAAGTAGAGAGCATGCGTGGCGTCGACGTTAAATGCTTCCGCGAGATGAAACGCTGCAGGTGTTCTATTAATACAACGTGCTACGGTGCGCGACCACGTTACGGGATACGGAGGACGAGGAACAATGTGATTAAAACAATAATATTCATATCGCATAAATTTATTTATTTATCGTATGATTTCAAGCGTGCAGTCTGTGTGGGTCGCAGGACAATTTGAAATTGTTTGCACTGCCAGTGGCACGCTGTGGCACGCACGTCATCCGTCGCGACGCATTTTTGATAAATAACAAGAAGATGATCAAAGACCCGTCTGATCCGGTTGTTACCGGTCCTGCAGGTTAGTATGTAATCGATTAGAGTCAACGTTCCTGCAAAACGCTTTAAACTTGCAACGAGGTCATACTAACTTATATCCATTCCTCTAAGCTTGTGTTTGCCGCTTATCGTAGCCGTACCTGGGTTTTTAGACCGCACCAGCCTCTCGCTAGGCTCCATCAGGCTAAGGCGCCAACTCACCAGTCCCTAGCCGACACGGAGACACTTTGCAATTTTGGATCCGCAACGTCACAATGAATCGAGGTCACTAGGGTCCAGTAAAGACCCGAAGGCACTGCTGGCACTGTCAGCTGAGGAGTCAACATTTATCATAGTATACGATCACCCCCATAATTGTGTGGGGAAGCCATTTGTCGACATGAAGCGTGAGTACTCGGTTTCAATCCATTTTGGCACTTCGCCTAAGATCTTGCTATACTTATGTTACTTTAGGTGCCTGACAGATTAAAATGTTCCTGATCTTGTTCTCGATATAAAGTCATACAGAGGCGGCATGCCGCAGCCCTAAGGCCCATCCTCTCTGATCAATCCTTATCCCACCCCCATCATGGCACCAAAATTTTTGCGCGAGCTCATCCCGCGTAGAGAGAAGCGTGCGGCCTCTGGTAGCGTAGTGGTCGCTTTCAAGAATCTCACATGGGTGCAGTGGGTTCAGTTCTGGTCTGGGTCAGTGTCCTCCTTAGCTTCACGTCATCATCATCTTAACCCGTGTTGCACTAGCTGGCTTGCCTGGACGTGCGACGCCATCGATTTCTTCGCAGTGTCACTCACAATAAACCTCCTGTCAAAACAATTTAACCAGTCGACAAGTTCGATCGTGCGCTTTTTTGGTCCTTCCTTCGCTGCTTGTGCGCTAATGTACACCGCGGTCACAGACGACCGCTATAACGTTGACCCTTTTATTCCGACCTGTCGGCGCTGTGAGCATCATTCCCGCTGTTCACCGGCAACTAAACGTAACTTATCATTCCCTAGATTATTTTCGGTATCTTATCTGATCGATTTGGTCGCAAGTGGCCATTGGTGTTCAATCTCCTTCTCTGCTGTGTCTTTGAGCTTGCAACTGGCTTTGTCAACACATTTCCGCAATTCCTCGGCGTTCGTGCTATATTCGGTATTGCCATGGGTGGAATATGGGGACTTTCGTCAGCATCAGCTCTTGAGAACTTGCCTGTCGAACTTCGTGGGATTGGAAGTGGAGTTTTGCAGGAAGGCTATGCTGTTGGATACCTGCTCGCAGCTGTGATAAACTTGACCCTGGTAGCCCAACACGGATGGCGGGTCCTTTTCTGGACTGCATCAGGCATCAGCTTCTTTGCTGCAGTCGTTCGCATGATCGTCCCAGAGAGCGCGTTCTTCCTGCGTGCCAAAGAACAAGAGAAGGCGAGAGGGACCAATACCTCACAGAAAACTAAAACCTTCATTAAAGAAACGAAGGCGATGCTTAAGCGTCACTGGCTCTTATGCATTTATGCTGTACTCTTAATGACAGGTGAGTATTCTCTTATCCCTAACAATCGACATATTAACATTTCTGTGCAGGTTTCAACTTCTTGTCTCACGGTTCACAGGTAAGTGCATGAAAATTCGCCGGGCGAGCTCATAATGACACACGTTCAGGATTTGTATCCCACGTTCCTCGAGGATAGCAAGAGTTTTAGCACTCACGACGCCACTGTCGCGACCATTATTGGCAACTGTGTGAGTCTTATAAAATTACTTGTATGCAAGCTCTAAATGTGCACTAACAGGGTGCGGTTGCGTGAGTTGTCAATTGGTTTTTACATGCATTTCAAGTTCTGATGGTCATACAGCGGTGGTGCTATTGCTGGATCGGTGAGCCAGTACATCGGACGCCGCCTGACGATTGTGTATGTGTACTCAAACAATGATGGTTTTATGACTTTACTCAAATTTTATCAGAATTTTCGTGCTTCTCGTTGGAGGTAAGCACTGATTCTGGTGATATTGAATAAAAGTCATATTCTCTCGCAGCATTCATTCCATTATGGGTTCTACCTTCCTCATTTTCTGCCCTCTCTGCTGGGGCATTCTGTATCCAAGTTGGTGTTCAAGGCGCTTGGGGTGTCGTACGTCTTCTCCTACTCTTGTTGCGAATCCGACCTCAAAAATAAACGTACTAGATCCCGATCCAACTGGCTGAGATGTCCCCGCCAGCTTTCAGAGCAACATTTCCTGGTGTTGCTTACCAGATTGGCAACGTAGGTTGAATGAACATCATGCGATAGTTGTAGCTAATATATTCGCGGTAGATGATATCGGCAGCATCAGCTCAGATTGAAGCCAGTGAGTGGATAGTCACAATCTATTCCGTGAACAAAGTTCTTAATGTACATTAGCTGGTGCTGCCAACTTGAAGACAACGATCATAGTGGACGGAGTTCCTAAGTCGGAGGCAAATTATGCAACTGTAAGTAACAGAGTCCCACTTCCGCACAGTCTTATTCATCACTTGATCAGGTGCAAGCCATCTTCATTGGTGTCGTTTCTGCATTCGTAGTGATTATCACAATCATTGGGCCTGAGTAAGACTCGCACGTGTACTTGGACCTACAGACGCTTACCTTCTTTTAGAAACCACGGCTCACATTTCGAGAACCATAAGACTGCTTTCGAAGAAGGAGGCGGGAGAGATGATGCTGTGGCTGATAGCGCATCACAAACGTCATTTCACGAAGTCAACTCGGAGAAGAGCAGCGCTTAGGCTGCGTGAGCGCCTCCGCCTCTGTATGAACATGATCGTAGTATTTATTTATCTACAGTTAATCATGTGTTTGAAACACAAAAATGACTTTGTGTACTGTTACACGACTGTAACGCATCTCCAGTATATTTTTTCCATGTAAACATACACTTCATGACTACAGTAATTTTTATACCTTTGCAGCCATTTGTGCACGTTGATTTCGAACTGCTTGGAATCTTACCATTTCCCCATCGAGCCTTGGCAAAAACATTGTATTGGCTGCATGCACTTGATTGAAGCTGCCACATCATCGATGCATCACTCGAGAACATGATATCACATATGTAGCTGATTTCTCGGGAAAAATCTTAGCGTACCAAACTGAGACCAATTGATGGTAAAGATCTGAAATCACCTCTGTGGGTTCTTTTGCAAGTTCTCATTTCAAACTTGACAACATGTAGTACGCAGGGTCTATATAGCTCATCATCCGATTCCCAACTGATCAGCTTAGCCTGGCTTTATGTGCATATGTGCTGTTGCGGAGTAATCGTGGAAATATTTCAATGAGTACTTGGTGCTGTTTCGGTGGCCCATGTGCATGATCGACTGTGCCATGGCCACAAGCTTGACACATTATGTCATGGATCGATTTTAATGAACGAGTTTACAACGCCCCCAGAAAACGTTGATGGCATCGATGGGCAGAGATAACTAAATTTCGGGCATAATGCCAGAAGGCCCGGGTCCTGTTGCCGATGCCACGTGACATGGTGAATTTCAAATATTGCAGGCCAAACAACCTACCACCTGCCAGTGGGTGTTGATGTACCTGCCACCTGGCCTTCTTCCCCGAGTTTTTTTTTTGGGAAATGAGAACTTCTATCAGCTGATACATGATGCATACCCTCCAGGCCAAGATTGAAGGCTGACGATCTCGTGCTGAACTGTTTGACCAATATCCCTTTCAGAGTTTTCGCTGACTTAGAATTATTATGAACCCTACAGCAATACTGGCCGTACCACTCTGGCAGGCCTGCCATTTATTTGAGGCACATTGGTATGAAGGACACGAATTCATCTACGAGTGGTCAGTCGTCTCCAAATCAAGGGATAACCTGGAGGCCTTCCAACTTGGCCGCGTCGAAGGCCAGACAGACCAGACACAATGCCATATTGTGGAGACATATTCTGCGTCTATCGCCCACCAACTGTAATGCCTCCTAGCCATGCGATTCTTATAAAGGACCGGGAGGTACGATGACACCGCCATCTTCAAAGCTGGAATCTTTGGATATCCGAGTCCTTCAACTGTAGAGCATCATTGCATTGCCTGTACATTCGACTCACCCCGATGTTACCTCAGAAAAGGCACTCTGGCCAGTCCTTTGGGCAATCTTCATCCGTATGTCTCAGTTGACTTGCCTCCGCATGACAAGAGATATTCATATGTAACCTGATAGTCATCGGTTGGAAGGAGCACTCCTCCTCCCTCACCTACTACAAAGCAACGTCCAACTAAACGTCTCACGCTATCGAATGGAACAACAGCACATCGTGTTCCGGCTCCATGTCATTCATGCGATCGCATGATTCCATTCTCTGATAATGGTAGTCCTGGCGTGTCGGTCAAGAACATCTTGAATGGTGGATGCGTGCAGGACAGTCCAGAACCTGGTTTCAAGGCAGGGCCTCACAAAGTAGTCATGCAGGTGCGCTCAATGCATGTTCTAATCCGATCAAGACCTAATATTTAATTCGCAGTGGCCTGGTTATGATTCTTCGGATCCCAGACACATCACAGTCAATCCGAAGACGAAACAGGAACTCGTAGTTGCGCTGTGCACTGCATTGCATAAGTTTTATTCGTCTGTATCGGTTAGTGGTAACCTCAATAGTCAGTTTTGGGCCAGAACTAACCGAGTCCACAGAAAATGACGCCTTCTGTCGAATCTGACCCTTGGACCTTCTGTTCACGAGTCCGATTAGGAGATATCTTGCTCACGTCCATACATTTGGACGCAGCTGGTGTGTGGCTTCCGGAATTTTATGTACTGCGGAAGTAGTGGTATTGTTTGATTCGTTGAGTCGAATTCGCGCTTGTTACACATAAGTAATAATGTTACATAATGCGGCAGGACACATGGCATACACCTGCAGGTGTTGTAGTGTAGGTTAATATGAGAAGATTATGATGCACAAAGGAGTTTGGCAGTTCGAAAATCGAGGGCTCCACTGCTACTGTAACATGCGTGGACTCGGTGGCATCTTTTACAGGCAGCGATCGGTGGGTAAGGCTAGCGTGGGTACGGCAAGTACTGGGCAAGAAGTTGGCATCACCTTCAAAGCTTCACTAGCACTCCCGAGCCCCGCACTGCACCGTACACGATAGCGAAGTACTTGACGTCGCTTTATCGCTCACTAGCACTCCGCATATGCCCTTTTTTGGTAATTTGAAATTTAGCACAGGTTCACGCCACAATATGCTCACTGCCCAGTGCCCACTAGTGCACTAGTCGACGTCTAGATGTACAATGGGATGCGACCTCTGTATGCTCGTCGCAACGAACGGTCCTTGTGTAACCAACAGTCGTCACCAAGGCTGACTAGGTTGACACACGGTATTTTATATGCCAATATTGCTTTGGTCTGCCTCCACCCTGCAATTGTCGGAGACAGACGTCGGGATCCGGTAAGCTGTCTCGGAAATATATTGTTTCAATCCCTTCATCGAGTCTCGTGTTTATGGTTGTTGTACCTTTACGGTCTGCTACCATTTGTATCAAGGACCAGCTGTTCCCGATTATTGGACCACCCGCAGTTGGTGAGCTTTGGCTTAGGCCGTCAGACTCCACGAGGCGCATCATTACTCCAAGAATTAGGTTTTGCTGATAGACGCCAGATATCGACAGGTCTCACGGTGCGTTGCACGTGCATCAAAGACACTTTGCCAGTCTCAAAGTTTCCTAGTGACCCAATTACGCATTATGACGCCGCCGTTCAACGGAGGGAAATTACGTTCATTGTGTCACGATGTATGTCGTTGAGTGGTTAGTGTTTCGCTTCATGATTCACAATTTACTGGACAACTTTGAATGGTCGCTTTGCCGCCGGACAACTAGCGCTTCATAACGCGCACCGCTTTATGGACCATGTCGAAGCGATGAGCAGTATATAATACGCAGGTGCTTAGGATGGGCTCCTCACCAACATCTCGAACATCTCAAAGATTCTGCAGCGCCGGTTTTCTATCCCAGCATCATTCACTTTATTATGGAATACATGCAGCCCAACCAAATGATTGTGAACTCTGGTGGAGCCGGGTCTCTTGGGGTGAGCCTCCATGTTCTTTCTGTATTTCTTTCTTATGCAAAAATGGTATTAGTACTATATTCGGAATGCCAATCCCTCCCCTCACCCCTCGATGGTGGGCGCCGAGATGCCACTATATTGGGAGCTGAGAGATGGAAGAATAGCGAAGCGTGTTCCACGCTCGCGAGAATTCACTCCTTCTCAGCAGAGCTTCCCCGGCATCACGTTTAGCGCTGATGGTTGGTACGGTGTGCGCGTGAAAGATATTCTAAAGGGAACAGTCGTCGTTGATCGTCCGACTGACGCTGTATTCGCTCATCATGGCTGGCGAGAGACTACTCTGGCGATAAAAGTGAGTATCACTTGTCTCTGGTATAATAGTTTGTGTTTACAAATTCACGTAGTGGCCTGGATACCTACCTCCCAGATCCTCGGATGCATCTCGTCGGCGCTTTAAAGTACTGGATAATAACGTACCGATGACTCGTCAAGGTTTTGCCATAGAGATTGCCAGTCAGATTCGACATCTTGACGACCATGCAAGGGTATGTGTCATCTTGAGATTGACACAAAATTACTGACTGGTCGGTCATCAGGATAAGCCCGTTGCACATGGTTGGGAAGATTGGGCGTTCAGCAAAAACAATGTTCGTGTATCGGACGTGTATATTCTATCGGCCCATTATTACAGGAATGCTTGGATCCCTGAGCTCTACGTCATTAATATGGAATAATGTTTTCCGGTGGCCTCCTTTCCCCTGTAGCCCTATAGCACAGACAGATATCTTTGTCACTAGCACCCCCTATTCGATTCACGACAGTCCATTGCATGCCTTGTGCCTACCTTAAAATATCTCTAGTCAGTTTAATATCTATCCTTCTTATTACGACTAGCTTCGCGCGAATGCATATCTTACCCTGTTTGAGTACGAAAATGGAAATCTAACTGCGCAATGCCCTGGTTTGTGATTGAGAAGCGCAAACTGGAACCTCGTGGGGCGTGATGTTGTATGATGGTCTCCACAATTGCCCTCTAAAGAAGAGACGATCAGCCATGAGACGACTAGTGTATTGGCAATTTAGTCCTCGAGGCTACACAGCATTTCAAGATGCATATAACCACCACCTTGTGCGATAGTGGAAGATGATCCATCTTTTCTACCATCCCTTCGAAATACAGAAATCTAACCTACCGCATGAAGAATGGGCGCGTCAGTGTCCTCCCCTATGCAAGGTCTTCGGATCATTGCTGGCATCGTTTTTAGAATCGTCGAAGAAATTCGGTCATCGGAGATCTTCGAAAATCCCACTTTTGCGAACCTTGCACATGCCAGGAACTCGCGCTCCCAAAGGCAAGCTAGTAGGACACCAATGGCAGGGTGGCAGGGTGCAGAATGGCAGGAAGAAGATCGTATTGATATGTATACGGGAGGAATCAGAGAGGAAATAGATGAGTTTCCAGCTGCTCGAGCTTCACGCGCCACTGGGAGAAACGTCGAAGAATTTCACTCTGCACAAACAAATGTGTGGCAGAGGCCGAGCGAAGTGGGAATACATGCTTCAGAAGAAACCCCGCGCAGGCGTCTTTATGAAACGCCGGAGCGTTGCGCCGCGGTACTCCAGATGAAGACGAAGGAAGAAGGCGCCTCGCCCACGAAGTCGACTAATAAAGGCAAGAAAGTATTTGTTGTCCGGTTGCATTTTGGCTCAACTCGAGGGTGCAGCCGATATTACTATAACTGAAAATACCATAAATGGGAAGGAGGACCCGCAGACCTTGGAGAAACACAGCGCGTTCCAGCTCGTGAGTATCCCCAGTGAGGAGGAGATACAATTAGCGAAGCACAGAGTCCAATACCAAGAGGGACTATTCCATTTCGCAGCCACAGGAGTTTCTGGCGCAGGAAAGTCATCGCTGATCAACGCCTTTCGAGGCCTTCGAAATAGAGACGAGGGAGCTGCACCAACGGGTGTAGTTGAGACGACCGCAAATATCGCTAGATTCCCAGACCCAAACCCCAAAAATCCGTTCGTTTGGTATGATGTCCCAGGGTCCGGCACGTTGAACATACCGGATTGGCAATATTTCACTGCACAGGGACTCTATGTTTTCGACTGCATTATCATCCTTTTCGACACCCGCTTTACAATGACTGACCTTGCCATGCTGGTCAATTGTCGGCGTTTGAACATTCCTACTTATATCGTGCGGTCGAAATCAGACTCACATATCAGAAACATCATCAAGGAGTCGGGTTACGACAGCGATGAAGATGAAGACCGCTCGGGTCGCAACGCATTGTATAGCTCCGCACGCGAGCAGTACATCGCTGAAACTCGCGCCACCGTGAAGTACAACCTTCAGGAGGCGAAGTTACCCGATCAGAGGGTGTACATTGTCGCCAACAGCACTATGGTCTCTACAGTGAGAGACCAAAAACTATCGGAGAAGACGATAGACGAACTAGAGTTGATGCGAGATCTCTTTAGGGAAGCCCAGTCAAGGCGTTGTGGTAAAGGTATCGATCGCTCATAGACATACGAAGTTTAAAGTCTGGAGCCCCGTCTGTTGTCCAATTGTAGCAGTTGGTATGTTCCGCATGTACGAGAAGTTATAAAAAGAGAGTGACAGTCCAGCTGGTGTCCTGTCCATCGGTGACCGATGCATCAGTGCGAATCGGGTTTGCCAGCAGAGCATGTCGTATGTGAATTCAGGTACTGTTACACCCTGATTGATTGACCGCGGCATTGGTAGTTCTGCAAGCACCAGTGACGTTTATGGATCCGGCCTAGTTTTCATAACTTGAAAAAAGTGGTTGAAAGAACTATGACCAACTCGACGCAAAACAGCTGCAAGGTTCTGAAAATATCAGGTGCCGTGGGACGCAGTGGACGACGAGAGGGCGGACGAAAGCGTTGTTCGCGATAAGCGCGGAGTGGACGATATGGGGTTATCATATAGGAAGCGAACAATGATTGGAGGAGTACGAAATAAGCACTTGTCGTCATTCCGCAGTTCATTCTTGAATATTCAACGTTCGATATCAATATGGCATCACTAGGTGACCTGGCTAGGCTTGATCTGGACGAGCTCGTTTTGTGGCTGCACGCTGCAAGAGATTGTGCCAGTCACTTCGGGGAGCGGGTGACGTATTTCGGAGTCTTTAGACACCTGACGACTCCGAGCCTACTACTTTCTTGACTGGCGGTGATGTGGAGCATCACATCAACAGCTTCCATATCGGACCTATCAATAAAATGGACCTGGTCACTCAGTCGATACAGCTCCGTCTGTCATAGTATGAGCGACCAACGTCCACCCTAGGAATACATCAAGCCTCCGCTGTGATCGTACGCGACAAGCTCGGTACAGATCCGATGAATTGTAACCCATAGAATCCCAGAATTCTATAAGCAAGATGCGGCGAACAAACCATGATCAAATTCGAATCAGCAGATTGTCCGAACGGGTTCGAATTTGTCCAAGATGTGATGCCTATCGTTAGCTGGCTCATCGATGAATCTGTAACAGGTGCTTTAAACGTCACTTGGAAGCGGAAATGTAATTCAATCAGTATGTAAAGGACTCATCCCCTTCCTTAGGATCATCTCGCGCTTACCTTGATTTGTTAGGCCCGGTGGTTGTCGTATCCTCGTCAGCATGTAACCTGAGGTACAATACTGAAAAGTTGAAATTATAGCTCCATACTGTTACGATGCCGATCATGCAGGACTCCCAAGTCAACGTTTCCAGCATGAAGGTTTGATTTGAGTGATATCAGAAGCATCACTTTCTGTGGAGAATTACTTGATGCCGTGAAAAGAACCATATTAATGGCCGAATTGCCCACTGGGTGCCTGAGGCTGAGGGGATATTGACCCCCTTGTCGCGAATATAAGCATACTTAATCTGATGGCTAACCTTCTTCTGAGGTTAGACTATCTCTATCATGCCACCGAGATTTATTCGCGAGCTCATCCCGCGTCGCGAGACTCGTACCTCTCTTGGTGGTGTAGTTGCTGCGTTCAAAAGTCTAACCTGGGTGCAGTGGGCTCAGTTCTGGTCTGGGTCAGTATCCTACTTCCATTGCGCTTCATACTATCATCCTCATCACATCACAATAGCTGGCTTGCTTGGGCATGCGACGCCATTGATTATGTCGCAGTATCGCTCACAGTACCGCTCTTGTCTACACAATTTGGAAAGTCAACGAGTGCGATCGTACGCCCTTTCCCTTCTTTTGTTATTTGCGCCGCTGATGCACGACTCGGACATGATTGCAGACGACCGCCTTGACATTGACGCTCTTATTACGATCAGTCGGCGCTGTAAGTGTCACACCTGCCACTATTCTCCACTAAACCTAAACTTACCATTTCCTAGGTGATATTTGGTATGATATCTGACCGGTATGGTCGCAAGTGGCCCTTGGTCGTCAATCTCCTTCTCTGCTGCGTCATTGAACTGGGAACTGGCTTTGTCGACACCTTTTCACAATTCCTCGCCCTTCGTGCCCTATTCGGTATCGCTATGGGTGGAATATGGGGACTTTCAGCATCCTCAGCTCTTGAGAACTTACCTGTCGAGCTTCGCGGGCTTGCAAGTGGGTTTTTGCAGGAAGGCTATATTGTCGGGTACATTTTTGCAGCTGTTGTAAACCTGACCTTGGTAGCTCAATACGGATGGCGGTCGCTTTTCTGGACCGGAGCAGGCATCACTTTTTTCGCCGCAGTCGTCCGTGCTCTTGTTCCTGAAAGTCCGTTCTTCTTGCATGTCAAGGAACAAGAGAAGAAGAAAGGGACCGATACATCGCAGAGTTTCCTCAGGAAAACAAAGGAGATGCTTAAGCATCACTGGCTCTTATGCATTTATGGAGTGCTCTTGATGTCAGGTCTGACTTTCTTTTACTTGTCAACAACGAACATACCAACACCTCTCTGCAGGGCTCAATTTCTTGTCTCACGGTTCACAGGCATGCTCATATACCATGTATGAACATGCACTCGATAATGTAATGTCCATCTAGGATCTATATCCCACGTACCTCCAGATCACCAAGGGCTTCAGTGCTCACAATGCCACTGTCGCGACCATTATTGGCAATTGCGTGAGTCTTGTAAACTTATCTGCTTGTCGAATCTCAACATGCCAAACAGGGAGCTTTTGTGTGAGTTCTTGGTTGGTTCTGCATGCAGCCAAAGCCCTTAGGGTCATACAGCGGTGGTGCCATGGCTGGATGGGTGAGCCAATACATTGGACGCCGCGTGACGATCATGTATGTGCATTCAATAAGTGATATCTTCGTGGCTCTACTCACCTTCATCAAGATGTTGTGTGCTTCTCGTCGGAGGCAAGCACCAATCCTAGTAATAGAAAATGAGACTTATGTTCTCTCGCAGTGTTCATTCCATTATGGGTTCTGCCCTCGTCATTCTCTGCCCTCTCTGCTGGAGCATTCTGTATTCAAGTTGGTGTTCAGGGCGCTTGGGGCGTTGTATGTGTTCGCCTAATCTCATTGTGAACTTGACTCCCAACATCATTGTAGATCCCGATTCAACTGGCCGAGATGTCACCACCAGCATTCAGGGCGACCTTCCCTGGTGTCGTTTACCAGCTCGGCAATGTAGGTCGCGTGGACACGCACAATCAATCTAGCTAACCTGTTCGTGGTAGATGGTTGCGGCAGCATCAGCACAAATTGAAGCCAGTGAGTAGATAGTCACGTTCCTGCTCACAAATGAAGTTCTTAACTTAATCAGCTGGCGGCGACAACTTGAAAACAACTATCATGGAGAATGGAGTCCTTACAGTGGTCCCAGACTATGCAACGGCGAGTCACTGAATTCCGCTTCTGCACGGTCTCATTCATACTTCATCAGGTGCAAGCCATCTTCATTGGTTCTGTTGCTATATTCGTAATCGTTATCGCACTTATTGTGCCTGAGTAAGCTCTGCGCATGTCCTTGGACAGACAAATGCTCACATTCCCCTAGAAAACACGGTTCTCATTTCGAGGACACCGATGACGCTAGTGAGGATGAGGCCACGGATCACAAATCACAAATGTCATCTCGTGAAGTGGACGAGAAGAGCAGCGCCTAGTTTTTCATTACTTATCTATCACGAGACGAGAACATTATGTCCATTTGAATGAACGGGTTTCACCCTCAAGTTAATAACCTTTCGAGCGGTGCCGCTTGCTGCCAATGGTCCTGGCAACATTAGTCCGGCAGTCAATTGTGCGGAACCTCCACGTGAGTTCTGAATATTGTCTCTTATTCCATGTCGTTAGTTTGCTCAGTTGTCAACATCAATTTTTGTAGTACTGCGTGAGTATAACTCGCAGCGACGGAGCAAGCTAGGGTCTGAAAGTTACAAGATAGTCGAGAAAAAATGATAGCAGTGGACTGGCGCGGCTGGCAATGTGCCTGCCTCTGGCAGACGGAAGCTGGTGTGACCTCAACCTAATGATAGTGCTACCTACGACAATGCCCGAAGGCTCTAGTACCCCTGACTAAGCTACGCAAATGGTGGCAAATACCCGCCTGTGACACCCCCCGCTGGAGGGGTACCCCACTCCAGCAGTACAACACAATTTTTGCCGGTAGAAAGCGCGAATGGCTTGGTATGATGGGGCAAGTGACTACAAGTAGACACCACAAACAAGTGCAGTATGCGCAAGACGCCCGAAAAACCAAAACGGTGACTTAACGATGAAAAACTTACATAAACTTGAGGTGCCAACTTTATAGCCTGGGCGCAGAGGGAGGAGGCAAAATAGGTTATTTACGCTCTTCCTTAGCGTTGGCCAGGCTTGGTCAACAGCTGCGGGGTCCGCTACCAAAGCTTGATTTGGGGAGGCACTCCGGTCGGTAGATGGTTGAGCATCCCGCGCTCAAGCTCGGCAATGCGTGCCCTCAGAGCAGCGATCTCATCTGCTTGTGCAAGATTAGCATGGTCTTGGGCAGGAACTGGCTAAGCTGCTGATAAATGCTCTGCTGAAGACTGCGTGGTCCGAGGCGCGCTGCCGTTTGAGATGCATGCGCAGAGGATGGCCAATTTTGCTTGCTTGCAGCATGGCGCGCACCGAGTGCGACTGATTTCTATGTGGTCTGTTGAGAATCGAAATGACACAGCTTGGGATGATTGCTTAGCAGAAGTAGTGTTTTCGCTGCCCATAGCAGAAGGCCCTGACGAATGAGCAGGATAAGAGACTGAACCTGAACTAGATGTCGCAGTGCCCTCCGGGGTTGGCGGAGGAGTGATAGGTTGAACGGCTGCAGTCTTGTTGCCTAACTCGAGACCCAGGTGCCCATGTATGACAAAGACCCTAGATGTGACGAGATACGCCACCCGTAGGTTTTCACTGGGAGATCTGACAGATGTTGGCTAAAACGTCGGATATGTGTAATTGGTGGCCCGTCAGAAAATTCAATATGTTATGTGATGTCTGGATTCAGTAATTTGGGTGATGCGGGATACGGCGCAACTTGTCCGTAAGTGAACAACGCCACGGATGCATTATCAACTTCCCTTCTACTACTAGTACGCAGCGAAATGGATATGCATCTGGCTCGCGAGATGCGTCGGATGGCTCAAGCTGTCAGAACACAGTGATAATAGTGCCCATTCAGTGCCGCGAGCAGACGCTGCAGTATAATGTTTTGGAATCTGCAGCGGCGGACGGACCCGGGCTGAGCTGAGGTATCCTGCTCTTCGAAGCATCACACTCGGAGCCCTCAGTCAAGACTCCACGTACGGTACGTCCCCCCAGCTGATAGCACACCCGTCATAGATGTTTACAACTTGAAATAATTTCGCCGTCTGCGCACTTATTTACACTGCAGCACAATTGATTCAGTCTTGATTCGCAACTCATCGACTATGTTCACTATTGCAGACGTCCCCCTTGCCCACCAAAAAGCAGTCGCTGTGGGATTTTACGTGTGGGTGAGCCAGTGCTCAATGTTTGTTGGCTCGCCATATAGATAGAATGGTGGCGCAAATGAAGGGAGAGATGAAGTGATATGCGAGATGAGTAAAGCTCGCAACACTTATGAAGCTAAAGTCTTGGCAGTCGAGGAATTTTGGGTGGTAGGTCAACCTGATCATTGCCTCTTTAAAAACATCAGAATTTCCACAGAACCTGCATCATTTAGGCAGTACAGGAGATACTAGTACTATCATGTACAATTCCTCGGCAATCCACGCATCCTGATGATCCGGAACAGTAAACACAAGCCCCAGGCTGGATATCAGTTATGGAAATAGCTTGCGGCGTCTGCATGACACAGCCGTCATAATGGATCCAAGGGAGACAGACGTCCACTGGCGCTAAAAAAAACATTATAAAGACTGACAATCATGTAGTACTTACAGGTTCCTTATCTCGATATTCACGCTATGAATCCGACGACCCCTACCATGTTTTCCACTGTCACCCACACGACCACTCCTGACTGCGAGCCCTCACAATTCATTTTACCTGACCTCATCAATGATTGCCACTATCCCTTCCGACAGAACCCTTACCGTGATGCAGCGTGCCGCGCATCTGTTCGATGGCTTATGTACGTGGCGCAAATTGCAGAGCCCGAGATCAGAGGGTATATTGATGCGGATGTAAATGGACTTGCTGTTGCTTGCTATCCTGATGCAGATGCTTTCCATCTCCAAGTCTGCTCTGACTTCTTGAACTGCTTGTTCATGACAGACGACTTGATGGAGTCTGGCGTTGTCGATGTACGGGAAGTGCATGAATCCTGTATTTCTGCATTCCGCGATCCCATCAATTTTGACACGGATCGGCTTGATGCAAAGATGTGCAAATCGTACGGCTATTTTTCCATCGCATACATTCTTTCTAAAAGTCGTTATGTGGTTAGGTTTTTCAGTCGCTTTAAGGAGACTGCAGGTCCCGGCTGCACAGAGCGGTTTATCTACACAAGCGGATTGTACTTCACTGCTGTGGCTAAGCAGGTGGATGACCATGCCAAAGGGCATGTATATGATCTAGAATCTTACATTGCCTTGAGGCGAGATACAGGCGGAGTGAAGCCCTGCTTTAGCCTCATCGAATTCGTAGCTCGAATTGATCTTCCCGACGAAGTTGTGTCGCATCCAGTTGTGAAGGCCTTGGAGGAAGCGACCAACGATCATGTTTGTTGGCACAACGTAAGTTTGTGCTGTCATTTAACACAGGGGCGCTGCTGACATTACCGCCGACAGGATATTTTGTCATACAACAAGGAGCAATCTTGCGGTCACGCACCCTGGGAAAACATAGTTCCCGCGATCATGCACGAACAAGGACTAGACCTGCAAGGCGCCATGGACTACGCTGGTAAAATGTGCAAAGATGCCATCCAGCGCTTCGACTCCAACTGTGCTATCCTCCCCTCGTGGGGCGAAGAGGTTGACAGGCAGGTGGCTATCTATATCAAAGGGTTGCAGCACTGGATGATCGGCTCACTTCGCTGGCATTTTGATTGCCCCCGCTATGCTGTCCCACCGGACCGAATCATCAAGCTCCTTCCCAAAAGGCCTTACAAGTGTGGAGCCTAACACCTAGTGCATGACTTTTGGAGGTGAGATTGGTTTCACTTCTTTCACGCACTACGCCAATTCTTACGACTAGAACGTTAGTAATGATTCATGTCTCACGCAGACCTGAAAGTTTTGAGTTGCATAATTATGATAAACACATGACATTCCGCCTTCCTTGCTTTGTCCTTCGTGGTATCAAGTTCTCATTCGGCTCCCTACGCATAACACTTCCTGTCCGTCTTCGTGTCACTAATATATGTACATATAGAATAGTCTTGTATCCTTCTACAAATCAAAGTTGCTCTTCGTGCCAGGACCGATTTGAAGATCAGCCTACTCACAAGTAGCTGGGAGAATAATGTATCAATTACTCGTACTGTAGCAAAAAGTGTGATACACGAATGACTTTAAGCTGCAGGTCCTGGTGACACATCACACCACTTGACTTTACAGTCCCCCCTTTTTTTTGTTTTTTGAATCCAATTTTTGTCCGGTTGGGGTACAGTACCCTATGTAGGACAATTCTATCTAGGAAAGGGGGACACCTGTGTCCCCCACCGTGTCTCTGACTCTGCAAATGCCCCAGTGGAGGTATGACCTCCACTGGTCCGCCGTTCCCGCTGGCCGTTTTAGATGCATGAGTCTACTACTCCACGGGGCCGTTTCTGGTACGTCTCGCTTGTATGTAGGTCTGGCGTGTGGTATTGGATATACAAATACTTGGACCGCCGAAGCGATCGTTGCACAAGGGGAGTGAATGGAGCGTGGATAGAAAGGTAAAGGTAAGTCTGGGCTGGCGCGACGTGCTGCAAACTGATCCTTGCTGTTACAGTCCTCTTGATCATGGCAAGCAGCAACATCGACAGGGACATCTGGGGGATCCTACGGAGGATAAGCTGGAATTCTGATTCCAAGGTTGGTGCAATATTGCTTGTGGTCCATTTGTAGGTCAAGCTTAAGTGTCGGAGTGTAACACGACGGAGGGCCCACACCTGAGTGACACCGTTTATGTTACTACTTAGTAACGTGAGAACATACACTCTCGCGTTACTAGTTAGAGGGAATAATCTATACTACAGTACTGCACCACTTACTTCAGTAATCAGCAGTGACTTCGCAGGTACATTTTTTTCCTCTCGGCTTTATCCGATGGTGGCTTAGCTGACTGCAGCATAATCAACTTTTGGCAATGTGCGGGCTGGGTGCCGACCACTCCCGCCGCTGGCGCCAACGTTCCCACAGCCTCTGCTCATCGTCTACAACGACGAGCACACTATATCACTCAACCTTACCCAAATTTGAGCGCGTTTTTTGCGCATCCTTTGTCTTATGGTCCTACTCTACTCTTGTGATGTTTTTTCAAGTGCATCTGTCTCATTTTAGCTACATATTCGGTGAGTATTTGTGTACCTTCTGTGTTCTGACTAAGCATACTAACTGTTGTTCCTCACCACCATGGGGAGACAGCATCCATTCCGCACAACGTCGCAGAGGGTCACAATGACCGTACTTCGTCATACAGGCCCACGGACCACATCTGCAAGCCTGACCCGTATACGAGCAGACCGCCTGCGAGCTGAGAGAGAGCTCCAACTTCAAGCTCAAGGTGAGTGTACAAATCAGTCTTGTCTTTCATTCTTACAGCGATGTATGAGCAGATCAACGTTGCACACAGCAGGCTGCCCTCGCTGTGGAGGCTTCGCTGGAAGCTGGGTCGACTTTCGATACAATGGACCAGTTTTACGATGGTGAATTGTTGATGCAGTGTTCAGACGGCAGTGATGGCGACACGGACACAGACACGGATACAGACACGGACATGGACAGCAACAGTAATGAGGGCCGTTACTCAGTCGAATCCCGGCTACTCTCTGCCTATGCTAGGCTGCAGTTACAAAACAGGTACGTATTGTATTTCTTCTACTCAGTCTTTCTGGCTAATCAAGGTTACTGCAGCTCGTTGAAACACCGTAGTGACCAACGGACACGAGAAGCACACTACACCAATATGCACGCTTCATGGCGCTTGCAGCTGCCTGCACTGACAAATGCGTATCTCACTTGGAAGCATAACAGTTCGCTCAATGTCGCTCAAACTTCGGCTCACAAGTTCCAGGTCACAGCGGTGCATGTCTTTGGTACGTTTTTTTTAAACAAAAGATTTCATTACTTACATTTTCTAGAACTAGACTACTTTCATGATATCACACAACAGCACGAAGAAGTCGCGAATGTGTCTCTATTGCATGTGGGTCTACTCGGCTGCTCTCCTACTGCACCAACTGTTGCAATTAGCCTGCAATGTCTTGAGCTCTATCATCAGCTTCGACGACGGCAATCTTCATTCAGCATCCAGGCATTCACAAAGGTCTTGTGCGCAATACATAATGTAAGTCATTCTTTGTGCATGGACTTACAGCATTCTAATCAATCATTAGGTCAATTACACGCAAACATTCCGTGATCAATTTTCGATCACATTCAATATCTATCTCACAATACTTCGTAGTGTTTGGTCTCAAGTGGACATGGCACTCGGCCGCACAGATCCTGACTGGCGCCTTCGACATGGTTGTCCGCCGTGCACGTTTGAGGTCAGTGTGTTATTTTTATTTTAAAAACATCATTGTCTGATCTATTTCAACAGCAACCTAATGAATGTCCGCTGTATCCTACCAGTCTCAAAGCAATGGATGGGAACAATTCTGCAAAACACATGGCAAATGCTGGCAGTGCCGACCTCCGCATCTTTCCCAGCAGATACATGATTCCCCCGGATCAAGTTGATGTGTTCAAGGATGACATACGACTAGGTCCTGGTGAATGTGGAGCCTGTTACAGTAACATTTAACCCCTATACTCATTTTCCTTTCTCACTTCCAAACGGGCCGTCCGTACCACGCTTATCTCTTATCATGCCTATCTCTTATCTTGACTCTTATCTTGACCAAGCGGGCTGTCCGCCTCTTTTTGCTTCTATCTTGATAAACGCATTTACAAGCTCCGCTTGAACATTGGTATATAAACTTACCTACCTACGGTTGTATTCTTTACTTTAATCTACTGGGTTTTACCTGGAACATTGTCCTTCAGCAAGGTCTCCAACCTTGCTGCCTAAGAACTACTATTCTAAGGGAGTCAGCGACACTCGCCTTAGCCAGAACACTTAAACTCTCAATCGAGAGCAGACTAACGTCTATCTGGCATCCTGCCGATTGTCTACTCAGACAAAGATAGCTCGACTCATCCCAGTCGTAACAAAAGATTAAAGTCTTTATTACCTGAACCGTTGCCATCTGCAACGAAACCGACACCACGACTTCGTTAACTCCTTTGATCGGAGCCTTGAACTTAGGAGCTCTACCAACCATTCCTCCTTTGAACACCATGACGACCCAGAACAAAGATATAGAACTAAAGATCGGTTCCCCTCCCGAATTCGATGGAGACAGAGAAGAATCAAAGAGATTCATGATGAAATGTCACGCATACCTCGACATTAACGACAAAGTCTACGGTGATGATAAGAAGAAAATCATCCTCGTGTTATCCTACATGACGAAAGGAAACGCAGCAGCTTGGGCGGAAGACTTCATGGAAGCAGCCCTAGACCCCAAAAGAAAAGACACCTCTGGACAAATGATCAGCTATGGAACCTGGGCCAAATTCAAAAAGGACTTCGACGAAGCCTTTAAACCCATGGACCCCGCCGGAACTGCCATGATG